TTTCTCTAGATCTAATTTATTCCTCCACAAAATGAAAGTGATAGACTAGATTATGGTTGCTACCCTAGAACAGGAGTCATCAATGTTAAAGACTTCCAGGTCAAGGAATGTTCCCTTACAGTCCTAGCTAAATAAATAATAGGGTGAGGAGACAGGCTTTTTAGATGAGTCAGGGATGACCTGGAAGATAAAGAGGTTTCAAATCAGTCCCCTAACCCAGGCTTAGCAAAAATAACATGGGTTTCAGCTCTTTCCAACAATAATAACTCAGAGATGCTAAGAGCCATCTTAGGTTCATGCCTTCATCTTGAAGAATGTTAAAACACCAGATCTAACAAACCCGAACCCTTTGTACTTTTAAAAACTGCCAAGTACTTTCACATACATTGCTTCCCAACAGATTCATATGTCCATCTGTATAGATCTAGTTGTGATATTAGTTGGAGGGATGGCTATAAGAGATTGTCCCAAAAATACAGGGACTTAAAGGAAAAAAAGAAACAATTTGTTTGTTTTCCTATATTATAGAACTGGCAGAGTTCTATTCCACCTGATCATTCAGCCCAACAGAATGGGGAAGGAGAAGGCTTAGAGAAAGCATAACTAAGGTTTTAAATCCCATTTCACTTCCACTCATATTCCATCACCTCACTTTACTGCCAGGTAGACTGGGAAATGTAGTCTACCTAGGCAGCCATGTGCTCAGAGTTGATGATTTTACTATGGAAGAAGGGATAGATTTTTGATAGATAGATAGATAGATAGATAGATAGACAGACAGACAGATATAGGTTCAGGTTCAGGTTTAGCTTTAGATTTAGACTTGGTAGATTCTATTATTTTCTCAACTTTAAAGAGATGAGCTTAGGCTCATAAAGGACACAAAGCTTCCGCAAAGTTGTACACCTAGTACATGGTAAATTTGAAAACTCCGGGATAGATCTTCTGAATTTAGGGGAGCTTTGAATGTCATGTAATACCAAGGAAGGTTTTTGAGGAAGAAGTGATGTAATCCAAATTTAAGAAGATAATTTATAAGCAGTGTGAAGAGTGAATTATAGAAAGAAGAAATAAAGACCTGCAACTAGAGAAACAGTCCAAATTTAGCAACAGCTTAACCTAAAACAGTGGGGATTAAAAGGAAACATATCAGAGCAGAGGTTCAGAACTTAGGGCCCATGGAAAGGCATCTATATGGACAAACTCGGTAGTCACTTCAGTAGCATTTTACTGAAGCCTCTCCTGGTTTTCCTCCCACTTCTCCAGCCCCTCCTTCTGTCTCATTTGCTGGCTCCTCCATTGCTACCCAACCTCTGAACATTAGAGGAATCCAGGGTTCATTTCTAAACCCTCTTCTCTACTCACTTTACTCTCTCCCCCCAGGTTGTCTCATCTAGTTCCTTAACTTTAAATTGCATCTTATCAGTTATTTATTACCACAATAAATCTACATAACAAGCCACCCCAAAGCACACTGGCTTTAAGCAATCAATGTTCATTTAGCTCCTGACTATGCAGGTTGGCTGGGTGGTCCTGCCATCCTTGATTGGACTTACCCACCTGTCTGGGTGTCAGGTGGCTATAGACTGATCTAGGATGGCCTCAGCAGGGATGATCAGGCAACTCAGGTCTACTACACTGTCAACTTCCACTAGGCTAGTTGAGACACGTTCTCATGATGATAACAGAGGGCAAAAGCAAGCCAAGCCAATCAACAAGCATCTTAAAAGCCTCTGCCTCCATCATGTTTCTTAATATCCCATCTGCCGTTAATGAGAAGGCATGGCAAAGGACACTGATATAGTAAGAGATGAATAATTGGAGCCATTTTTGAAATCCTCCACAATTTCTACATGCAAAGCCTCCTTGATTTACGTATCTGTGTCCCGACCTCTTTTCTGAGCTCTAGACATATATGTCTAATGGCCTAATGGACGGTCACTTGGCTATGTCCAGGTATTACAAACAACATATTTAAAAATGAACTTTTGATCTTCTCCTTTTAAAACCTGATCCTCATCCAGTGTTCTCTTTCTCAGTAAATGTCATCCACCCAGTCGCTCAAGTCACAAACTTGAAACCGTAGTATCCTTCTTAGCACTTCTCTCCTTCATCTCAAATACAATTCATCAAGTCCCATCAATTCTACTTCCAAAATATATCTCATATCTGTCATCTTCTCTCCATCTCCCTTGCAACCCCTCTATTCTAAATTGTTTTCATCTCTCTCCTGAACATCTAAAAATATCCCAATGGACTTTAAGTGAAATCTCAAACCCTTAACATAGAACCCTCACTTCCATCTGCAGCCTTATCCTGTCCCTGTCCCTACTTCACTAAGATTACTTGCTTTTATTCATCATCCAGATATAATAAGTGTTTTCTTACCTCAAGGCCTTGGCCACTGTATTGATTTCCTAAGGATGCCATAACATATTACCACAAAATGGGTGGTTGAGACAACAGAAAATTTTTTAACATCTTTACTGGAGTATAATTGCTTTACAATGTTGTATTAGCTTCTGCTGTATAACAAAGTGAATCAGCTATATGTATACATATATCCCCATATCTCCTCCCTCTTGCGTCTCCCTCCCACCCTCCCTATCCCACCCCTCTATGTGGTCACAAAGCACTGAGCTGATCTCCCTGTGCTATGTTGCTGCTTCCCACTAGCTATCTATTTTACATTTGGTAGTGTATATAAGAGACAACAGAAATTTATTCATTTACAGTTCTGGAGGTCAGAAATCCACAGTGTCACCAGGGCTATGCTCTCTCTGAACACTCTAGGGGAAGATCTTTCCTTGCCTTTCTAGCTTCTGGTGGTTGCTGGCAATACTTGGCATCCCATGGTTTATAGATGCATCACTCCAATCTCTGCCTCCCTTTCTCCCCTGTATCTCTTCTGTGTCTAAATTTCCCTCTCCTATAAGGATACAAGTCATTGGATTAAGGCCCACCTTAATCCAGTATGACTTCATTTTAACTTGATTATATCTGCAAAGACCCCCATATCCAAATAAGGTCACATTCACAGGTACTAGGGTTTAGGACTTAAACATATCTTTTTTGGAGGATACCGTCTAATCCATAACAGTGATGCTATTCCCAACAGAACATTTTGAGTGATAAGGACATGGACTTTGGAGCCCAGACTGCCTCAATTTGAATGCCAGTTTTGCTCTTATTAGCTGTGTGTGCCTAGACAAGCCACATAACCTCTCTGGGTTTCAATCTTCACATCTTTAAAATGAAGATGGAAACAGAGTCCAAGTCACAGGGAGAATCTTAGAATTAAATGAGTTAATTTGTACAGTGCCCTGAACACAGAAAACATTATATGTGTGTTTATTAAAGTTCTTTATATACTCATCCTTCAGGTCTCAGCTTAAATGTACTTTATGACACAGACATTTCCTGATTTCTCCTCACTTCAAACATAATTCGTAACTATTTATTCATTTGTATTGTTAATTTGATGTCTGTTTTCCAATTAGACTAAATTCCATGAGAGCAGAGTGTGTCTATTTTGTTCACCACTCTATTCCTAGCACCAATAAAATGCTTTGCATCTGATGACTGTTAGATAAATATTTGTTGAAAGAATAATTACGCAGGGTTCAAGCTGGCAATTTAATTTTCGTGGGTTTGTGGAGGGTTTTAGTCTCCCTCTCTCTCTTTGGCTCCACCTCTAGGAACCTTCAAAAAAGAATCTGTTCTAAATTCATAGCATGGAGACAGGTTTGTTCTCTTTCTCAATGTAGCTTCACAGAAGAATGGTGATGCCTTAGCCAACAGTTTTCTATGAAAATCTGCCCCCCAAAGGGACAGAGAAGAGAAACATGGAGCCAAGTACAGGAGGGCACAGGGATAGCGAATCAGAAACAATTACAGTGTAAGGGGTCACCACATGGTAATTCAATTGAAAAACAGATTTTAGGACCAGGTATGAATTTGTATCTATCAATAGGAATTTGTCCTTTATTATAAGCATGGGAAAGGTGGAGGGGCAGAGAACAAACATAGCTTATGCTGAAGAAACTGCTGGTGCTCTTCTTACTTCATTGCTTGTATAAATAGAAGTCTGGCTCCGTGAACAGGTAAGTAGGTGAGACCCAGGTTATGCCATTTCTATCTACAGAAAAAGAAACGGATACCTCATCCTCCAGGTAACACAGGGAGCCTGAAAACTCACCGGGATCTCATTACTTGCTCTCTAGATTGGGGCACTCCCTTTGCCACCTGGATCCTAACGTACCTCTGGCCGTTATGCCAATATAAGCTGAAAGACTAGTTTTTTGATGTTTATGCGATAGGTATTTTAGATATAGTAAGTCATTTAATCCCCCTACAAGCCTATATGTGGATAGCATTATCCAAGGTGACAGTGAGTACGTGATACAGCCAGGATATACTTATGATGATTCTAAGATCAATACTCACTTCGCCCGAAGGGCTTGCCTTGCAATCTGACACGTTTGAAGTCACTAGTAAAACCTAGTCCGGCAGTTTCTTAAAGCCTGGTTCTCAGACCCCTGCGTCAGAATCACTGTTGGTCTTTGTTAAAAATTCAGATTCCCCGGCCCTGCCTAAGACTGAAGGAATCAGCAGGTGATTCTGCTGCAGGGCACCTGTGGAAGCAGATGATTCACATGCATGAGGACCACACGCATAGGCTATGGGCATTATCGCACAGACAGCTGCATAACATCCTAGGGGACTTCAGCCCTGCTCGGCAGTCTCTAACCAAACCCGCTCTCAGAGCCGCCTGGTCTCCCGCAGGCGCAGAACGGAACTGATCATGGGCTCCTGTACGCTGGGCGGGGCTCCCTAAGACTCCTCCCCCTCTGAACAAGCCGATGCAAGGGGCGGGGCTCTCCCTAAGAAACTTAATTCCGGCTTCTCCCTCCTGCCCCGCCCCCGGATCTCAGACCAATCAGACGGCAGGTTGCTGAAGCTCGGGGCCAATGCTCGGGGCCGTCCTTATTTACTCCGTGCAGTTTGAAACTGTCAGGTTGCTGCTGAGGAAGTCGCTGGACTCGTTGTTGTCTCAGCGGCGACGCGGAGACAAGACGCGGAGGAAGGAGTTCGTGTTTGCGGAGAGCCGAGGTGGTGGGTAGCGGCGCCGCGGGCGAGTCCCGCGCCCCTGGCGGAGGCACTGGAGTGGGGTTTAAAGTGTCTCGGCCTGGGTTGGCGCCCCCGGGAATCGGACAGGACAGGGCTGGGGGCATCTTCCCGAAACGCGGGCCCTTCAACTGTTCTGCGGGGCGGCAAGGGTCGAGAGGTTTTTTTCCCTCCGAGCCGTCCCGGAAGAGAGGGCAGGAGTGAGGGGTGCCTGAAGTATAGCGGTATTGTCGCTATAGGTTCGGGTCATTTAAAACGTTAGGGGGTAAAATGACCATGGCTAACCCTTTGTTTTTTGGGGTTTTTTTAAACATCTTTATTGGAGTATAATTGCTTTACAATGGTGTATTAGTTTCTGCTTTATAACAAAGTGAATCAGTTATACATATACATATGTTCCCATATCTCTTCCCTCTTGCATCTCCCTCCCTCCCACCCTCCCTATCCCACCCCTCTGGATGGTCACAAAGCACCGAGCTGATCTCCCTGTGCTATGCGGCTGCTTCCCACTAGCTATCTATTTTACATTTGGTAGTGTATATATGACCATGCCACTCTCTCACTTCGTCCCAGCTTACCCTTCCCCCTCCCCATATCCTCAAGTCCATTCTCTAGTAGGTCTGTGTCTTTATTCCCGTCTTACCCCTAGGTTCTTCATGACCTTTTTTTTTTCTTAGATTCCATATATATGTGTTAGCATACGGTATTTGTTTTTCTCTAACTTACTTCACTCTGTATGACAAACCCTAGGTCCATCCACCTCACTACAAATGTCTCAATTTCGTTTCTTTTTATGGCTAATACTTTGTTTTAAAGTAAGAATTCGATTAACACAGGGGTAAGAGAGAGTGATTGAAGAGAACTTGTAGCCCTTTGCTTGCTCGCAGCTGCTTCTCCCTCTGTAGTCCCTGACGTGGGGAGGGGCTGGCGCACCCCCTCTCCTTGCCTGCAGCTAAAACAGCTCAAGGGCGCAGGGACGTCACCCTGCTGCCCGCTCGCACGTTAATTCACTCTGCCTCTTGGAGGTTAATTTGAATTCCCGGACCCCGCTTCCCCTATCAGCCAGGCAATTACCAAGATGTAATTTGATTTCTCTGGCAATAGACAAGGGCTCGGAACTTTTTATCTCGTGGTTTCTGATATCTTGGGTTAGAGAATACTGAAAATTCAGTTATCTGATGTACATCTGCTTCCCATCAAAGCAAGTTTCATTTTTCTCCTTTGTCTCTGAACTAGAAACAGTAAGGAAAATGCTACTGTTGGTAGAGTTTTAGATAAACTGTCATGCCTTGTTGGCATCAAAACAGGGCAGATGGAAGATTTATAGCATATTTTCCAAAAGTACAGTAGTTGTTTTGTGTCTTCAGTGTGTATATTCAGAAATCCTTTTTGAGATCTGACCATACTTCTCAGCTTATTTGTTTTTTAAATAATCAGCACCCCCAATCCCTGCCCCCCTTATTACCAGTCTGCAAACACATCCTAAAGGAAGAAGGGAATTGAAATAGAAGGCACAAGGTTACCACAGTGGTGGATTTGAAGTCCGTGAAGCAGCCATTCCTTGCTGCAGATGTATGTGCTTATTTTATCCTCCCTAATTGGCTTAACTAAAGTCAGTCATGCTGAGATTTCATTTACTTATCATGTCTTTACACAGTAATGCTCATTGAATAAAGTTGAAATTTCCTTTCCACAGTCTAACCCCAACCTATGTTTCCATTCTAATATTGCACTTCTCCCTTGTATCTGCCCTTTCTATTTCATTTTCTTCATCTCTTAATTTTCAGTCCACTGTGATTGAGACTTGTTCCACTGTCCACTGAAATTGTTCAGGCTAAATGCCCCAGCAACTTCCTGATTGCCAAATTCAAGGGACTCTGTCAGATTCTCATCTTCCTTTGGCATCTGTTTCTGACCACTCCCTCCTGGAAGCTTTTGTGATGTTCTCGTTGTTCTACTCTTCTGACTTCCTTTTCCATCTTTGCTGGCTCTTCTTCGCTTCCCCTTTAAATATTAGCGGTTCTGATTTTAACCCTCCTCTTGCTACAGTAGTGGCCCTTAACTTCACTAAGGTTATAGTACCCTCTGGACACATATTGGAAGCTGAGAATCCTCTTCCTAGAAAAATACACATGTGCTAAAAATGTTGCATACAGTTTGGGTGTAAGGACCTCAGAATAACACTCTCTCTCACACTCCTTTTCATAAGTGATCTTATCCTCTCTCTTTTTTCAGCAGTTCCCATTATGCTGACGATTCCTCAAAATGAATCTCGAAACCTATACATCCAGTGCAGGACTCCCACCTTGCTTAACTCCAGAAAGTACCATTCACATTGTAGCCATTGTGAATGGCAGTCCTTGGAGATGTGCATTTTCATAAGTGGTGTGCCCAGATACTGCATACCGGCAGCCTCTCTTCCATGCCTCGGAGGCACCTCATACCCAACAAGTCTGATAGTGAGTCCATTACCCTTCCTCCCAACCTGCTTGTCTTCCTGTATTCCTTGCCTTGGGGAGTAGCACTACCATCCATCTAGTTGCAAGCCAGAAATCTGGAAGAGATCAACATTTCCTCCCATTAACCCCTTAACCAATTGTTGATCGTGATCTCGAATTTCCACTGCCATAACACAACTGTCTCACAGGCATAACTCCGTCCACTTCCCATTGCTGCCTCCTCCATTCAGGTCCCCATTTGCCAGAGGGAACATTTATCTCTTGGACTACTGAAGTTGGCTCTCCGTTGCTCTTTCTTCAGTATGCCACCTGTCAAATCCATCCTGAAAGCTGCCAGAGTGATCTTTCTAAAAGACAGGCCTGATCATGTTATCACTTGTTTAAGACTTTAATAACTTCTCTTAGAAGAAAGATGAAACTTTTTAACATGGCATAATTATGATCTTCCATGATCTGGCTGCTCCTTACCTTGCCTGTTTCATCCTTAGCCAAACCTTGCTTTGTACCCTTTGCTTTAGCCTCACAAACTACTTGCAGTTCCTGGAGTGGCCATGCCTCATTGACTTTGCTTATGCTGCGCTATTGCCTTGCATATCCTTTTATCTTTTATCTGTCTTTCAGGTCTCAACACCCAGATCGTTTATTCCCACTCCTTCACACCCTCATCATCCTACCCTGTGAAAAAGGCTACTCTGACCTCCCTACTTTGTGCCTCTGTTGTTTTAGGATCTAACAGCACTTTTTTCATCAGTCATTTCTAATATGTACATGTCTGGCCCTCCTTACAGATTGCAGAGTCCTTGAGGACAAGGACTTCTTCATCTTATCTTTCTCACCAATGTCTTACATATAACTGGTGTTCGGATCATTTGAATAGTCATAATATGCCTTTTAAGGAACTTATGTACTTGTTACTACCAGTACTGTTATTATTATTTATTTTTTTGGTTAAGACCTTAAACAATTTTTCTTTGCATGGTATTAGAATCTATTGTTCCATATAGGCTTGCTTTTCTTAGAATAGTATTCCCAAAAGGTCAGTTCGCCAAGCAGAGAATTTACACAGGTTGTTCCTTCTCTCTTGGTTCAGTATCTTGTGGGAAAGGATGCAGCACCTAGGTCCTCACACACTGTTGAACAGTGATCACACGTTCTGATTCTCAGCAGCCCCTACCATGGCTTTTTCTGGGGAGCCTCCATTTTTTCTTTAACCTTTCATGTATTTGTCTCATCTCCTTGACTACATTATAAACTGGGAAGTGAGTCTTTGTCTTTCTTGCCCAGTGATTTCGTCTGTGGGTGTTCAGTATGTTGAATGATTTTAACATATCGAATGGTTATTGTTTACAGGGTAGGATGTTATTACACACACATATATGTATATAGAAAACACTTTACTTTAGTTTAAATATTGCAAAAACCAAACTGAAGTTAGCTTCTCCTGTTTTATAGTATTTGTACAGAATGTCATCAGATGAGGAGAAATGCTCACCTCCAGTTTTGCACAATGAATCCGACCGAGGCAGTTCTGTCTCTTCAGATCTTCAGGTAGGAAGACATGTCTAAATTTGTCATGACTTATTTATTTTGAACAAGAGACAATATGAGGGAAAACTAGGAATACATTTTTCATTCATTCATGCCATTTACAATAATAATGTGTATCAAATTATAATAATATCAAACTTTGGGAATTATTTTACAAACCTTGGGAAATACCTTACATTGTTTTAATTAACCTTTCAGAAAATAATCATGAACGCTTCCAGCATTCTCTGTACAAAGGCTTCAAACAACACAGTGAGAGGAGAAGCTGGAAATCTGAAGAAACATTTTTTCTTGAAATTTTCTCTTTGTAGCTCTCTCATGTGAATGCTGCTTTCACTTTAATGCAAATTAATCCAATATCAAGCCATCCAGAGTTCTGGGGCCCTAGATTCCCCAGTGTTCCACTGTTGGTTCTGGCCCCTGTTGCCATACCATTCAGCACCTGCTGGTGCCCAGGACCTGGACAGTGACAGGTACATTGACTACAGAAGGCGTGGCTTTTATATGAAATGTTTTCAATATCTTTTAATTCTAAGTGTTTTATCATCAAAAATATGGATTCAGATTTCTAGAGTAGATTTTAAATGAGAGAATACGGACACGGTATATCTTGGGTTTTATGGTTATATTACTTAAGAGGGGAAAAGCTGGATGGTATGTTTATGCCTAAGTAGAGTAAGTTGTTACTGGCACTGCATAAGATGACAGAAGCTTTAGGGAAATATTTTATGAAACAGATGTGTTCCTTTAATTGAAATAACAGGTTTAGGAATTGGGAAGCTATTGGAAAAGTATCTGTGAATATTTACTAGGGTAAAAGTGGTCTGGAATTGTGACTTAGATGTTTCATCCTTGCTTTCCCTTTGGATGTTACCTCTCCCATATAGTGCTATCTCTTTAGGCAACAGTGTTGTCCTGCACCCTTCATCTTTGCCATATCCAAACTTCCTTCAGGAGAGAACTGATTAACTTATTTATACCTGTGATAGTGTGAGTTATAATAAATAGTTGGTCTTCATCCCATTTCTGCCACAGAGCTCCTAAACCTATTGGAATTTCCTAACTAGTGAGAATGATGGTATCTTTTGTTATGTTGATGATGTGACTTTTGGACCTCGCCTAAGGATGGGGACTGGTTGCCAGGAGAGACAACCATGTTATCAGAGGGTTGAAACGTTCAGTCTCACCCCCCGACCTCAGGGAGAGGGTCTTGGAAGTTGAATCAATCGCCAGTGGTCATTGATTTATTCAGTTATGCCTATTTAATGAAGCCTGCATCAAAACCCAAAAGGACTGGGTTTGGGGACCTTCCAGTTGGTGAACACGTGTAAGTGCTGGGTGACTGGCCTGCCAGGAGAGGGTACGGAAGCTCCATGCCCCTTCCCCATACCTTGCCCTGTATATTTCTTCCATCTGGCTATTTCTGGGTTATATCCTTTTACTGGTAATCTAGTAAGTAAAATGTTTCTCCAAGTTCTGTGAGCCCTCTAGCAAATTACTCAAACCCAAGGAGTGGGTCTTTGGAACCTCCAGTCCATAGCTGGTTTGTCAGAAGCACAGGTGATAACCTGGACTTGCGACTGGCATCTGAAGTTGTGGGGTGGGGGAGGGAAGTTTTGTGGGACTGATCCCTTCACCTTTGGAATCTGATGCTATCTCTGGTGGAAAGTGTCAGAATTGAGTTGAATTATAGGACACCCAAGTGGTGTCTAAGAATTGCTTAGTGGTGGGGGGGAAAAACTCACAGGACCTTTAATACTAAAATGTAAACACCTTATAAGATCTTCAGACTTTTTTATCACACAAGCAGCACCCAAAGACTCAAACTTAGAATAAGTGCTAATGATAAGCATGTGACAAGGTGTGAAGTCACTGGCTACCACACAGCTCATCACTCTCGTGTCATAAGGAGGGACTGGCCCCATCAGATGTGCTTGAGTTTGAGTGGCTGGTAGTTGGTGTGGACCACCTATGTCATAGTTGTGTGCTCACCGGTACAGCTTACTTGAGCAGATGTGTACAGGTGTGAAGTTAAAATAACAACAAAACATAAACTTGTACAGAGCTACAACCTTTCCAATCTATGACACATTCACAAGAATTTGACATCAATGGCAGAAGGAGCTTTATTCCAACTAACAAACAAATTTAATAATATACAGCTTCTGGCCTGTTAAAATTTAGTATATATGTCACCTTTGATAGTGTATGCTCTTTTATTAATTTTTTAAAGAGTTAAATAGCTCAAAAATGAAATATGAAGAAAATATTGTGGATTCCCTGAAGTACCTTCTTAGAAACTAGTTTGAAACATATTGATATTGACTACTTACATAGTCTACAAGGTAGTTCTGACTTCAGAACTCTGACTGCAATTACATCTATTCTTTCGGGAAACACAAGACACTATGACATATTCATGGCCAGAAACTTGAGTGTGTTTAGACAGTTAAATATTCTTACTCATAGAAAACAGGGAAAAAGTAAGGGTTGCTAATTTTCAAACACCTGTACCATATCATAACGGTCTTACTAAGGTAAGGTTCTTTCTTTGCTTTAGACAGAATCTCTGTTAACTCAATTCAGCAGATGTTTACTGTGACACTTCAAGGAGGTAATTTTTAGCATCATTTTTCTTCATCCTGAAGGTGAATCAAATAATAAGACAGTTATGACCAATGAAATGATGATAGTGGAGTTTTCTGTATCTGAACTAAACTTTTTATGGAGAAAAATTAATATTAATTCTTTAGAATAATGACATTTCATATTCTTGAAAACCTTCCCCCCATTTTTACTGCAAAGACGTTCTCTGGGTCCATGGCATAATATCCTTAGAAATTACTCCTGAATAGGAATATTTGTTGCCTCAGTGACCAACCCCTTTTGAATGGAGACTAAGTTCCAGTATATTTTTTACTTCACTGATAGAATTTTTTGGTTTGGCTAAACAAATATCTAACTATCTATATTAGGAAATTCCACTTTTTTTTTTTTAACTTGAGGAATATTCCTGTAAGGTCTACACTTTATGGCGTGCTTTTTTTTATCCTCCTTTGGCATGTGCCATGGTGTGCCAGCAGGTAGAATGCAGGTTGGCATTGTGTTCTCTTTTTATCTTCAGTATTCTTTCTCTCCCAGTATCTCTCATACTCTTTCCATGCTTACATATGAAAAGAGACTCAGGGTTGTTGTAGAATTGGGTGGGAGCAGGGATTGATCAGAGCCAAAACCACTTTTCATCCCTAGACCTTCCTGTTGTGGAGTCTTTGGGAGCAGCATCTTAGAACTAAATTTCAGAAAAGCAGAGAAATTGCCGTGTCTTTTCCCACCTGCGAGCAGCTGCCAATTGAAAGAGGGCTCTTCTGTGTTGTAGATGTTGATCGGCTTCAGGAAACTGCTCTAGGTAATCTGTGTCACCATTTTAAATTGACATGCTGAAGGAATATGGGTACTAAGGCATTAGCACTAGAAGAAATTTGGGTAGGTATATTTGTTGGATTTTTTGCTTGTTTTTAAGAAATTTTACTTACTACAAGAGAGTGAGTAAATGATGAATGAAAAACATAAATCAAAAGTACACATTCCTTACTATCGTTTGGGCATACTGTTTCGGGAACTGAAGTAGAAAACATCTTTGTGCCTTTACCATTCTTTTGCCTGAGTGTCCCTTGTGACAGGGATATAATACATTATTTATTGTTGGCTTCTCATAGGAAGAGTATGAAGAACTGCTTCGTTATGCTATAGTGACTCCAAATATTGAATCAAGTGCTTCACAGCCGTCTCATTCTAAGGGAGAAGTGGTGCCAGATATTAGAATTCCTACTATAATTGATGATATTCTTCAAAATCCAGGTTATGTATATTTTTCGAGATGTCTCTTCATTTAAGATGTTACTGAGTTTTTTAATGCTGTTGACTTTTGATTGTGAAAATACTTCTCCAGTGATTCTTCTCAATCAACAGTGTATATCACTATAATTTGGGGGAAATTTTACATTTTAATACGTTTTTCTTGGCTCTTCTATAACAGTTGGATTTTTATTTGAACTTCATTTAGCTATTTTATGAAAAGTCATAAAATTAGAGCAACGGAGTATGTTGCATCTCTGTACTTGTTACAATGGTTTTATGCCAGGAGACACTGGAAACGAAATGCCCAAGCCCCCAAATTAGAGATGGTCTATAGGTAGCCCTCAGAACCCCTTAAGTTCACGAACCATGTGCTAGGACTTTGTCAGCAGTATTTATACGGGCCTGGAGGACTGTTTGGATTGTTACCGCAAAGGTGAACCCATTTTTGAACTGTGTCACTGATAGAATTGAGAACTAACACAAACCAGGATGTGTGTTGATAGATGAGTGAGTGAAAGGTAGAGAAAGGAAGATAAAGCTCCTTTTACCAATCTGTTCCTTATTTGATACAAGATTCCAAACAGCTCACTCAAAACAAGTGTTCTTTCAAGGGGCACAGATAGCCCTCCTAAAACAGCCCTGATAATGGGCAGTTATCAACAATAAGCATAACTCCAAGGATCCCTTGTTGAAGCACATGACACAGCCTAGTCAGAGCCAGCAGGCTCTTGGGTTCCTGGTAAGTCACAGCCCTAGTGTCTGTTGTTCCTCTCCCTCTGTAGACATGGAGTTTTCATTGCTCCTCAGCCTACGACACTGGATCAACAAATAGGACCAGAACCTCAAAACATATTTCTTCTACATATTTCTTCTAACACTGAAACGTACTAACACTGAACACTTTCTGCCCAAATTCTGTTGATCTTCAAGAGATATGACCCTTGGATTTATTCATTCTCCATCAGTGATCTCGACCATGTTTTGATTATATGCACTTCCTACTGAGCAAACCCAAAGTGCTGAATACTGTCTTAAAGCAATCACTTTGGACCTAAGAACCCTGGTCTTTTCTAGCATGTAAGATAGTATTCATTTGTTTATGCTCTGCCCTTTTCAAAAAGGACTTGAGATCTAAGCATACAACAGGCAGTGAGTTTAGATATCCTAATTCACACACAGACTTGGTTAGAATGGACTATGTAAATTTATCCCATTCTCTTTACTCTTGGTATTGCCGTTGCTTGTGTTGAAGTTGGCAAAGTCTCTGTAAGCCTCTGACACAGCCATCCTTGTGAGGTTTTTTTTCCCAGTTTCCTTTTCGCCATGTATTAACTAAAGGTTTCTGAGGTGCAAGTAAAGAAGTCCCTATTTGGGGGGAACCGGTGTCACTTTAGTTTGAATGCAGCTAGTGAAAAGCAGCGGGCCCCGGAAATATCCAGTGTTGTAGGATAAGACAGCTTTTCTAAGTTCTAATGTCATTCATCCACTTACTCTTTTAGTGTGAATTGAATGCCATTAGTAGACTGAATTCTTTTTCATCCATATTTTTTGGGTGAATTGAGCTTATTAATGATACAATAAGACTTTTCAAGTCACACTTTTTTTTTCTTCCTATTCTTTGTCTTAATGTTCCTGTATCCCAGCATACTGTATTTTCCTTGTTCTAAAATCTGACTTCTGTACAGCTACCTTCTTAAATTAGGTGTGTGTGATTAGGCATTCTACATAAGACTGGTTAGGTTTAATTAAAAGAAAAATCTCTTTCGTTTCAGCAGGAAATAGCCCTGCAGTAAGAGAAACGAGGATGGAAGTTGGAAAAAGATGTGATTTAAATATTTCAAGTCATTCAAAGATAGACGGTAGGACTTTTCCTTAGCTTATTTTTATTAATATACAACATTTTGTGCTTGGTGAATATTATCCATGTAGTAAGGGGAATAATTGCAGCATATTACTTATTGGCAGGATTTTTAAATGCTATTATTACTAATTTATTAAGTAATACTATTTAAAATAATTTTGGGGGCTTCCCTGGTGATGCAGTGGTTGAGAATCTGCCTGCCAATTCAGGGGACACGGGTTTGAGCCCTGGTCCAGGAAGATCCCACATGCCACAGAGCAAACTAAGCCCGTGCGCCACAACTACTGAGCCCACGCTCTAGAGCCCGTGAGCCACAACTACTGAGCCCACATGCTGCAACTACTGAAGCCCGCGTGCCTAGAGCCCGTGCTCCGCAACAAAGAAGCCACTGCAGTGAGAAGCCCGCGCACCACAACGAAGAGTAGCCCCCACTCACCGCAACTAGAGAAAGCCTGTGTGCAGCAATAAAGACCCAACGCAGCCAAAAATAAATAAATAAATAAATTTATAAAAATAAATAAAATAAAATAATTTGGGGGACTTCTCTGGCAGTCCAGTGGTTAAGACTTCACCTTCCAGTGCAGGGGTGCAGGTCCAATCCCGGGTTGGGGAGCTAAGATCCCACATACCTCGCAGCCAAAAAAACAAAACAGAAGCGATATTGTAACAAATTCAATAAAGGCTTTAAAAATGGTCCACATCAAAAAAATCTTTAAAAAAAATAAAATTAAATTATTTTGTAAGATGCCAGATACTACAATTAAGACAGGTTAATGCATTATAATGTGTGGCATTTTTTCTTAAAACTGCTAGATTAGAGAGCAGATTTTTTTTTTTTTAATATTTATTTACTTATTTTGGCTGTGCCGGGTCTTAGTTGCAGCATGTGGGATCTTCGTTGCAGCATGTGGGATCTTTTAGTTGTGGCATGCATGAGGGATCTAGTTCCCCAACCAGGGATCGAACCCGGGCCCCCTGTGTTGGGAGTGTGGAGTCTTACCCACTGGACCACCGGGGAAGTCCCAAAGGGCAGATATTTTTAAAGATTTAATGGGATATCATTTTGGCCAGTTTAATTTTTTTCATAAACCAGAACATTATTTCCCAACTTTCAGGCATCCATGTACAAACTTAATGACTTTTGTCCCATCTTTTTACCACCTGTCCTATCATTTAGTGTTTTTCTTTAGATATATTCATTTTTAGCTTAAATTCATTTTAAAAGGAAAATTTATATCTGTCATTATTGATTATCGCATAAAAATAATATATACTTGTTACAATTATAAAGCAATGGTTAAAATAAATGCAACTAAAACAAAGTTGTTAAATTTTGACCGAACACTAGTAGTGATGATATGTTCAGCCTGAAGTCTGTTTTTTCTTTGTTGAAGGGTGAGATCAGCAAGTGTTAAAGAGGTTGTAAAAGCATACTAACACCAGACTGAAACTTCTTCTTTGACGTAGAATAATAAAAATAGACTTTTCTTACTATGTGATTCAGTGTTATTTTATTTTATTTTATTTTTTTCGGTACGTGGGCCTCTCACTGTTGTGGCCTCTCCCGTTGCGTAGCACAGGCTCCGGACGCGCAGGCTCAGTGGCCATGGGTCACGGGCCCAGCCGCTCCGCCGCATGTGGGATCTTCCCAGACCGGGGCATGAACCCGTGTCCCTTGCATCGGCAGGCGGGCTCTCAACCACTGTGCCACCAGGGAAGCCCGATTCAGTGTTATTTAATGTAAGGACCATTTAAGCCACCATATAAGAAATGCCTCTATCCTTTAGTTTTCTCACTTATAAATGGAAGACTTGGAGCCTCCCACATTCTTAAGTTGATGCTATTTTTTAAAAGGTGAGTATATATTTAAAAACAACAACAAAAAAACAGAGCCATGCTTTTTCCCTGAGTGCAGATCTAATTGTAGTAAAAGAGAATATTCATGTACTTTGTCATTCTGCCTTTTTCTTTGGGTTCCTTAACCATCTTCAGAACAAGTAGGTAGTGTTTCATTGTATGACTAGCCTGAACCATTTTTTTGATACATTTTTTTTACACAAAATATATGTATTAGGGAATGATTTTCCCTTTTGCAAAGTATTCTGGAAAGATTTACTTTTAAGTAACAAGTTCTATAGTAGATTATTCTTTGTTTGATACATTCAGTAAGGAAAAGAGGAAAGCCCTTCAGTCTTGATTATTAGGACCCTTATAGTAAAAGTGTGAGATACATGAGAAGTTATGATGAATAGTCTGTAATTCCAATATTCATGTGTGATAAAATAGTAACTTTTCTATTTTGTGCTTTTTAAAGATAGATACCAATTCTCTTTCTAGCTCTGGCTCTCACACCAACCCCCCATGTACATGGGAAGGAGGTGGGAGTGATGTACATATGTACATACATATATATAGTTACATATATTTCTCATCTATATGTTGAAGGCTCACAGGGTGCCTTACAACTGAGTGTTTGATAAACTAAACTAGTCTCTTATAGTGTGGAATTTTAGTAGTGTTAAAACCCACCCCATTGTTTTACATAAAGTAATAATGACTTATATACAGCCACTCTGACCTTGGTCAGTTACTTAACCCTTTCTAAACCTCAGTTTCCTCATCAGTAAAATGGAGATAATAATACCTTTTTCTTAGAGTAGTGTGTATTATGAGCTCATCCTTATGACGTTTTTATTACAGGAACATGAAAAGCAGTTAGTAAATGTTGATATGATGATGTGAATGATAATAGTTTCAGCTCAGGCTATACCTAGGTATATGAAACATCCTTATTTGGGATAGAGGTCATTTGTGGGTGGGGGAGGGAAGCGTAGGAGACTTCTTGTGCTGGTCAGTCCTAAATCAGTGACAATACTGAAATTTAAAATAGCCAGATTCAGTACACTGAAAGTCCATTCTCTGCATTTTCCTCAGCCTCCACAGATAACTGACATCTTGTAGGCTTCCAGTATAACTCCTTACCAATTTGGGTTATTTTCAATTTAGCTAACCACTCCAACTTTTCTTTTCTTCTAGGGTCATCACCAGTGTCGTCCCCAAGGAAGTCACCTCACCTGGTTTTGGACTTCTTCAGTTCGAATCTTTTAGTTGACTCTTCCTCACCAAGGTCTAATTCTAGTCCTGTAGATGCCCATGAAGTAGTTGGGACCGATTTTCTTATTTCTGATGAAAACCTTCAAAAGATGGAAAATGTGCTTGATCATTGGAGTTCAGGTCTTAAGGTATTACAGTGTTCACTTACAATTGTTTAATATGTAGTATAGCAGTTTTGCTCTTGATTGCACTGTTTATTCTTCTTTTCTTTGAATTAAAAAGTTAAAGAAAAACAAAAAAACTTTAGTTGCCTTAGATCAGTCCAGTATCTTAAATGTATGCCTCTCAATTGTTAACATCCATATGAATCGTCTGGGGATTCTGTTAAACTGCAGCTTCTTATTCAGTCGGTCTTGGTCATGGTCCAAGATGGTGCATTTCTTTCTTCTTTTTTTTTTGAAACACACATAGTTAGACCTGTACCACTTTTTAAAAAAATTTTTTATTTAGTTTTATTTATTTATTTTTGGCTGCATTGGGTCTTCGTTGCTGCACATGGGCTTTCTCTAGTTGCGGTGAGCGGGGGCTACTCTTCATTGCTGTGTGCGCGCTTCTCATTGTGATGGCTTCTCTTGTTGTGGAGCACAAGCTCTAGGCTCCCGGGCTTCAGTAGTTGTGGCACGTGGGCTCAGTAGTTGTGGCTTGCAGTCTCTAGAGCACAGGCTCAGTAGTTGTGGAACATGGACCTAGTTGCTCCGTGGCATGTGGGATCTTCCCGGACCAGGGCTCGAACCTATGTCCCCTGCACTGGCAGGCAGATTCTTAACCACTGTGCCACCAGGGACGTCCCTAAGATGGTGCATTTCTAACAAGCTCCCAGGTGATGGTTCAGAAGCCATACTTTGAATAGCAAGGTTTTAAATAGTTGCTGGAACAGCTCTCCATGTGCTACTGAACTTCTCGAGATGTTTTGAAAGGCTCAGCCTGTGTGACTGAGAGAGACACCTATTGAGCCTTTCCCACATCGTACCTATGACTAATGGAAATGTCTCCTTTTATATGAAGCATAAGACCCAATTTTAGCAACATGTATTCATTTTATAGCCACTCTTATGGCAACCACAGTATGTAACTGATAAATCAATAAAAATTGATTTTTATTTTGGTGATGTTAATGGCCTCTAAATAAAACAAAGTAATCCAGAAATGGCAGTTTTTCTGCTATTTAAAATATAATGGAGAAAATGACAGTTCTTCTGAAACAGTTTGAGAAAACTAAGCTGAGTATTCACATATGTGGAGAAATTATGGTCATGAGAGTTTTGTGGCATCTATATTTTCTCCATTATTTGGAACCTTAAATTCTAGAAGTAATCTTTTAGTATAATTTCTATCATTTTTCTCCAGGGAACAGGTTTCATACTTCTAATCGTGGCGTTAAGTCCATTGGAGTAATGTACCACCAACCATTTAAAAATTGTCCTATGTTCAGTTAACCATACTGTTACCCAGTTTTTTAATACTGTTATCCAGTTTTTTGATAACATGATTATTTGGTCTTTTTATTTATGCCAGTCAGTAGGGTGAAAAGGGATCAGTCTTAGCAATTTGTTGTAAGGTGGCTGTTGTGATGAATGAATTGGAGGAAGAAAACGTCAACTCCAATGGTTTCCACTGTTCATCTCTATCTAAATAATATCCCAGTCCTGTGGCTCAGCCTAGGCCATAGTCCTGCATTTCCTTTTTGTCTGATCCACCTTAATATGGATATTTAAGTCCTTGAGTAAACAAAGGAACTGTTTATTAATGAATGAGACCTAAAAAATATTTTAATGACACTAAGGTTTCATACAAAGTAACTTAAAATAGGGAAAAAAATCATGTCCTTAGTATGGTGAATGTGAACTAAGAAGAGCTGTGACTGTTGAACTTGCAGATGTTTTCATTAGTGGATTTTTTTTTTAAGCTCTTATGTTGATTGTTCTGATTTTTAAAAATTTTTTCTTAATTTCAGTGTCATTTTATGAAGCGGTATTAAGGAACAGACTACTTAATTGTCAGTATATTTATTTTTCAGACAAACATCATATCTGAACTAAGTAAATGGAGACTTAATTTTATTGACTGGCACCGAATGGAAATGAAAAAAGAGAGAGAAAAGCATGCAGCAGATATAAAACAACTGTGCAGCCAGATCAACAGCTTGAAGGAGCTGCAAAAAACCTATGAAGTCTCCATTGGGAGAAAAGATGAGGTCTTCTTTTTCATACTGCTTTTTAACTGAGATTCAGTAAATGTCTTGCTGGGTAATAAATGCCAGGAACTGATTGTTTAGATCATTACAAGATGCAAAGGGAAGATCATTTCAGAAACTGGTAGAAAAATAGATGCATAGAAACAAGATTTATTCTTCACATTAAATGTGCCAGGATCACGTCATTTTATCTTTGCCATCACGTTTTGTGTGCTCTAAGAGTGCATATTAAGTGCGGGAACACTAGTCTTTTCTTCCCAATCTTTTCTTCCTAACTGCCCTTAACAGAATGTCAGGGAACCAGCATTACCCACATTTTCAACCATCCTTTCGGAGGGGCATAAGTATCCCACATTCTATCTGTTATATGTCTTTATTCATTAATGAAGTCCTTCATTTTGTTGATAAGCCCAAGAGCACTGTTTATTTCACTTTCTGTCAGCCTCTTAAGAACTTGAGAGTAGGGTTCAAATCTGGGCTAATTTTGTGCTTCCCAACAGCACCTTGAACAAAGCAGATGGGCAGCAAATCTGTAGCTCCCCCAGGAGGATGGTGACCTTCAGAGAAGAGGGACTCACAGCAGACACCTCAGCTACTTGTCTGCAGATGCAGCACTCACTGTTTTAATGAACTAGATAAGATTATTGGTTTTTTTAAATATACTTTTTTGGGGGTGTTATAGGGTGCAATGTAAAATTGATCATTTTACGTAGTTTGCTTTTTTGAAACAATAGATACTAATGTCAGTCATTTTCTCTATTACCCTCAAAATTCTCTCCTAAGGTTTTAAAATATTTTATTAAATTTAATTTTTTTATTTCAAAAGTGTCACACGCAAAAAGAGTATATATGCATATCCAGTTTTTGAAAATAAAGTGAACAGCCATGTGCCACTACACAGTTTAATGGACTATTACTAGTATCTTAGAATTCCTGCCCTTTTCCACTTTTGAAAATTATTTAAAGAACCAGAATGTCTCTCAGTAAATATGCCTAATTTACCAAATCTCTTTTTAATGGGACCATTTTTAGATATATATTTCAGTTACTCAGTTCTTTATAAGAAAGAATATTGGGCTTCTCTGGTGGCACAGTGGTTGAGAGTCCGCCTGCCGATGCAGGGGACGCGGGTTCATGACCCAGTCTGGGAAGATCCCACATGCCGTGGAGCGGCTGGGCCCGTGAGCCATGGCTGCTGGGCCTGCGCGTCCGGAGCCTGTGCTCCACAACGGCAGAGGCCACAGCAGTGAGAGGCCCGTGTACCGCAAAAAAAAAAAAAAAAAAAAAAAAATTATTTCAGGATTTAAAAGCCTTCATAGATTTTTTTTTTAAAGAACAGGAATAATATCACTGAAAAAGTACATCAAAGTGTAACAATTATTTGCTTTTATGAGTTTGTTGAATCCAGAAAATCATTAAACAATTATTGAGAAACTTCTAATCCAAGGTATTGAAGGTATTTAGGGGCTAGAAAGATATTTTAAACCTGGTCTCTGCCCTCAAGTCTAGTGAATAAAAACATTTTGTATACGTAGTAAAACTCTCAAATGTATGGTTGTTTTTCTTGAATTAAATTCCAGTGATCATATTAATTTTCATATACTGTATATAAACATTTTATTGATTATTACCAGGATACACATAATGAAGATTTCTTTCCTCTTTTGTTCCCCTTCATTCATTGATAAGTAGTGTATTCATATGGGAAAGTTTTTTAATGAGGTTAACTAGATGAATACAGTAGTGATCCATAAGTATTCTCTCTAGCGTTTTTTGATATATAAAAAAACCCTTTTACTAATTGCTGTTTACAGGTGATTTCTAGCTTGTCTCATGCCATAGGCAAGCAAAAGGAAAGGATAGAGTTGATGAGAACATTCTTCCGCTGGCAAATCAGCCATGTCAAATCCAGACAGGACGTAAGTGTGAAAAAGAAAAGCTGACTGACACTTATTAGACTTCTGAACTCAGAAGCATTTAGAATCATGTATTAGAACTCTTGTTCAAGTCAAAGAAAGATTTTTTTTAGTAAGTCAAAATGAATTAACAATTTAATGTTACTCTTGTTTTAAAGGAACTTGATTTTTGGTATGGCTTGGGAAAAAATACTTCTTATATTTTATAGACTTATTGATATATCATTTTCTACTTCATAGTAGGTTAGTAAGAACTGTACCTAAATTACAGATGTCCTGGTGGTGGAATCCCCTTTAACAAATTTGACTTCAGATGTAATCACATGAATTTATCACCTTTAGCATATCATATGCTTCCTATATTAGTTCTACTTCTAAAATACCTGAATATATCATCTTCATAAAGAGGCAATACTTTAATTATAAAATTGCATGTTTGTTGCATAACTTGCCTTAATAAGAATTAAAGAAATCCATGTCCATAAGCTTTTTAAAAACTATCCTTAGTTTATATATAATTTAAACTTGAATATCTTTTATTTTAATTAAGTGAGCTGAATCAGCCGCATAGCACAGGGAGATCAGCTCGGTGCTTTGTGACCACCTAGAGGGGAGGGTGGGAGGGAGGGAGACGCAAGAGGGAGGAGATATGGGGATATATGTATATGTATAACTGATTCACTTTGTTATAAAGCAGAAACTAACACACCATTGTAAAGCAATTATACTCCAATAAAAATGTTAAAAAAAAGTGAGCTGAATCAGTATATCAGTATAAATATAAGCTGAGAATAGTAAGTTATTGTATCAGAAGTAGAAAAGTATGAAAGTATATATGTATCCCACAAGAAGGCAGAATACAGAGACTCAAAGAGTGTAGGGGATGGAGATTATATATATATATATATATATAATTTTTTTATATATGATGCCCATGTGAGTCATGGAGTAATCTTTGTGCATTTAGTTCCAAGAGATTAATATTTAAGGAAAAGGCTGTTACTGTCATGGAACAGGATTTCTCCTTTAAGAATACTTATTAGTGCTTCTTTTTTAAAATTAATCCTGTGACAGGGCGAGAGAGAGTCATGGGCATATACACACTAACAAACGCAGTAAAGTAGATAGCTAGTGGGAAGCAGCCGCATGGCACAGGGATATTGGCTCGGTGCTTTGTGACAGCCTGGAGGGGTGGGATGGGGAGGGTGGGAGGGAGGGAGACGCAACAGGGAAGACATATGGGAACATATGTTTATGTATGACTGATTCACTTTATTATAAAGCAGAAACTAACACACCATTGTAAAGCAATTATACCCCAATAAAGATGTTAAAAAAAAAAAAAATTAATCCCAATAGATTAAATCTACATTAACCATATTTAAAAGAGCTATTTAAAACTGAGTCATATTTTGAAAGTTATTTATTGGGTGACATAATGAGAATATGTTCAACTGTTAGTTGAAATAGTTGAAGTTGCCATCAGTTTTTGAATAAAAAAATTTTTTAAGAAAATCAAAAATTGGATATGCTCCTTCAAAAGAATTTAAATTCATTGATAAAAGAAGAATAGCATATGTTCCTACTAGGATCATTTTGGTACTAAATATGATGGTAAAGTATGTAAATTAAATTAATCTGCTTATGGTGGTGGCCACCAAGCTGTAGAGAAAGCAGGGCCATCTGGAGCCACAGTCACCACCCTTTCTGCCTTCCAGCTCCTAGCCCTGTTTTCAGCTAAAAGGTCATGCGAATTCATAACCAAGATGGCAAGGGGCAAGTTAACTCATTTTCTTTCATTTGTTTTTTGTTTTCCCCCTACCTTGATTAGTTGCATAAAGCAATGATGTAATGGATAAGAGCTTAGGCTCTGGAATGAGGCAAGGTTGGCTTTTCCCTTTCTGCCTGTGTGACCTAGGCAGGTTGCTTAACCTCTTTAAGCCTGTCCTCCCATCTGCACATGAGAAGAACACGATTACACAGTATTAAATGATAATGCATGTACCCTGCTTCCTGCAGGCTGATGTTTTTTGTTACTACTGCCAGTATATTTTACCAGTCCACTGTGTTTTTGAGGTTGTATATTACTTTCGTTTAGGTTTATGAAAGTAAACTAGCTGACCAGTACTTCCAGAGAACTTTACTGAAGAAAGTCTGGAGAGGCTGGCGGGCCATAGTACAGAAGCAGTGGAAAGAAGTGGTGGAACGAGCTTGCCAAGCAAGAGCTGAGGAAGTCTGTGTCCAGATTTCCAATGACTATGAAGCCAAAGTTGCAGTGGTAAACTTTTTTTTTCACTTTTTTAATAAAAGTAAAAAAGATGGGTAGCATCACTCACTGTTAGTTTACAGTTAGGCAGAGTAACCCATTTCTCCAATTTCATTCAGTGCAGTGTGGGTTCAAATGAGACTACTGGGAACGAACAGTACTAGTCAGACTTACAGACTTATTTGTTCTTTTAAGTAGTTATAACTTTGACCTCCAAACCTGTGTTAAATCTCTTGCATGTACATTTCTCTTGGAAATGTAAATCAGCCACAGATCCTTACATCTCTAAGAAAGCATACTTTCTTAGGCTTCTTTTGGCCTTTATTTAGCCAGAAATAAAGACCAAAAACAAAAGTGTTTATCCTGATGTTATTTTAAGTGTACTGTGTTTTTATAATGTTGGTATAAAGTGTTTGTATATAAATTGAAGTTATTTAGACTTATAACAATAATATTAACATTGTTTCCATGGGAAAACGTTTGAGACCCAAAATGAAAATAAAACCATACTAAAGAATGCAGTAGGCCTCTTGAAATCAAATATTAAGAGGAAAAAAATTTTTTCATCATTATAACACTAAATTCTTAAAGTTTTATTATGCAAATAATTTTCTGCAATTGAAAATGACATGCAAAACCGCAGTCCCTTTTTTATTTTTTTTAATTTATTTTAATTTATTTTTATTTTTGGCTGCATTGGGTCTTCATTGTTGCGCTGGGCTTTCTCTAGTTGCGGAGAGCGGGGGCTGCTCTTCGTTGCGGTGCGCAGACTTCTCATTGCAGTGGCTTCTCTAGTTGCAGAGTACAGGCTCTAGGCGCAAGGGCTTCAGTAGTTGTGGCGCATGGGCTTAGTTGCTCTGCAGCATGTGGGATCTTCCCAGACCAGGGCTCGAACCCATGCCCCTTGCATCGGCAGGTGGATTCTTAACCACTGCGCCACCAGGGAAGTCCCATGCAGTCCCTTTAGATTTGGTCTGTGGGAAAGTGTTGTACCTAATGGCACTTTGCACTTTAAATTCTATAGATAACATCTAGTTAAAAAAAAACAAAACAAAAAACTGTTACTGTTGCAGGCGTTTAGTTATTTTTTTCTGAAGGGGTGAGGGCTGTTTGGGGCTCTTAATATATTTTGTTTAGTATCCTACATAAAAATTTTATGGTGAGAAATAACATCATTCTGTATAATTAGAACACATCAATCAGGATTGGGACTGGTGTAAAATTCCCTTTGTTTAAACCCTGACTTTATGGTTAGGAATGAAAATGGTTTGTTGATGGAGACAATAGAGGTTAGATGCATCTTTTAAAATAAATTGAGACACAGCAGAAGAGGTATGTGGTAAAGTGATTTTAGTATTTCACACAAAAATAACTTCACAGTATAAGTCTCTTTTTTTTTTTAAACAATAGATATTCTTCCTTGTGTCTCAATTTTTTTCTCTTCTTTTTAAAAATTTTCCTGATTTTAGTTATCTGGAGCTTTGGAAAATGCAAAAGCTGAGATCCAAAGGATGCAGCATGAAAAAGAGCACTTTGAAGATTCCATGAAGAAAGCTTTCATGAGGGGTGTATGTGCATTAAATCTTGAAGCCATGACTATATTTCAAAGCAGAGGTGATACAGGTTAGTATTTTGTTTAAGATTCTCTGCTTACTTTCAAAAAGGGTTTGAGGAGATTTCAGTGATTGGTGTGGTCTGCAGTACTGATTTTCTGCAGTACCTATGTCTTATCCAGGCACTGCTATTTTTAATATCATGGTGTTATATTCAGTTTTAAATCTGCCATGAAAATTCTCTCAGTCATGGTTACTTACAGTATCTTATATCTGATCAAGTAAACTGTTAACTCAAGTATTTAGGCTCAATGTTATAATAATGCTTTGAATGTATAACATTATTTTAAGGCTCTTTTAACTATAATGGTAATGCCTTTAAGTATAAAATTTCATTTCTGTTTTTTTCTAAGTAGCCAAATTCCTTAGACTGTTTTCATTATTAAATATTTCTTGTCTATTCATGGTTTCCCATTTTTTAAAAATTGCTTGTCTTCCAGTGCAAGAGAGTCCTCAACTAAAACTCATTTTCAACAAGTATACATATCGGCCTATCTATAGAAGTTGAGTAAAATAATTCTATGTCAAGAAAGGTCCATGTATTGGCTAGGATCTGAGTGGCTTTTGTCATCCACATGGCTTAGAACAGCTTTGCCACCAATTTACAAGGAGGCCTATTTTCCTCACTGGGTTTTAGTTTTCTTCTCTGAACAAAGATAATATAAATCTTCCTTACCTGCTTCATAGAGGATTCTTGTGAGAATGCAGTGAAATATAATTGAAAGCACTTTAAAAGACAAAAAATACTTAAACATGTAAGAGGATACTCATGATATAATTACTGCAGTCTTAAGTCAGCCTCCAAAGTTTCATGTACACATTGAACATTTTTGCAGTATTTCCTCATATTAAATCCTGTTTGAAACTCAGTTTATTTATTGAGACAATTTCATTTTGTACCATCATTAATATGATTTCAGTCCTGTGAATAACTTGTCTGTGCTTGTTATGCCCTCATTTTAAAGCATCAATAAACAGTTTTTATTTCAATTGTGCACGCTATAGATGGTAGTGAGTTGAGGCAAATCGTTTTCTTTCTCAGACAGTCATGGTATGTGGCCCACATGCAAGTTAGAAACTTAGAATCATAGAATCTTGAAGCTGAATGGTTTATCTTGCTAATACCCAAATGAGTACTTGATTTCTCTAGTAAATCGTATTTTAATTGAGTATTAATGCTAAAAACAAACTTACCGTCCCCAATGATTGGATAGTCTGCTTTCGTTTGTAATTGTTAGCAAGTTGTATATATTAAATTGAAGAATTTAATTATCTACTTGTAACAGATACTGGGTTTCACAAGTACAGTGAGAAATTATAATCATTAGAACTTGCTACATTCAATTGCAAGAAATCTATTTCTCGTAACCTACTTAAGAAGGTTACGAATTTACTGAGGACAGAGTGTCTTACCACCTTAATAAATTTACTGTCTTAAATTTTAAATTCAAATACAGCTATGTCTCTTACAGGCATATATCCATAACAGGACTTGGAGAAAATGTATTCTGATAATTATACAACATGATTTATTTTGCTCCTATTGCTTTTAAGTCTACTGTCATCTGCAGCTAATGCCAGGTTATGGGATCCCAGCTGTTTTCAGTGGCCTTGTGCTTTGTTTCGTTTTGTTTAATTTTGGCTGTGCCGTGCGGCATGTGGGATCTTAGTTCCCCGACCAGGGATCAAACCTGCACCCCCTGCATTGGAAGCACGGAGTCTTAACCACTGGACTGCCAGGGAAGTCCCCTTGTGCTTTGTTTACCATAACAATGGGTAATAAAGATAAACAGGACTAGTAAGACACATGTTAGCAGTACACACTAGTGTTGACGGAGCTACCAAAGGCAAAAGTTCAGTGTAATATAATGCTGGATTTGCTCTGTGATATTTGTCTTGTGGCATTTTAATAACAGCTATTAAAATAAATTTTTAAAAATTCTCACAAGAGGAACTTCCCTGGTGGCACAGTGGTTAAGAATCCACCTGCCAATGCAGGGGACACGGGTTTGAGCCCTGGTCCGGGAAGATCCCACATGCTGCAGGGCAACTAAGCCCGTGTACAACAACTACTGAGCCTGCGCTCTAGAGCCTGCAGACCACAACTACTGAGCCCGCATGCCACAATTACTGAAGCCCACGCACCTAGAGCCCATGCTCTGCAACAAGAGAAGCCACCGCAATGAGAACCCCGCGAACCGCAACGAAGAGTAGCCCCTGCTCACCACAACTAGAGAAAGCCCGTGCACAGCAACGAAGACCCAAGGCAGCCAAAAATAAATTTTAAAAATAAATTCTCACAAGAAAAAAAAAATTACTTCCGGCCCCCTTAAAGCAATTTTTTTTTTGTTTGCGGTACGCGGGCCTCTCACTGTTGTGGCCTCTCCCGTTGCGGAGCACAGGCTCCGGACGCGCAGGCTCAGCGGCCATGGCTCACAGGCTCAGCGGCCATGGCTCACGGGCCCAGCCGCTCCGCGGCATGTGGGATCTTCCCGGACCGGGGCACGAACCCGTGTCCCCTGCATCGGCAGGCGGACTCTCAACCACTGCGCCACCAGGGAAGCCAAAGCAATTGTTTTTCATAATGCAGATTTTAATAATACAGTGTTTCTAATGTACTGCTCTACTTGTTAGAGCAAAATAAATATATATTTTTTATCTCTTTTGATTCTCTGCTAGCCATAATCTGCAGTGCATCTCATGTTGTACAATATCCTAATCAATCTTATAGCTTAGATAAAAGTTTCTATGAGGTAGACAAAATATGTCAATACAAATGGCCTTTAAAGGGATACCTGCCAATTTTTAAAGTAGTTTTAGGAACAGTAGAAAAATGCTTTCCAACTGAAAAACATACCCAGTTAAAGCGAGAATAATTACTATACTGGTTCCACATAAGTCTGCCACCCACCTAAAAAAAGAGACAATCAGTTACTTTCTATGAAAAACATGTTAAAACTCAGTGTGTGTGTGTGTTTTGTTTTCAAAGCAAAAGCAGTATATGTTGAATTCATCTCTTTCATCAAATTATTTCAAAGGACCTATGCATTGTAATCCTCATTAAACTTTGTTAATGAAGTAACTATTGCTCTATTTTATGTAAAGATAGTCTAAGACAAGAACTTATACAGAAGTCCAAATTTCTGGATGGAACTTATACAGAAGTCCAAATTTCTGGAATTTCTGGAATTGAGGACAACACGGAAAACCTTTTCAGCATAGGGCTACATGATGCCCTCTATTCATATATTCTGAAACATCTCAGTGACTGAATATTGAAATCCTCACCCTGATGTTTGGTACCAGGAAGATATAGTCTTTTTTTTTTAAATTTTATTTATTTTTGGCTATGTTGGGTCTTCGTTGATGCACACGGGCTTTCTGTAGTTGCGGTGCGCGGGCTTCTTATTGCGGTGACTTCTCTTGTCGCGGAGCACAGGCTCTCGGTGTGTGGGCTTCAGTAATTGTGGCGCACAGGCTCTGTAGTTGTGGCCCACAGGCTTAGTTGCTCCGTGGCATATGGGATCTTCCCGGACCAGGGATCGAACCCGTGTCCCCTGCATTGGCAGGTGGATTCTTAACCACTGCGCCACCAGGGAAGCCCCGAAGATATAGTCTTAAATGGAAATTTTAACCAAATTCTAATGCTGGGGGGTGGAAATCTAGAATAGGACTCTTTATCCTGGCTTCTGGAAGCTGACATTATTTATTCCTTTGATCTAAGATTAAGGTTCAGTTTTGAGAGAAGGTTTCTATATATGTGTCACTAAAATCAGTTAAGTGTGCAAATATGCTCTTAATTCATGACATATAATCTACCTGCAGGAACTCATTTCTTTTACAGTATCAAAAGTAAAGATTTTAGTGTTACTTATTGATTTATTATTGTTTGCTGAAAAAATCAAGAATTAAAAATACATTGGTTTTGTTAGGCTAAGAGCAATAGATGGTAAATGAAGAGGGTATGGTGATATCAGAAAACTATTCTAAAGATCTAAATACCAGGCCATTTATCAGGATAGTTGTATTAAATAATGCAAAGAACATAAATCTTTAGGCACAATGTGACCATATTATTATAGTGGTTGTAAGGTCCCAGCTGAGTACATAATTTATTTTTTTACATAAGAGCAAATCATTCATTAGCTTTCACATGTTGAAGGAACTGGTCTGAAGTCTTTAGTGGTTAATGCTGACATTAACCAGTTAACACTGACCAACTGCATTAACCGAACAGTGTTAACCTATCCAGTATATGACACATTTCTACATTTCTGCTGGACCACATTTTGGAGATTATGTATTTTCATTGTTGGGAAGATAAAAGTAATCTTAACTTGGAAGAGTGTTAATGGAATTAATTTGTGATTTATAGGGACAGACTTCACAAATAATAAAAGGGAAGAGTATGGTCCTGGTGTTCAAGGAAAAGAACATTCTTCTCATTTGGATCCTTCAGCTCCTCCAATGCCCTCAGCAATTGCAGTGCCACCATCCCCGCCAGCGGCAGCCCTGGGAGCCACCTGCACTGCTGCCTTTCCCTCTGCTGCTTCCATCACTCCTGCCGGGGCTGCTTCCACTTCCTCTGTTCACCTTCCTGTTTCTGCTCCTCATGGCGCTGCACCGACAGCTACAGCTTCCTCTACACAGGAAGAAATGGTCAGTACAGTTAACTCAGGTGCCTATGTTGGGAAAAAGTTTCCAAACTTGTTTGTATATTGGATATTTTGAACTCAGAACATATTTTCCCATGGAGAAAAGAGTCTATGTGGTCTTTAGGCCAATCCACAGAAAATATTTAATACACAAAGTAGCTAAAACATGAATTTGTAATGAAAATAATACCTGAAACTTCTATTACAATAGTGATAATTAAACAAAAATGAAGAACTTATTAATTTTAAAGGAAATTAGTGGGTACTTTCAAGGGCTTAGGAGGCTAATGGCCTTTTTGTATATTCTTATTTAACTACAGCTTCCCTTTTCCTGGATGCAGACATATTAACACTACTCTGTAGTGACTCCATCTTGGTTAGGTTTTAAGTTTTCATTTATAATTGGAATGAAGATAGGAATTGTTTTTCCTAAAGTCACTAGCTGCTAATAGAGGAGTCCATAGAGGGGGAAGAGTACTGAATGAGGATGGCGTATTTGTGGGAGAATTTACCTGAAGTTAAATTAATCAAGCTATTAATATGCATACTGTGGTTCTGACTTCTCGGCCTCCTGTCATTAAACCTGCATTCTTCAGTGTCTCTCAAGTGAAGGGCACAGGGATACAGGCCAAGCTTATCAGACTCACCTCTGCACGGCTTTTTTTTTAAAAAAACCCTATGCCCTTAGAGAAATGCAAATCAAAACTACAATGAGATACCATCTCACACCGGTCAGAATGGCCATCATCAAAAAATCTAGAAACAATAAATGCTGGAGAGGGTGTGGAGAAAAGGGAACACTCTTGCACTGCTGGTGGGAATGTGAATTGGTACAGCCACTATGGAGAACAGTATGGAGGTTCCTTAAAAAAACTACAAATAGAACTACCATATGACCCAGCAATCCCACTACTGGGCATATACCCTGAGAAAACCATAATTCAAAAAGAGTCATGTACCAAAATGTTCATTGCAGCTCTATTTACAATAGCCAGGAGATGGAAACAACCTAAGTGTCCATCATCGGATGAATGGATAAAGAAGATGTGGCACATATATACAATGGAATATTACTCATCCATAAAAAGAAACGAAATTGAGCTATTTGTAGTGAGGTGGATAGACCTAGAGTCTGTCATACAGAGTGAAGTAAGTCAGAAGGAGAAAGACAAATACCATGTGCTAACACATATATATGGAATCTAAGGAAAAAAAAATGTCATGAAGAACCTAGGGGCAAGACGGGAATAAAGACACAGACCTACTAGAGAATGGACTTGAGGATATGGGGAGGGGGAAGGGTAAGCTGTGACAAAGTGAGGGAGTGGCATGGACATATATACACTACCAAACATAAGGTAGATAGCTAGTGGGAAGCAGCCGCATAGCACAGGGAGATCAGCTCGGTGGTTTGTGACCACCTAGAGGGGTGGGATGGGGAGGGTGGGAGGGAGGGAGATGCAAGAGGGAAGAGATATGGGAACATATGTATATGTATAACTGATTCACTTTGTTATAAAGCAGAAACTAACAAAAAAAATAAAATAAAAAATAAAAATTTTCCATATAATAAACATTATGTTTAAAAAACAAAAACCTTATGCCCTTCTTCCCTACTCTGGCTTGGATCTGGCACAAAGGCATGTACAGTTCTATAAAGGTGCTGGGATGATTCAGATTTGCTTGTCTCCCTCTCCTCCCTGACCCTAACCACTTACATGAGAGGAAGGAAGATGGCAGAGTAGGTTTTAGGTCTTAATTAAGATTTACAGGGGCTTCCCTGGAGGTCCAGTGGTTAAGAATCCGCCTTCCAACGCAGGGGACATGGGTTCGATCCCTGGCCAGGGAACTAAGATACCACATGCCATGGGGCAATTAAGCCTGCACGCCACAACTGCGGAGCCCACACGCCTCGACTAGAGAGAAGCCTATGTGCCTCAATGAAGATCCCGTGTGCCGCAACTAAGACCCAATGCAGCCAAAAAAAAAAAAAAAAAAAGAGTTACACAGGCCATTAGAAGGTACTGTAGAGCTAGGCAGCTCTCTGCAGCCAAGGGACGCATGAGTCAGCCAGACAGTTGGTCATCTGAAGTATTCCAGCCTTTTGCTTTTCTTTTTTTTTAAATTTAGTTTTGTCTCGTTGGGTCTTTGTTGCTGTGCGCGGGCTTTCTCTAGTTGTGGTGAGCAGGGGCTACTCTGCATTGCGGTGTGCGGGCTTCTCTTGTTGCGGAGCATGGGCTCTAGGCGCGCGGGCTTCAGTAGTTGTGGCACGTGGGCTCAGTAGTTGTGGCGCACAGGCTTAGTTGCTCCACGGCATGTGGGATCTTCCCGGACTAGGGCTCGAACCCATGTCCCCTGCATTGGCAGACGGATTCTTAACCACTGCACCACCAGGGAAGTCCCTTGAATTTCTGCCTTTTGGAAGCTACTAACTTTGGGGAAAAATATGTTGAGATCTGCTATTTTGCATTTCTTAAATATGACTTAAGAGAAATTTGAATGTGTGTGGGAGTTTTGATTTAGAAATAAGACACTAAAATTCAACCCTGACATGCGTTCAAGCTGTGTTTATTTTTCATTACACATTCCGAAGTGTGATCCTATACTGATGATCTCATTTAAATAAATACAGTGAGTATTTATTTCTGGTTTGTCATTCATGCTGCATATCCAGATAACACATAGAGCTAGATTTTTCAAAATTCCCTTCTTAAAATATGACTGCACCACTTGTACATCTGGGTTTGTATCTGAATCTGAACATGCATAACGAGAACCAAATGAATGAGTGTACTTACCACCCTTTTTATTTTTTGAAACAATTTGGTCACCTGAGATAATTTTGAAGTCTTTGAAACCTGAAAAACACAATATTATATAGACAGCCCTTCTTCCCCCACCCCTCCAGCTACATCTTGCTCCTTCAAAACAGACACCCATTCAATTTCATTCACATAAGTACAGCATTTAGGGTTAGAGAGAAAGGAGAATCACAAGTAAATCAATCTGTAAGTGCCATGCTAGTTTTCTTCCTTTCTTATTTAATTAAAATACTCAGATTTACCTCAAATATGTCTTCTTGTTTTTAAAAAGAACCATATTGACAAAAGCAAAAACAAATACATTACTTGGATTACTTACCTTACATGAAAGCATTATTGTTGGGAACAGGAAAAGAGAGATTTGTGATCCAGGCCTGGCTATCTTTCTCTTCAATTGAATCACAGAGGATTCCTATGAACATTCAAAACTTTTTCTAGTCGTCTTCAGTAATTTCCAGTACCTAAAAGGAGGTGTGTGTAGAAAGTAAACTGCAGAGAATCAGGAGACAAATAACTGGAGAAGGGAGGATTACCATTCTAGTGAAAGAATATTTTCATCTGTGAAATTATTTCCTTTCTGCAGACATCAGTATGTTAAATATCAGAATTTCATGGTGGAAAATATTTTCAAAGAACATGTGCTCGTTTCGGCAGCACGTTTACTGAAAAAATATATATATTAGGCAGTTATACAAGCAAATGTACTATTGCAGTTCACAAAGTTGAACAACAGATGGCACTTCAGTTTTTCTAACTCCATTTGAAATAATCGAGGGGTTTTAATTGGATTTTTAAGCTATTCAGTAAAGTTTCTCTTCTAACTTTGCTCTTCATCTGAACAGAAAGTGAAAGGCTAGCATTAGTCAGTTGGGCCTGCTCTCCCTGTTTCATACATGAGGAAATTGAGGCTTAGGGAGAGTAACTTGCCAGTGGACACAATTACTAATGCAATTGTAATTCAGACTTTGACAGTCTGGCTTCAGAGCCCTGTACTCAACCAATAATCTGCATCGTTTCCATGTCAGATATTAAGATACAAATATTGGGGCTTTTTAAATATGTCATTTCCCTTTTTCTTATTCCTTTTGATTTTTGCCCCGCTAATGTAATTAGTTGATCATGAAAAAAAAAAAATGAGTACATGTACTACTCTTGACGTAAATGTAATCTTTCTGGTGTATTGGCCAGCGGTAAGCAACAAAAACTGTAAAACCTGACATTACCTTTTGATATGATCATCTCGCTTTTTGCAATACATTCTACAAATAACTTTCAAAGGAAAAGGAAAATCCAGGAATTCCTTGGTGGTCCAGTGGTTAGGGCTCTGTGCTTTCACTGCTGAGGGCCCGGGTTCCACCCCTGGTCAGGGAAGTAAGATCCCACAAGCCGCGTGGTACAGCCAAAAAAAAAAAAAAAAAAAAAAAAAATCCTTTTTTTTTTTTTTAATTACAAAAGTTTGCTATATATAATAGGAAAAGAACTGGGACAGTTAAACTGCAGTTTGTTGATATAAAAACCTCTCATTAAAAATGATAGCTTGTCTCATGTATAAAATAGATAATAAGAACCTGCTGTATAAAAATTCAAAAAAAAATGATAGCTGGTCTCTATTCATGAAAAAAAGTATATTAACAATGCCATAAGAAAAAGGGGAGGACACAAAAGCATATGAGTAATGATGATTTATCCATAAGGGTCAGAAGTTCATAAAACAGATTAGCGGTTCAAGAATTAGGGATTGTTTGGGAAGGGAGATGGGTATGACTCTAAAGAAAGGACAGCACGAGGGAGAGCTTTGTGGTGATGGAATAGTTCTGTATCTTGATTGCAGTGATAGTTACAGGAATCTACACATGTGATAAAGTGACATAGATCTATACCCAGGCATCATTCCAACATCAGCTTCCTGGTTTTGACATTGTAATTACATAAGATATAATCATTGCAGGAAACTGGGTGAAATACACAGGACCTCTCTATGCTCTCTTTGCAACTTCCTATGAATCTATACTTATTTCAGAATAAAGTTTTAGAAGTTCCTAAAATCCTATAAAATAGTTGGCATACCAAGGTTAAAGGGGTGTTTGGGGTGCTTGGTTTTATGTTTTGCTTTTTGCCTTATTGTTTAAAAATTTTTCCCCATGTTAGAGTTGGTTGCATAGACAATTATTTTAAGTGCCTGTGTATTTTCTTTATAAGTTATAGAAGCAAAAGTACCATAAATTTTGCCATGGATTTTCTACCAACTGAATATTTTTTTGTTTTTTAGTATGGGCCCAGGGTTGTGACATCAGCACAACAGAAAGCTGGAAGAACAATCACAGCCCGGATCACAGGGAAATGTGATTTTGCTTCAAAAAATAGAATCAGTAGCAGTTTAGCTATAATGGGAGTTTCTCCTCCCATGAGCTCTGTCATTGTGGAAAAACATCATCCGGTCACAGTGGTGAGTCTGCATTTGATAACTTCTTGTCAAAAATTCTTCTTCCTGAGAGTTGATAGACTAATAAACACTTAAATGACATGTTGAGGAGAAGATCAAAATCCATGATGACTGGTACTTATTCTACCTTTACTATTACAGTCTTTATATACTTATAATTATCACACCTGCTTTAAATCTACCTTTCCTATTTTAGGAAATTAATTTCAGAAACATTGTTTCTTCTCAATAGTATAAAAATTATCAAATACAATTAATCCAGTGTATTGATGGCCAAAAGGGTAAAGTATATAAATGATTTCTCATTAATTAAAAAAAAATGACAAAAACTGTTTACTCATTAAGTGCTGTCCACGTAGCAGATTTTTTACTCTAAGAAACACCTACTTTTATGGTTTTTAAGTTTTCCTCCTTTTTTTTATTTTTTGAAGTCTTATTTTCAAATATAATTGTCAACGTATTTCTAATTTGGAAAAAAATCAGGTTGCAATAAATTCACGTGATATAAAGTACATGGAATTTAAGCCAAAAAAAAAAAACCCTGAGTTAGTGCCTCAGTTTCACTACTTACTGCCTTTGTGATCGTATACAAATCAAGTAAATATTTGAGCCTCCATTTTTTCACGTGTAAAACGGGAGCAATAAGAGTACTTAGCTCCTAGAGTTATTGTCAGGATTCAGGATTAAATAAGATAACATGAAAATTAAATGAGCTGTATAAAGGCACTTTGTAAATTGTAAAGCCATAAGCAAATTTAACTTAATAAAAGTTACTAGAGGGCGTCCCTGGTGGCGCAGTGGTTGAGAGTCCGCCTGCCGATGCAGGGGACACGGGTTCGTGCCCCTGTCCGGGAAGATCCCACATGCTGCGGAGCGGCTGGGCCCGTGAGCCATGGCCGCTGAGCCTGTGCGTCCGGAGCCTGTGCTCCGCAACGGGAGAGGCCACAACAGTGAGAGGCCCGCGTACTGCAAAAACAACAATAAAAAAGTTACTAGAGAAGGATACATGGGATATCTCTGTGTTATTTCTTACAATCGCATATGAATCAACAATTGTCTCAAAAAGTTTAATTTCTAAAAGTTACAAGAACACATCCCTAAAGAGAAACAACGATTGATTTTAAAGAAGAATGTCCTCTATATAAATTCTGAGTGTTAAGCAACATTCCTGTCTGCTTAATATGTCAAAAAGATAAAAGGAATGATTTTAAATCCTTTTCCTTCTGAACACTAGATTGTTACTAGATGATTAAGTCAAAAGAAGCTGGATTGATTGTTTAAATTTAGCTTCAGGTAAAGTGTGACCACAGTGAAGTGGCAGACTGAGATGGAGGTACCAAGTCCAAACTGAACACATCGAGGGGAGAGGATCATCTTAGCCTTCATAGGTTGGACAGCCTCTGAAAGTCCTTAGATGACTTCTCCCCGTATTTTTGAAAATGTGAGATTAGGTATCAAAGATGAGAAGAAATGAACTCATTTCTATTTTTATCAGCACATATGATGTTTATAAAGGGATAGGGGGAGAGAGACTGTCCGTTCATAAGGTAAGGAAGATATAAAGACAGCACATGTGTTTATTTTTAATTCAGACAACCTGTTTTTTTGTATTGATTGGAATGATATTTTACAGAATAAAAACCAAGGAACTAAAGACTTACAACCCCTGTTTCTGATATTTATCTCTCAAACTGCCCTTCGTTTATTTAGTATGTTCAGTTACTCTTCAGTAATTGGGCACGAATTCAATAGCCATAAACTGCTTCCATTGTTACCTACTTTGGATTGTGTAGCAGGCACAGTGGCAGTCCTCTGTGCTATTTTTATTTTTCATTTTATCCCAGGATCCTAAGAACTAGAACTACTAGAGACAATTACTAATAAACCATTCATCAGATTTCTGACACTTGAGCTCCATCTGCTGGATAATTGCTTGCTCCTAGTGCTACTTCATCCTGTGCCATGTTTTGTAGATCATGATGCCAGTGGTACCATGAATCTGTTTCTACAGGTTCTCTTGCCCATCATCCCTAAGGAGAAATAGCTCTTTTGTCAGGGTCAGGTTAGGTGGTTAGCAACTAAAATTTCATCTTAGTTGCAAGAATCTCTCCCATTTGTAACGGTTATTCAGTTATTTACGTACGAAGAAACATTTATATAAAACACTCTAAGAAAAGAGGTTATTTCTCCTTTTCTTTAAAGAGAAAATCTTATTAAAGCAGAATCTGACTTGAGGATCTTTGTTTAAAGAGATTTCATTCATTTTTTTTTAAGCAAAAGCTGTATCGTAGAGCTTTTGAAATACACAGTGAATGTTTTGATATAATATATATAATTTTACTTCAAGTATTTTAAAGATGACTTTTCTAAGTGGAAGACCCTAATAGGAATCTACATGTACTAATGTTTGTTGGGTTAAGTTATAGACAATGAAATGATATTTAGTATGTATAATTTTATGGAATTGTTGAAGCATATTTTTGCCTTTTCAGCAAACCATTCCGCAAGCTACTGCAGCAAAATATCCCCGGACCATTCACCCTGAAAGTAGTACCTCAGCTTCCAGATCTCTCGGAACCAGATCAACTCACACCCAGTCTCTCACAAGCATTCAGTCCATAAAAGTGGTTGACTAAAATGAATATGTTCCTAGTGAGGTTGTTGAATTCTTCTGGCTTTACTAAGAATTAGAAATTTTTAGTTTTTAAAATTTCATATTCTTAGAACATCATGGATACATCATATTAATTTCCTCAAAATTACAAGAGACTTTTTCAAGCGGTACCATCCTTTGTAACTATATGTAGGATTATTTTAATGTGATTTTTTATTTAAGCAATTAAGTAAAACTTTTTTAAATTAAAAAAGAAACTAAAAAAAAAAAAGAAACTAGCCTTAATTTTTTTAATAGGTTCAACCTGTGACCGATTATATCATCAAAGTATATAAATCCTGTTTTTGCAGTGTTATTTCCAAAAGGCTAAATCATTTGCAATGTTACCAAGTAAACTTTGAGAGAGAACTTTACTAAAAAAATTATTTAAACTAATAGAAACTAAGGTATTTTTATTTGAAAATTAAAAAAATAAAAGCCCAGAGTAATATCACAAAGTTTTTTTGTGACTTTAATATATTAGTCCTCATTTTTGGGGGGCTCTAACAATTAAAAATAGGGGGGGAAATAGCAATACCTATGAATAGTTTTTAATGTTAAAAGGGAAGAAATATTTTACTAGCACAATAACAGAGTTACAGAAACATCAGAAAGAAATTTCCTACTGGGACTTCCCTGACGGTCCAGTGGTGGCTCTAGAAGCCACCACAATGAGAAGCCCGCACACCACAACGAAGAGAACAGCCCTTGCTCGCCGCAACTAGAGAGAGCCTGTGCGCAGCAACGAAGACCCAATGCAGCCAAAAATAAATAAATAAAATAAATTTAAATCACAGATCAATAGGTTTTTTTTTAAAAAAAGATTATTGTAAGCATCTTTTAAAGCTTTATCTAAACTCTAGAAATTGTATATTGTCTACAGCACCAAGTAATTAGTGTTAGCCTAATTCAACTTAACTTCTTCCAATGCAGGGGGTGTGGGTTCAATCCCTGGTTGGGAAGCTAAGATCCCACATGCCTCGTGGCCAAAAAACCAAAACAGAAAACAGAAGCAATATTGTAACAAATTCAATAGAGAAAGACCTTAAGAATGGTTCACATCAAAAAAAATCTTTAAAAAAAAAAAAGAAATTTCCTGTTAGGATGATCCTATTTCAAATGTTCTTTCTTACCTTTTTGAAACTCTATAGCATTGAACCTTTTTTTGCTCTGAACATCCAAACATTGTCCTGTGATGGTACAGCCCTGGACAATTCAGCAATTCAGGCCTTCCAGGCCTGGCAGACACTTTTTAATGCCTGGCCAATAGGAAGAAACCATCTGGGCAAACAGATTTAGGAGAACAAGACCAGGCTTCTAATGCTTTTATTGCTGGCTGACTGTGTTATCTAGGGCCAGACACTTAAATTAATCTCAGGGTCCTCATCTGTGAAATAATGAGATCTACCTACCCTACCTATTTTCCAAAGTACTTATGGCTCACATAAAAGTGAGTGGATTCTGAGGAACTTGTGAACAGCCTCAGTTTCCGTATCTTTAACAGAAGTGGATGGTTTCAGCCTCTTTCAGTCTGAACATGACCTAGCCCTGTGCTCTAACTTTACTATTGGAAATAGTTTTTCTTATTGCCTCATGTTGTAATAGGACATGAGAGAATAAATGTGAGACTGGCAAATATCCCATTTTCTAAAGGACACACCAAGGCTTTTTTGAACTATAAAAGTATCTGGCTGTGTCCTAAAGAGTATTAGATCCTTCTTATGCAGTGCTTCTTTTGGATTGTGGCCAGCTACCACTGGTGGCAAATAGCTCTTCTTGGGTTTCAATAAGCACAAATCAACAGCACTTCATCTCCTGCTGCCTGTACCACGGGCATGCTCCTCCCCAGAGCTTCCCTGTCCACTCAGAGAGTTGAGATACCGGCAGGCTCCACTCATATGCAGCCTGGAATTAACATCCCATTGGGGTAAACAGATCAATTCTTACTTTCTCCCCATATGAATTGTCCTGAATTAGTCCATTCTTGAGGTCAAATAATCAGTTGTTCCTGATACCAAGTGTTGGCCAATTTGGTAAATCACGCTGGTCTTGGCTCTCCCTTCCCCATCTCACTTCCTTTTTCCTTCACTCCTGCTTCCTTGGATCTACACTCCTGAAAAAAGCAGTTGCTCATAAACTGTGGTCTTGGGCTCTGCTTTTTAAGGAACTTACATGACAACAGGGAATGGTTTTCAGTAAGCAGCTTCCCTGGTGGCGCAGGGGTTAAGAGTCCACCTGCCAATGCAGGGGACACGGGTTCAAGCCCTGGTGTGGGAAGATCCCACATGCCACGGAGCAACTAAGCCTGTGCGCCACAACTACTGAGCCTGGGCTCTAGAAGCCACCACAATGAGAGGCCCGCACACCACAACGAAGAGAACAGCCCCCGCTCGCCGCAACTAGAGAGAGCCCATGCATAGCAACGAAGACCCAATGCAGCCAAAAATAAATAAAATAAATTTAAATCACAGATCAATAGGTTTTTTTAAAAAAAAGAATATTGTCAGCATCTTTTAAAGCTTTATCTAAACTCTAGAAATTGTATATTGTCTATAGCACCAAGTAATCAGTGTTAGCCTAATTCAACTTAAATTCAACAATTAAAACAGTTAAACAGTAAGAGTATGTATTCATATTTGTTTATTATTGCATAAAGAGGTTACCCAGATTTTGAAGCAAGGTCAGTGGAAACTGGTCATACTGAAGAACAGGTGGGGACAATGCTTTTCACTAAATACCTTTCTAAAAACTTTTTATAATCATGTGAACATATTACCTGTTTTAAAATTAAGCTTACCATTTACAATCAGCATGAGATGAAGATGCAGAACTATAAATTCATGATATAATAAATGGACTGAAATTGCTCGTGATTTTATTTCTGGGCTTATAGACTTAGAGTCAGAATTTGATAATGGAGAGCCTTAAATTATAATGAACAGGTGCACATAAGCTGATAGAAATTGATACTTGATTTCATATTTCAGAACTTTCTCAGATTACAAAAATAATGTGTGGTTAATATTTTAAGAAATATTGGAAAGTACCAAAAGTACAAAGATAATGAAAATCACCTGTAATTACATCACCAAGAGATTAAAAAACATTGGTGCATACACCTCTGGTCTTTTCTTAAGTGATATATTACACATAGGTGTTATTTAAAGCCAACAGTAACTGAATTTCCAAAGCAAGTTTCTCTTATGAAACAAATAACGGTTAATGATTTAAATGCTATGGATATGAGGTTAGGCATTTCATAGACATTCTCCCTTCATCATCACCTCAATATTATAGAAGAGATAGACCTCTTTCCCCCATCCTATAGAGAAGGAAACTAAAGATCTGAGAACTTGAATGTTAGCATGCCCAAAGGCTCACAGCTAATAAACGGCAAAACCATGATTCAAAACCATGTCTGTCTATTCTTAAAACCCTGGGTTTTTTCATTTACCATAATGTTCCCACCATCATAATTTTTTAAAACATGATATACAAAATCCTAGGTTATTCTATCACTAGATATGTTATCACATATTATGTTGCATCATCATGACAGAAATGGGAAAAATCATATACAACTTGCCTTAAGCAAAACCCCAAAAATTGACTTTTCAGTGGTTGGAAAGTGTAATACCATTTTTTCATCTGTTAGAGAATCCTGTCACTGCCATCTTCACGGTTGAAAAGAAAATCAATACTACTGCTGGAAGAACTTTACGCCATTTGAAGAACTGAATTTAAGAGGGCTGAATACTGAATGGAAAATCATTTAAATACAATTTCTTTAGGCATTTATGAAACTGCACATTTCTTGGGCCTTGAGTCAGTTTCACTTTTAAATTGACCAATCTTTTCTGGAAAAAATGATAACAAGATTAATAGCTAATATTTATTAAGCACTTGGCTACATGTCAGGCACTATGAATCCCACAACAGCCCTCTGACACAGACACTTTTCCAGTTAAAAACTGAGAATGCCGGCAGAGTGATTTCTGTACAGAACTTGCTCGAAATCATAGCCCCTTATTTGTTGGAGTTCAGCTATAAGCTCACACAGTCTCGCTCCGGAGTACATGCCCTCACCCACTGCAGTGGACTGCCTCTCAGTCTTCCCTGGGAGTTCTTGTGGACACTATTTCATAGAAGTGAATAAGTTCAAAATTGAGGGAACAAACCCAGAGCTAGGAGGATAATGTCATGGAAGGTAGGCATAATCCATGCACACTATTCCTCGTACCTACCACTGCTTGAAACTGAATATTGGATCCGTGATGTGATGTGCATTTATGTTCTCAGTTTCAGGTAAAACTGCACCAGCGAAAATAATGGTGATAAGTTTTCAAAGCATCTTCCCTGACAGTATGGTCTTTGGCAGAGTGATTTTTAGCAGTAATCCCAGCTGGCAAAATAATTGCCTGTCTGCTCTTTTCTCTCAGCGTAGAAGTAATTTTTTCAAACATACTAACTCGCAGAGTTCCCAAGAGGAACAGGCATGTTGAGCAAGACAATTCTTAGTTGTAGAGCACTGTCCTGTAAGATGGTTCAGCACTCCTGCTGCCCTCCTCCCACCCACACCCCTCCCACACATGCACACACACAAAAGTACTCCTGCACTTTTCAAATGCCCAGCAGGGGAATGACACTGAGAACCACCAGGCTAACAACGGGACCAGTGCCGATTAAGTCACCAAAGGAGAAGCTGCATGTTCTGACACCAAGCTGGGACTGCTGTGGCTCCGGGAGGTACTTGTGCCGACCGTCCCCTACCATTTTAAGAGAGCGGGAGTTCCTATCTGTTGAAAACCGTAACTCACCAGCTAGTTCTGTAACTCACGAGCTAGTTCTGAAAACTGCAACTCACCAGCGGGAGTTCCCATCTGTTGAAAACTGTAACTCACCCACGCACACCAGCTCTTCATACAGGTGCTTGACCGGCGTGGCCTGTGTCACCAGGGCCCCGTGGCCGTGTTCACGGAAGCTCTCCTCTCCCGTGGCAAGCACGAAGGGCAGATGCTGACACCTCCTTACTGTGAACTCAGTTCTAACACAAGTCCCATATGACTGTGGTTGCATGTTCATTCCTCCTCTGGCAGCTGTGAGATAAGAAGCCCAGTGGATGAAAGCCCTTCCAGTCGTCTCACTGGTACTTCTAGGGGGACCAGAGTTTGGAGTCTCTCAGCACTTGCCACGCACCTGCTGTGCTTAACACAGATGAAAGCTGAGGATGAGAGAGGGGAGGGACAATCTTAAAGAGACGTGGAGCTTTTCTTCAACGTTCAGGTGGCACTGTTAGAGGCTAGCACTTCTCAAACTTAAGATGCGCAATTCACCTGAGGGTCTTGTTAGAGTGAAGATGCTGGTTCAGTCAGTCTGGGGTGAGGATCTGCAGGTGAGTAAGCTCCCAGGTCCTGCTGCTGCTGCCGCCCGTGAACCACACCCTAAGCAGCCAGCACGCACCCACCTGCCAGTCCAGCTTCCAGGAAACTCCTCTGGTAGAAGTCTGCAACCCCCGGCCAGGCCAGGGCTCTTCACTGGGCAGATCTCACTAGACGCCTAACCCCTGAGAGGTGTTCAGGGAAGTGCTGGGATACGGAGATGGGAACCGTGGTCCCTCGCGGCTGGAGGTCACAGTTACAAACCCGTGCCAGGTTCCTAGCTCTGCCAGATGCCGAGGTGAGGAGGGCCTGAGCTCTGGGGAGGAAATCCGCTGCACAGACTGTTAGAGGGGCAGGGAGAACAAACTATATGCATGAAGAATGTACTCCTAGGGACTTCCCTCGTGGTCCAGTGGTTAAGACTCTGCACTCCCAGTGCAGGGGGCCTAGGTTCGACCCCTGGTCAGGGAACTAGATCCCACAAGCTGCAACTAAAGAGCCCACACGCCACAACTAAATAGCCTGCACTTGGCCACAGAGATCCCGCATGCAGCAACAAAGACCTGGCGCAGCCGAATAAATAAATAAATTAAAAAAGAAAAAGTGCTCCTAGGTGAATCCAGTTCCTTTCCTGAATCTTGCCGCTGCCAGACTAATTTTTCTTAAACACCGTCATCAACGTGTCATTCCTTTGCTCAAAAGCCCACCAACTCCATTGTGCCAGTAGCATAACCCAGGGTTACAATGTAATTGGATTGTGAATGTTACTATTATCATGCCAACTAGATTATCAATTCCATTAAACATGCACCATGGCTTACAGAGCTGATGTATGCTTCCCCTGGCACAGCTAAACACACTCTAGGCACTCGGTAATGTGTGAATGAAACACATCAAAACTCCCCTTATCCTGATGGCAAGTACTCTGAAAGCACACTACATTTCCAAATCAATTTTTTAGGTCAAGAGAAATTTCCAGAAGGCAACTCCATTTTCCTAAAGACTTCACAGAACACTATGTGCCTAATTAGCAACAAGGAGAAATCTTAACAATACAAAAGAAATCTTTTTAGAAACTGTAGTCAATATTCAACATTTTCAATGCGTTATCTTCCATTTTTTCATGTGAAAATGTATCCTTAGAATTAGCAATAAAAGTGTCATAATTTACTTGTGTGCCCATGTGCCCATGAGCTGTGGTTCTGCTATCCCCAATCCCCAGCAATCAATAATGTGATCACCCCCTGCACATGGGACTCGTTCACATCTCATGACAGCCATGTAAGGACAGTGCTCTGAATAAAAAGTTTTGCCAAGAAAAGTCTTTGCTTCTTTGTTTTTAAAGCTAATTAGTTGATAATGCAAACAAGCTTTCTGTATTTCCTAGGTTTGGGTCAAATCATAAAAAAGCAAAGCTAAGGACTCCGACCTCACTAATTCTGACATCTGGAGTCTGGCTGAAATGATTCCATGGCTTGGAATCCTCTTACCAAGAGAGCCATGGGTCTCTATCCCACACATCTCTCATGGGACACCTGGTCTCACCAAGAGACCCCTTGCCCCAGGCCTGGTTTAAGGGATTCCTTCCTGGTGTGGAAGCCCTAAATAGTTAGCCTGTTGTTAGGGAATGAATCCATTCACCCCAGGATGATCTCAAGGAACTCCAGAAATCAGGTGGCTTCCCAGTGACAAGCCAACTGTTAAATCCTTGCTTCCTTCGTGCCCAATTCAGTTGGGAACCTTAATTTCCTTCTAGGCTAAATGCCACCTTTTCAATATGGCTCAATAAAAGTAATCATCCTTTGCAAACTTCAAGCTACTGCAGATTCCCATGAGTACTAGCAGTCTGCAAGGTTCCAATCACCTCTGTGGTCCTAAGCTAACTGTCCCCACTCCTGGGCCCCTGCAGTCTGTTGCTTATCAAGAGCACTGGACACCCACTTGGAAGATGGGCACCAGTAAGGATGGCTCTTCCTAATACCGAATGCCTCCTGCCCACATCTCCTGGGACATGCTGACCTGACCACTGCTCCTCGATGGCTCTGATCCGGGCATCTGTAAAGTTCCACAAATGGGCTAGCCTCTGCCACTCGTTGGTCTTCAGCTGACGGTAAGCCAGATGCCAGAGGAGACTGAGAATGTGCCTGGTCTCCTGACTGTGATCTTGCTTGAACGGTTGATGGGTCCTTGATGTTCTCACCATGCTCCTAGATTGAAGGTAATTGTATCAGATGAATTCAGACATTTTCTGCTGATTGCCTTATTTCAGAGTACATACGTATATATTTTTTCAGATGTAACCCATAGAGTGGTAACTGAGACTATGTTTTCAATATTAACCATGACTGGATCATTTTTTTGCCATCCAAGATAGAGACAAATGTCTGAAATAGAAAGCTGGAGTCTGGAGTTCCCTGGTGGTGCAGTGGTTAAGAATCCACCTGTCAATGCAGGGGACACGAGTTCAAGCCCTGGTCTGGGAAGATCCCACACGCCGCGGAACAACTAAGCCTGTGGGCCACAACTACTGAGCCTACGCTCTAGAGCCCATGAGCCACAACTATTGAGCCCACGTGCCTAGAGCTTGTGCTCCGCAACAAGAGAAGCCACCACAATGAGAAGCCCATGCACCGCAACAAAGAGTAGCCCCTGCTCACCGCAACTAGAGAAAGCCCCTGCACAGCAATGAAGATCCAATGCAGCCAATAAATAGATTAATTAATTAAAAAAAAAAAAGCTGGAGTCTGTCTGACACAGGAAATGTGAGGGATTTTGCCATGCTGTATCGCATGCCTCTATCCCAGCCTGCTTCCCACCCCAAAAGAAAACAGAGGGGGTATGCTGACTACAGAAATGTCACAAAAACAAATGTATCTTTAAAGGCGTTACTTTCAACCATATCCCTTTTTCTTCTTTGGGGTGTTTGATTTTCTCACATCAAAGTTTCAGTGGGGCCCAGACTGGATGTATTCTTGATAAGACCCCACAGCTGATCCCTCCATTCATCCTGCTCTCTGGTGACTGGGAGGAAAGCAAATGAGCATCCTAACCCTGGGGGCCGAGGAGTGGAGGACACAAGGCTCCATTATCATTTTGTATTACAGCCCTGCAGCCAGGCTCATCCTAGTAGCACTGTGCCTGGACTGATTCTTGCTTTCTGATTTGTCAAAGACTCCTTTTGTCCCTTTTTAAGAATCCACCAAAAAACCCCACGAAAAACAAAAAAGAATCCACCAGAGTGCTATAGAATCCAACCAAACCAACTGGAGAAAATCTCAAAGTGAAAGCAGGGGTCATGGTTTCCTATGGCTGCCCCTGTCACACACATGCCAGCAGGGCTCCAGACAAGCCTTCCTCTGGAGAGTGGGAATAAGGGACACGCAGGACACAGAGCCCACCAAGAGGTTTGGGACTTCCTATCTATTCTCCTTTCCTCTTTTACATATAGTGAATTTTGTCTTTATCTTTCATTTAAATAAAAGTGAGTCAGTGAAAGATACTCTGAACAGCCATACAGGAGTCAATGCTGGGGCAGGAAGTGGACTAAAGGGATATGGGGACCTGGTTTTTGAACCCTATGAGAAGAACGTGGTGAGGTTGGTGCCCCAGCCACCAGCGTGGACCAGCCTGCACCCACACAGCATCAGTGACCTCCTCTGGAAGGCCTACAGACTCCTGGGAAACTTGGCCAAGGAGAACAGCAAGACTGTTCTCTGATATCTGGACTTTGTGAACAGAAGTTGGAATAGGAATGGGAGGAGTTAATTTCCCATAATTTTTTCAGGGTCTTTTTTTTTTTTAACACTTTTTTTAAAAATTAATTAATTTATTTTTTGGCTGCGTTGGGTCTTCATTGCTGTGCACGAGCTTAATCTAGTTGCGACGAGCGGGGGCTACTCTTTGTTGCGGAGCACAGGCTGCAGGCACACGGGCTTCAGTAGTTGTGGCACGCGGGCTCAGTAGTTGTGGCTCACGGGCTCTAGAGCACAGGCTCAGTAGTTGTGGCCCATGGGCTTAGCTGCTCCACGACATGTGGGATCTTCCCGGACCAGGACTCGAACCTGTGTCCCCTGCACTGGCAGGCAGATTCTTAACCACTGCACCACCAGGGAAGTCCCTTTCAGGGTCTTCTTCACCCCAGTCTTGCTCTACTCCCACAGTGCCTGGCTCCCAGGAAATCCTAAAAGAGGTAAGGCTGAGGGTGGGAGATACAGAAACTTAGGAGCTGTGGGCACTGCCCTTTTTCCTTTTCTCCTCGTTCCATCTCCTGAAAATGTTAAATCCAAGAAGATCAAAACCCCAAGCACCACCAATTAAAGGGAAGACTACAAAATGCCTCTGCTTTCAACTCCGCATTACAGCATTTTTATTTCTTTGAGAAACATGCCTGCTTTGTGCGTTCCAGGATTGGGCTGGGCAGTCCTTCAGGCTTCCACAGAAAGGGCCAGGGATTTGGAAAGCCCAGGTCTTTTTCAACAGTCAGTGGAAGCATTAATAACTTGTCTGCAAAGCACTGAACTATTTGCAGGAATAACATAAGCCAGAACTGGAGGAAACTGAAATAGCATAAGCCACGATTTTAGGAAGCCCCCATCTACCTCTGAACCATTGAATTTATTTTTTTAATATAAATTTACTTATTTTATTATTTATTTATTTATTTATTTATTTTGGCTGGGAGCTGTGGGCACTGCCCTTTTTCCTTTTCTCCTCGTTTTCCTTTTCTCGTTTCCTTTTCTCCTCGTTTATTTTATTTGGGTCTTTCGGTGCTGTGCACCGGCTTTCTCTAGTTACGTCGAGCAGGGGCTACTCTTTGTTGCGGTGCGTGGGCTTCTCATTGCGGTCGGTGGCTTCTCTTGTTGCGGAGCACGGGCTCTAGGCACGTGGGCTTCAGTAGTTGTGGCTCGCTGGCTCTAGAGCACAGGCTCAGTAGTTGTGGTGCACGGGCTTAGTTGCTCCGCAGCATGTGGGATCTTCCCGGACCAGGGCTGGAACCCGTGTCCCCTGCATTGGCAGGCGGATTCTTTACCACTGCGCTACCAAGGAAGCAAGCCCTGAACCATTGAATTTAATGATAGATGATTAGGTGGTTAGGTAAATGGGTAAATGGATATGAGAGAGGAAATTCCAATCATCTTTTTAATCTTTTCATTAGGAACCATTTTATATTAGGCCAAGATATAAACTTGTTTAATAACAAAGGGAATTTTAAATAATAAATAACAATAAATATATTTGGTTAAAAAAATTTTTTAAGGCTCTATATGAAAAAAACAAGTCTTCTTCCCACTCCAGACCTCAGGGTCCCAGTTGTCACCAGGGTTAACAAGCCTTAGCATTTCTGGGGGTCTACTTCAGCTATATGTATGCATTATTTATGATTTTCAAAGTTCATCCAACTCTCACACCTTAAGACTTGTTAGGAAAGAGGGCTTATTCATCTGGTAGAAAAAATAATTTATTCTCATCTAGGAAAAAGAATCTAAAAATGCTAAGAGGAATTAAAAATAGAACCAATGAATATTCCTATTTTTAAAGAAAATGTGGAAACAAAGACGGAACTTGGGAAAGTCATCCTCAATAAAATACAGTGATGATCTAAGAAAACGAGAATGAGGCTAGGACAAAGAGGAAGAGGAAAAAGGAGACTAGAAATCAGAGGAGGAAGCAGAGCGATTAAACAGAATTCTAATTGTCAAATGTTATTTTGTTTTGTTTTGTCCTACAGGCAAATAAGAAAAGTCGGGGGAGGATAGTGTGGCCTTTAAACTGATCCCCATATACCAGGACTACTGAGCCAATTAGACAGTACTGCGGGGGCTTCCCTGGTGGCGCAGTGGTTAAGAGTCCGCCTGCCGATGCAGGGGACACGGGTTCGTGCCCCGGTCCAGGAAGATCCCACATGCCGCGGAGCGGCTGGGCCCGTGAGCCATGGCCGCTGAGCCCGCGCGTCCGGAGCCTGTGCTCCGCAACGGGAGAGGCCACAACGGTGAGAGGCCCGCGTACCGCAAAAAAACAAACAATAAAAACCAAAATAAACAGTACTGCATTGCGAGCAAGGAGGCAAATCAATGCCCCTTAAGGATTTAAGGGACATTTCTCAGGATTGGCAAATTAGACATCAGTCTGGGCTTAAGGCTCCTCAGGGTAGACATGTGAGGGACTAGGACCTAAATTCTGGCTCCAGCCTGTTGGACACTCTGGCTCCAGCCAGAGTGGACATTCAGTCTAGGATGGCAGCAGAGGGTGGTGTCTGGTGATGAAATTCCTGCCCAAGGACATAGACTTGAATCTTGGAGGGGAGGTCATTCTACTGAGAAGCTGCGAGAGTGGCAGCTATCAGAGGCAGTACTGATGAAAGAAGATGGAAGGAATGTCTTGGAAACAAGCTTTTGTTTTCTAAAGATGAATAAGGTTTTCGAGACCATTGGAGAGTACTTGAGTGCTGAGTAGCCGGCACAGCGGTATGCGGAAAACTGCAAAACCCTAAATATGAACTTCCTTACCACTCAGTAGAATGCGAGTCTGGGAGCTTCCAGAAGGGACCATAGCCAGAGACTCCGTGACAGCAGGCACAGCCAGCAGCCAACCACCCGAGCACGCACGCCAGGCTCCTTAGAGCCAACGTGGACTGGCCTGCTTGGCCCAATGGAGCTCTACACACTTCAGTTCCAACCACTGGTGCTGACAAAGGATGGAGAGGAAGAGAGGCAGCTGTTCACACCGCAAATTGGACAGCACAGGACAGAAGGGACAGCTATAACACACTAACCAGGGCCCTCCCCACTAGAGCGGAAAAAAGAATTACACAGACCCCAACCTGCCCTGTAAGAAGAGGGGGCTGCAGAAGAGGCCCTCACCGAGCTGAATTCGGCTTTCCTTACCTCTCTCCAGGCGTAGCACCTCTCGGCTTCAATGAGTGTGCCCACGATGACGCTGCAGTTGCTCCTGGCGGCCACGGCCAGGGCAGTCTTCCCTTGCTAAAAAGTCAAACATCAAAGAGTCAGGCAATGCGGCCTACTGGTTAGGAGCTCTCGCTTTGGAGCAAGGGGGCCTGGATTCAAATCCTGATCCTACTGCTTCCTTGCAGGGCAAATTTGGGCCAGTCCTCAGCTTCCCTAGGTCTCAATAACTACCCCTCTGAGTAGTGGTGAGGGGCAAGTGCGATAACTCTATAGGGTCCTTAGGACTGTGTGTGGCACAGTCTAGGGCTGTGTGTGGTAATCGTCTAAGAGATGCTAGATATTGATAGTGTCAGGTGCTGTGTCAATGGGGCAGGGGGAAGGATTTGGGCTTAGGGACCCAACATCAACAGGTAACGTTCTACACTTGCTCTATCAATGAGAACCCAAGCATTTCTCCAAGACCGGCAGTGGTCTCCCTGGCTCACTGCACTGTGAAGTCCTCAGCAAATAACGTAATCGTACGTTTTTCTCCTCCAGAGTCTGACTCCGCCTGTGGCAGAGGCTTTAGTCAGTGTCCCATGCCCCACCCACCACAAATAACGTTTTTCTTCTAAAAGAGACCTCCAGATTTTAGCTGGGCACTTGGCCACCCCGAACATTTCCTAGTCTCCCTTACCCTTGGGTATGTGAACTAAGTTCTGGCCAATGGTATGTAAATGGAAGCAGCACATGCAACTTCTGGGAAGTTTCTTTAAAAGAGATTTCAAAGTTTCCTCCTCCCCCAGTGGAACGCTGGCATGACGGGAGGAGCCTGAACAGCCACTTTAGATCAGGAAGCGAAAGCCATGTGTTGAGGAGGGCAGAGTAATAAAACAGAAGAGGGATGGATCTCATGCAGAATACAATCAATAATAGTAACACTACATAATACAGAATTCAGCTCACGGGCCTCCTATCCATAATTTTTTCCTATTATATCATATCACCTCTAACCAAAGATGAGGGGTTGGGGTTGGAATCTTAACCAAATGGAATGAGCAATAAAGGCTGTTCTAGACATAATTTGGAGCATGAATGGTCTGGCGCCCATATGGTACGTTATACAAGTTACAAATGACGTACCTTGGTCAAGATGGATATAGTTCAGGGGCTTCCCTGGTGGCGCAGTGGTTGAGAATCTGCTTGCTAATGCAGGAGACACGGGTTCAAGCCCTGGTCTGGGAAGATCCCACATGCCGCGGAGCAACTAGGCCCGTGAGCCACAACTACTGAGCCTGCGCGTCTGGAGCCTGTGCTCCGCAATAAGAGAGGCCGCAATAGTGAGAGGCCTGCGCACCGCGATGAAGAGTGGCCCCCGCTTGCCACAACTAGAGAAAGCCCTCGCACAGAAACGAAGACCCAAGACAGCCAAAAAATAAATAAATGAACAAATGTGGGGTTTTTTTAAAAAAAAAAAAAGATGGATATAGTTCAAAGCTACAGCATACAGCTTTGCAAGCAGTGTCCCCTAGATTTTGTGCAGAACACAAGCTATACATCTACACTTTTTTCCCAAGCAAAAGATAGTGGTCCCTCATTTGTTTTCCAAATGACCCATGAAAAATCTGCTCAGGGATCCTGAAGATAATGTAAATGAATGGTCAGAAGTAACCTCGGAAGAAGTTCCAACCTCAGAAACCCATGTTTCTATGCTTAGAGATCCAGAAACTTATCCTGATAATTCTCTCACAAGGCTGAGTATTTGTGAAATGCAACTGCCACCAGTCAAATGATTTGTCTGCTGTCCCGGAACTGAGACCCAGGTGAGCCTGAAAATTAGAGCTGAAAGTAATCAGCGTCCAATCAAAAGAGACAGTAATGAAATTAGGAAGAACTGCATTTTGCAGGCATTTAGCAAGCCTCTAATTGTATGCTACCCAAATTCTGGCTTGTAAAGCCATCTGAATCACCATAATTAGCCTATTTTGGGAAGGCAGCATTCTGGGAGCCAGAGGTTTCAAGCTCATAGGAAAACCTTCGCAGGGAGTATAGCTGGAGTAGAAATCCAAATACTTGTGCCGTTGAGGGCGGGTGGCCCTCGGAGAGCTTTGTGAGGCCACAGGCTGAGAGGACAGGGAAAGTCAACTTTATACCAAAACTTGGCTCCTTTTTTTCCATCCAGAGCAGACCTTAATTCAGTCCTAGAAACAGTCACTTATCTTTGGTAAAAGTTGTGGGAACAGGCAGAAAAGATAGTTTTTATTCATTAATTACATATGTCCTGGGTGCCAGAGAGGCACCAGACGCGATGAGAAAAGAGGGAGGAGGAGAAAGGAAATCAGACTGTGAGGCCCAGGAAACTGCGACTTTTGTTCTGAAAACAGAATCAAGCTGTAGCACAGACGTGTTCACCGGAATATCCAGTCCACTTGCAGTGGGGGCCCAACATAAGTTCCCCGCCCAATGCTTTAGATTCTCTACTCACCAGACTGCCCTGGAGGTGTTAAGTGTTACTGACGAAGTACAATAAAAGAAAGCACAGGAAGCTATTAACATTTAGCTACAAAAGCTAAATGTTAATACTAAGGCCAAATGTTAACAGAAGTTAATGAGCCACTACTGGTGGGATTCCACCTAAGTGATGGAAATATGGGTGATGGTGTTTTCCTCCCCTATGCTTTTCTATGTTTTCCAAATTGTATTACTTTCATGATCAGAAAAAGAAAACTGATGGAGACAAGTAAAATAACATATCACTAATTCAGATCCCACAAACATGCAATGTGTGATTCTGAAATAGACTAGGGAGGACACAGGCTTGCCCTGGGAATGAGGGATGCACTGAGCTGATGACTAGTGAGGGCAAAGACCAGGAAGGAAAAACTGCAACTTCTGGAAGTGCTGGGCAGCCAAGCAGCCAGTAGCCTTAGCTTTGAAGCTCAGCTCTGCTTCTTACAATGGCCCCGATGTCATCAAATCTTCTCTTACAAACTGGGATAATTTCGTCTGCCTCACAAAGGAGACGGGAGAATTGAGCTAAAATGTGAGTGAGTACTTAGCCAGGGGGGATAATTCTCTTCTTCTCTTATAAACTGGGATAATTTCGTCTGCCTCACAAAGGAGATGGGAGGATTAAGCTAAGATGTGAATGAGTACCTAGCCAGGGGGGCCACACAGTGTCTTCTTCTACACCTTTCAGTAAAGCTGGAACCCCAACCCTGCCATGGCTGAGCCTGCGGAACCGCGTCACGTGAAAGAAACAAAGCTGTCTGTCTTTAAAAACACACCTACACAATGGCTTAAGGGTGCAAGCAACCCAAATGTCTATCCATGGATGATCAGATAAACAAAATGTGGCATATACATACAAGGGAATAGTATTCAGCCTTAAAAAGGAAGAAAATTCTAACACATGCTGCAACTTGGTTGAGCCTTGAGGACACAGTTCCAAAAGGGAAAATACTGTACCATTCCACCTACATGACATACCCAGAGTAGTCAGATTCATAGAGACAGGAAGTGGAATGGGGCTGAGGGAGGAGGAAATGAATGTTGCTGTTCATAGAGTTTCAGTTTTGCAAGATGAATGAGTTCTGGAGATTGGTTGTATAACAAAGTGAATATTCTTAACACTACAGAAATGGACATTTAAAAATGGTTACGGGAATTCCCTGGCAGTCCAGTGGTTAGGACTCCGAGCTTTCACTGCCAAGGGTGCGGGTTCAATCCCTGGTTGGGGAACTAAGATCCCGCAAGCCACGCAGCACAGCCAAAAAAATTTTTTTAAAGTAGGAAATGAATAAATTAAAGAAAAAAAAATGGTCAAGATGGTACATTTTATATTGTGTGTATTTTACAACAATTAAAAATTTTTAAATAAATTTAAAAAACAAGTTTAGACACATATAAATTTATTTATTGCAGTTCTATTTATAATAGCAAAAGCTTAAGGACAACTTATATGCCCATCAGTTGAGAACTAAACAAATTATGATATATCCACACCACAGTCTATTATGTAGCTGTATAAAATAGAAGAAACTTTCCATGTACTTACACGGAATGATCTTTGCTTTATACTGATAAGGGAAAAAAGCTAAATGTAGGACAATATGTATAGGTATCCACAGTTGTGTATAAAGGATGGAGGAGTGGAATAAGAGTATAATATATTTATGTCTGCTGTTATATGCATAAAGAAATTCTGGCAAGAACAGAAGAAACTTGCAATAATGGGTATGTATGGCAAGGATAGTATGAGAGCCAGACAAATAGGGACGCGGTAGATGGGAAACTTTTACTGTAAAACCTTTACTAAGTTTTAAATTCTTGAACCATATAAATTTATCATCTTTTCAAAAAATAAATAATTTGAATTTTTTAATGTATATTTACTGTTGAGAGTAAAAATTCTTACCAACTTATCTCAATTAAAATTGGGATGTTACTATCAAGATACAAGGTCTCTCCAATTTGTGTCCATCTCACAAAGGATGTGGTAATACTACCCCTCAAGGCTTACAGCCGGCAGGGAGGACTCAGCAAGCAGCTCAGCTAAACAGAGTGAAGCCCATGAACTCACTTTGTCAACAACCTTAGGTCGCTGCCCGCCTTCCGCAGGGTTTCCACCAGTTCCACACTTCCAAGATCAGCAGCTACATGCGAAGGAGCTTGTGACCTCTGACATGAGAAAGTTCAAAAATGTAATCCAAGCATGTTAAGGAGAGAAAAAACTTGCATAGTTAAAAAGAGAAAGAGAAAGCAAAGGTGTCCTACACAGGCGTAAGGGAAAATAGATAAGGTCACATATTTTTAAACAGGTACAGGAGACATTCATTGCAGTGTTATTTATAACAATGAAAAATTGAAAGGAAGTTACATGTTTAGTAAGGAAACTCATGAGATAAATTACGGTATATCCACATATTGGAATAGTAGGAAACCATCACAAATGATTTTTTAAAATGATTTCAATATGGGATACCTAGAGTAGTCAAGTTCATAGAGACAAAGTGAAATGGTGGTTTCCAGGAGAAGGGGGAGGAGGGAATGAGGAGTTATTGTTCAACGAGTATGGAGTTTCAGTCTGGGAAGATAAAGTTCTGGAGATGGATGCTGTGAGAGTTATGTACATTGTCAGTGTACTTAATGCCACTGAATTGTACACTTATATGGTTACAATGGTAAATTTTATGTTATGTTTATTTTGCCACAATAAAAAATAATTCCAGAGATTTTTAAAAATGAAAAATGCTTATGATACAACATTAAAAACCTTAGCAAAATAACACTATCTAGCTGAGCTCAATTTACAGAAAAAAATAGAGAGAAAGAAGGAAATGCATTGGTGATGTTAAGAATAATAATGTCTAGACGGAGGGATTAGAGCTTATTTTTATTGGCTTCTCAATGCTTTTCTCTATTTTGTAAGTTTCCTACATTATAGTGTATAAAGGAGTGCAAGACGTCTAATTTCTTTCTTGAATAACCACTTTCCCATGAAGAGGATAAGAATGCTTCAGAGAAATATATGAAATCACAAGAAAATCACCCATCTTAACCTCCCACTGAAAGGAATGCTGATGTGAAGACAATTCTAAAATTTTAGCACAGAAAGGAACATTGGCTATAATCTAGCCCAACTCCTAAACCAGAGAGAGGAAGCAACTTCCCAAGGGTCACACAGCTGGGCAGTAGCATCTAGCCCAGGACTCTTGCTACTAGAGCATATGGCCAACCTGCTTGGGATGTTAACATAATTAATATCAACAAGCATTTACTGAAGACACACTTTTAGGTGGCAATGTGCCCCTCTGGGGGCTCGTTATCCATGACATCAAACTTACACTGACAGACCTATCAAAAGTCTACACCAACATGGAACAGAGACACAAGTGTCATACATCAAATACCCATAAAATCTCCCTGTGGCAAAACTGCTAGAAGTCTAGAAGGCAGGAAATGCACCAAAATGTTAACAGAGTTCTCTTTCTTTGGGGGGATTATAAACAAATTGTAAGTTTTTAGCTTATTTATGTTTTCTTACTTTTATACGTTGTGTGTATTCCTGGTCTAACAAAAACCATAAATGATAAAGTCTACTTCTATAATTGGGTGGCAGCCTAGCAAGCCTCCTTCACTGGAGTGGATCTAGACAATTCTGGTGAAGCCAGAATCACTTGGGTGCTCTGTCCATGTGTAGAGCAAAGACTCTGCCCATGAGGAAAGATGTGGGGCATTAACATAGTTGAATACATACGTATGTTCAATAATAAGAGAGGGGCTTCCCTGGTGGCGCAGTGGTTGGGAGTCTGCCTGCCAATGCAGGGGACACAGTTTCGAGCCCTGGTCTGGAAGGATCCCAGATGCCGCGGAGCGGCTGGCCCCGTGAGCCACAGTTACTGAGCCTGCGCGTCTGGAGCCTGTGCTCTGCAACAAGAGAGGCCGCGATGGTGAGAGGCCTGCGCACCGCGTTGAGGAGTGGCCCCCCGCTTGCCGCAACTGGAGAAAGCCCTCGCACACAAACGAAGAGCCAACACAGCCATAAATAAATAAATAAAATAAAATTTTAAAAAAAGGCAAAATTCCTTTAAAATAAAAAATAATAATAATAATAAGAGAGATTTTCTTCCCCCAAACTTTTGGGATAGTAAAAGACCAGGGAGGAGGACGGTCTCTGGGGAAGGAAGGGACAGAAGGGGAGTTAAGTCCCAATTCAGCTCAGGGCACCAGGGACCTCACAGGCTGGAGTTGGAGCAGACTGCAGAGATCTGAGTCAGTGCTCTGGTTTCACAGGTGAGGAAACCGAGGATGATACAGTGGGTTAGGACACGCCTGCCCACCGCACGTGGCTGCTCCCTCACCTGGGAAGGGGCAGCCAGGAAGGAGGGAGGAGTCCAGACGCTCATCTGTCCTCAGGACTCTGGCAAGGGCCCTCTCCCGAGAGTTTTCCTTCCCACTCCTGACCTCTGGAAGAGGGTAGCCCTTCCCAGAGCAGGTCCTGGCTCAGAGAGCACCCACCCCCATCCTTTTAATTCTTCCACCTCAGCATTTCCATTTCCTGCCAGTGATGGATGCCTTTTATGCAGCATTTGATTCTCCTCCAGTGGTCTGAATTCATGGTGATTTTTAAAAAAAATTCCAGGAGGTCTCTTTTGCCTTTGGGCAAAAAGAAGATACATTTACTGTCTACAATATAGAAACAAAGCTTCCTTTCTTGTGGAGAAGGGCTCCCTGCCAATTACAACATTTCACACTGGGGGAGTAGCTTTTGATTTAAATTGCCACCGGCAATTTACCTCTGGGCTACTGTTTATCTATCAGAAGTCCTGGGCCTGTTAAATGTGAACAGTTTAATAACGCATTGGCTGAATCCCAGTTGTGCATTTGAAAAAGACAAAATATGTGTGTGCAAGTGGGAGTGGGGGTTTACAAAGGCAAAAGGATAAAAACATGAATGTGCATATTCTTCCCAGGAATCTTTAGAGCACCTTGAACTTGATCAAAACTACCCCTAAACACATGCTGAGTTGAAACAAGAAAATAGACTCTCTAGGTTCTGATCTGCCTGGCTTACCTGATTTAAGATGTCAATATCATGCTGTGCACTTAATAAGCTGTTTACCACTGTGATATTGTTGTTGATAACAGCTAAATGAAGAGGGGACTCCTTAGGCTGCAGAAAGAAATGACATTTCAAATTCAAAAGATTCTGGCTTCATCAATCAGATCAAAAAGCGACTCATAAAAAAAAAAAAAAAAAAAAAGCGACTCATTTCATCAGACATTTCCTGATAATCTCCTGAATACTGGTACTGCCCAGCATGGTTGCAGGCCCTTAGTAAGTCTTCAGCAGTCACTTCCACGCCAAGGCTGTACAGAAATCCCGCTCACCAGCAACCCACTTTCCCACTTCATTCATTCTAGAACTTGACACTGAGCACCTATTATGGGCCAGGCTCTTTTCAGGATGTTAGGGGTTCAGTGGTGAACATGGCCCATCCTCAGGAATCTTTCATCTAGTAGGGAAAGCAGATATTGATGTGTTTTTTTTTTTAAGTCACAAAATAAATGTACAGTTACACATTGTGATAAGTGCCTTGAAGGAAAAGTGCACAGCGGTAAGAGAGCACATGTGGGTGTGGGCCAAGGGTCAAACTTTCTGGAAGTCAGAAAAGGCTTCCCTGAAGAATTGACATTTGAGCTCAAATATGAAGCTAAGAAAATATTAAATAGCTTAACTGCAGGACTTCCCAGAGGTTTCAAAGAGCTAAAGTGCAGTGGGAACAGCCACAAGGAAGCAACAGCATTCCCCTTCAGCATTCTCCGAGTTGCTTTGATCTTGGGTTCTTTCTGCCTAGAGCATGTTGTGGGACTAATGCCCCACTCACCCAGGGGCACCGTCAGTGCTCAGCCCTCCCACCTATGTAGAGCCCAGCCATCGCGTATTCACCAGGCCCTTGCAGCCTGCTCCCCTTTCCTCCTCCTTTGTGGCTAAGCCGTCTGTCTTCCAGCCATGCGCTCAGCCACCTCTACTACGGGCTTCTTACCAGCCCTGTCAGGCTCAGTGCCCACCTCCAGGGTCACACACACAACCTCCTGTTGCCTTTGCTCCCACCCAGCTGCCACTGGCCCAGGAGGCTCGAGAGAAAACACATCTCTGGGGGTAGAAAAGGCAGATGCAAGGAGGAAAAAAGGCGAGGAGAACACAGGTAAGGTGTGAGAGAGTGAGGTGAGGGGCATTTAGTGGGGAGGAGAGGGGCAGGGGTACAGGTGTGAGAGAGCAGGGGCAGAAGATGCAGTGAGACTGTGTGGACAACAGTAGTTGAGCTGAGAGGCAAAATGCGTGGAAAGAGGGAAAACAGATGCGGCAAGGTGGGTGGTGAGGACAGGGTGCAGTGCTGCTCAAGCGGAGCAGATGATATTAATCAGCATCATTTATGCACATACAACACACTCTCCTAATGGTGCCTACTACTCACTCACTTCCCCTACAGTTCATACTCTGAAACACCGGGCTAACAGCTTTTCATTCACAACCACCCTAGCAGTTAGGGCTTCTCTTCCCCACTCTATATATGAGGCACAGAGGTGAAATCACTTCCTCGAGGCATCGGAGCTAGGAAGGAGCAGAGACAGAATTTGAACCCAGATCTTCCTGACTCCAGCAGCAGCACCAGGCTCCTTCCCAGGAAACAGGGGTAGACGGATGGAAGAGAGATGTAGTGAGTTAGCAAGGGATTCACCAGCACACAGAGGAGAAGGAAAGCAAGGGCAGGTGGAATGCTACGTCTGCGTATGTCAGACTGTCCAAGGGTGAGCAAGGGAAGTGGGAGACAGATGGGGCAGAGGGGCAGCAGGAGGGGAAAGCTTTCTGTGCAGACCTCTTCTGCTCAGGGAGGACCTTCTTTCTAGGGGCGCTAAGGATGAAAAAAGAGAACGTATCCCTCGTCCCAGGGACGTAAGCAGTGCCCTTCCTGCTGGGACCATTGGCCTTGCTGGGGCCCAATTCCTCCTGAGAAACAGGAAGCATCCTTAGATGGACCAGGCAAGGTCAGAACCAGTTCCCCTAACGCCATTCTCCAAAAACTACCAGTCATGGGTTAAATCATGTCCCTCCTCTCCAGTTAATACAATAAATAGAAATGGCTAAGCAATATTAGAGAAAAGAATATTCTCACAGGAGAAATGAAAGTAGAGTGAAAAACAGGGGAATGTTTCCCCATCTAATTCCAGCGCAGAGGGCCTTTGTTAATTCTACCAAAGCCAATTCGAACTTCAGAAAACCTAAATCAATACAAATGACTGACTTTTAAAAGAAAAACAAGATCGGTCAGTGAAGGGGGAAAAATAATCATTCTCCTTCCTATTAACAGCAGTTTCATTATTTTCCCAGACTGATAAATTTAATACAAGACTGGCATCTCTAGATACATAAAAAAAATTAACTGCAGCAAATGTAAATATTTAAAACACAAAGATTTCATTTTGTTCAGGAACTTCAATGACTTTCTAAAATTCATCCCTTGGATTGTATTTCTTAAGATTAAGACTCCGTCTCCAGAAGAAGCCAGTCGGCCCTCCCAGAAAGAATTCCTCCTTTGTGATCACTCGTCTCCCCGCTCCAGCCCTCCATGCATCTGCAAGGAGCATCTCCCAGCACAGCCAGCCTCACAGAGCTGGGATCAAAGCCCATGTTATCATAATAGACTGACTCACTTCCACCTTCTGGTGCAGATCAACGTTCTCACTGAAAAGAAAGCTGACAAAGGATGCGTGGCTGTTCCGGGTTGCTATCTGCAAAGCACTGATATCGAGCTGCAGGAGACAGGTGGAGAGAGAAGGCACGGAGGGAATCCCATTAGAATCTAGCATGGTTTCTGGTGTTCATTCCATGGTAATCAATTAATACAATAAAATAGTACGCCTAGTTAAAAAAGAAAATTCAACGTGTTTCTGATCATTTGGGGGCGGGGGGGGGGGCTTTTGGTTGCTTCCAGGTATCTCCCATTTAAAAGAGACAAGAATCCTAGACAACACGTGCCTCAGGCAAATATGAGCTAAAATCCTTCCCTTCTCCAGGAAGTACGAAGTGGACTAGGGCCAAGCCTTCTCTCTATACAACCTGCAAACCCCCTCCTTGAGCCAAAAGGGCCGAACTTGGTATTGGCCCCAGAAGTGCATCCACCCTCTCCCGCCCTGACCATTTACTAGCAACTCTCCCCTTTACAGGTACCACCTCAGAACTCAGCATGATTGCTGCCTATGTGCAGGTTCCCTCACAGCCCTTTCACTCAACTTCTTTAGCATCTCTCCTTCACTTAGTGCCCATGCTAGAGGGCAAACTACTTAGGTCAGGGCCTCCTCCAAAAGGCCTTGCAATAAGACAAGGTCAGTGGATAGTTATTGACTGATTACAGTTGGTCCCCCAAATTCATGGGTTCTGCAACTGCAAATTCAACCAACTATGCATCAAAAATATTCCAAAAAAAAAACATTCCAGAAAGTTCCAAAAAGCAAAACTTGAATTCGCTCAAGTGCTGGCAACTATTTACATAACATTTACATTCTATTTACAATTATTTACATAGAATTTACATTGTATTCGGTATTATAAGTAACCTAGAGATATGTAAAGTACATGGGAGGGGACTTCCCTGGTAGCTCAGTGGTTAAGAATCCGCCTGCCAGTGCAGAGGCACGGGTTCGAGCCCTGGTCCGGGAAGATCCCACATGCCGCGGAGCAACTAAGCTCGTGCACCACAACTACTGAGCCTGAGCTCTAGAGCCTGAAAGCCACAACTACTGAGCCCGTGAGCCACAACTACTGAAGCCCGCACACCTAGAGCCCATGCTCCACAACAAGAGAAGCCACCGCAATGAGAGGCCTGCGAACCACAACAAAGAGTAGCGCCCGCTCGCCGCAACTAGAGATAGCCCACGCCCAGCAATGAAGCCAAAAATAATAAGTAAAAAAATTTTAAAAATAAAGTACATGGGAGGCTGTGCATAGCTTACATGCCAATACTATGCATTTTATTTAAGGGACTTGAGAATCCTCGGATTTTGGTATCCCAGGGAGGGGATGTCCTGTAATTGCAGGATTGCTGCAAAGTATTTTCAGGTCCTCAGAGTAAGGAGGCTGTATGCAGGTTAGTATGTTTTCCTAAAATGGCTGCATAAGTATGTCCCATCCAATCTGCTCTTCTGCAATGTGACCCTGCCACTCCCCACCGAGGAGTGGGGTTTATTTCTTCACCCCCTTGAATCTGGATAGACCCTGTCACTGCTTTGGCCAACAGAATATGGCAGAGGTGACAGTGTGCTCGTTCCAGGTGTGACCCTTAACTGGCCTGGCAGCTGCTGCTCCCTACATCATGGAAGCCAGCTGCCATGCTATGAGAAGGCAATGCAGATGCTGCACGTTGGTGCTCTTGTCAAGAGGCCCAGCTGATAGCCAACCTCAACTGCCAGGCATGTGAGTGAGCCACTGTGGACATCCTCCTCAGGTAAGTCTGCAAACGACTGAAGCCCTGGCCAAAACTGACTTCAACCACATACCTGACCCAATGTAAGAATCTCCCAGCTGAGCTCAGTCAACCCTCAGAGCCAGGAAAGATAACAGTGCATTGTTCTAAGTCACTGTGCTCTGGGTTGGTTTGTTATGAAGTAATAGATAAGTGGTATAAATACTCACAGGAATGATACACGCTCTGACCAACTGGAGTCTAGCTTGAGCTGATACTAAATGCCCATATGACCTTGAATAAATGTCCTCTCAAGGATGGGCCTCTATGTCTTCCTCTGTAAAAATGACATAACCACCTATATTATTAGTTTTCTATTGCTGCTAATAACAAATTACCACAAACTTAGTGCCTTAAACAATACAAATGTATTATCTTACAGCTCTGGAGGTCAGAAGTCTGAAATGAGTCTCACTGGGTGAAAATAAAGGCCTTTCTGGAGGCTTTCAGGAGAATCCATTTCTTTACCTTTTTCAGTTTGTAGAAACCACCCACATTCCTTGGCTTGCAGCCCCCTTCCTCCACCTTCGAAGTCAGCAGTGGTGTGCTGAGTCCTTCTCACGTTGCATCCCTCTGACCTCCCTGCCGGCCTCCTCCTTCCTTTTTAAAGGACCCTGGTGATTACATTAGGCTCACCTGGATAATCTCATTGTAAGGTCAGATGATGAGCAACCTTACTTCCATCTGCAAAGCAACCTTAATTCCCCTTTGTCATGTAACCTCACATACTCACAGGTTCCAAGGGTCACAATGTGGACATCTTTGGGGGCCGTTATTCTGCCTACCACACCACCCTACCTCTTTCTCTCAAACCAAAGCAACACTTGGAAAATAAATGAGCTAGTAAATGTGTACAATAATCACAAGTATCATCTTATTCATTCCACAAAAATTTACTGAGCACTTATTACGTGTCAGCCCCCATGTTAGACCGCGGGGGCTATGACTAAACCGACAAGATCTCTGACGTTACGTTCAGTAGGGGTGGACAATCAGTTGATTGGTAGATCAGTAGATTTAGAACCTATTTAGTAGATTCTAGACATTAGTAGAAGAATAACATCAGCTAGTGACAATGAGAATGCTACAATGAGAAGTGAAACAGCATGAATGGATGGTTTCTTTCCAGTGAGTGATCAAGAAAAGCTTCTTGGATAGGGTGACGTTTAGACTGAGACCAGAATGGTAGGAAGTGTCCCCCCAATGGAAAGATCTGATGCAGAAACAGGCTTGTGAAGAGCCCAAAGCCAGTAACCCTATGGTGGGAAGAGCTATAGGAGTCTGTGGCATTTTATCCATGAGGCACAACAGGCCAACAGACTTTTTAAGAGCTAAAGAAATATTTGAAATCTTAAAAAAAAAAGGTTGGGATTCGCTGCTGGCGCAGTGGGTAAGAACCCACCTGCCAATGCAGGGGACACGGGTTCGAGCCCTGGTCTGGGAAGATCCCACATGCCAGGGAGCAACTAAGCCCATGAGCCACTACTACTGAGCCTGCTGCGCTCAAGATTCCGTGAGCCACAACTACTGAGCCCGTGCACCACAACTAATGAAGCCCACGCGCCTAGAGCCCGTGCTCCGCAACAAGAGAAGCCACCGCAGTGAGAAGCCCGTGCACCACAATGAAGAGCAGCCCCGGCTCGCGGCAACTAGAGAAAGCCCGCGCGCAGCAACGAAGACCCAACGCGGCCAAAAATAAATAAATAAAATAAAATTATTATTTTTTAAAAGTCATGCCATTCTTTATTAAAAAAAAAAAAAGTTGGTCCCAAGATACCAAAAGCAAAGCACAAAACTGAAGTGAATATTTAATTGACATGTTCAGACTTCGTTGATTGCTAAATGTAATCTTCATAAGGTATTCATTACACTGTAAACAATTTGTAGGTTAAATTTTTTCACCTCCCTCGAATTCTCAGGTCTGCACAGAGTTCTAAGAAATCAGAGTCAATCATAAATTAAGGTAGTTTATCGTATCCAAATGATTATAAATGCACAAATAAAAAAGCCTTTAAAAAATAATTTACAGCAAAAGAAAAGAGATATTTAATGTGGAATGCGGGGGCATTTAAAGTTATTTGATAAGATGTGAGGTAGGGCCTCCAGAAATATGGAATTCTTAGGGTCTACAGAAAGTCTTCACTTGACCCAGGGTAGCTAGGCAGCCTCTCCACCCAGCCCCAACGGAGGCGGTCTCCATAGGCAGCTAAATCCACAATCTCTCCCCACTACCCTCCTCAGAAATGACTCCACCTTTACCCCCTCCCCTTAGCTGGGTGGGTGCAAAGCAAGCTCCTGGAGAACAAGACTAACTAATGTCAGCGGGTGAAGCATTTCCAAGATCAAACACAGTAATCACCTACAGATGTGAAAGCAAAATGAGCCGCTCACAACCCTGGTGTGTATCCTTGCTTCTGGCTTCCTGCTTCCTGCTGCTTGTTTTCCCCGGGGCCTTTACTGGACTGGGCGGAGACAGGTGTGGACAGCAGCGGGGGGGGGGGGGGGGGGGCTGAGGCTATTGATCCAGGAAGTGTGCTAATGAACTCCAGGGAAAACCCAAGATAATGTAAAAGATGTAAAACTGACTTAGGACAATTTCCAGGCTGTCTGGATGAGGCCAAGGCCATAAGGATATGGACAACGTGGAGCCTACAGTCCTGGCAGGGTGGGGAGAATGCGAGCATGTGAAAGCCATTACAAAGCAAAACCTTCAGAGCGCCAAATAATTAAGTACAGAAGGGAGGGAGGCACAGAGCAGCGAGGCGAGCCAAAAGGAGTGATCCCAGGAGGATCTTGCTAATAAGGGAGGCCTTTCCAGGGAGGCTGCAGACTGGGGGCAGAGGGGCACCTGGGCATGACAGAAAAACAGCACCGCTCTCCATATTCTGAATGTTTCCTGGGCCCCGTGAATTCTTAACTCTGGGCTCATTTATCGCATAAAAAACCTTGCAACGTCAGTGGGAATCACCTCACCCTACATATTCCACTCTCTCTTGCAATCTTGTCTATGTATATATAATTTTATATAGTGAGGGACTTCCCTGGCAGTCCAGTGGTTAGGGCTCGGTGCTTTCACTGCCATGGGCCTCGGTTCCATCCCTGGTCAGGGAGCTAAGATCCCACAAGCTGCTCAGTGCGGCCAAAAAAAATTTAAATAAAAAAAATTTAAAAATAAATGAAGATCAGTGTCAAAGGATCTCAGCACCAAAGTATTTTGTATTTTGTACCTAGAAGAAGGCATCATCCTGTCTTCTTCAGGCTCCAGAATGACCACTTGGCTTTTTACACAATTTTCTTTTTCAGCATCTACTGTGTATAAGCCAGGTACTACTTGTTTCTAGGAAGAAAACAAAGTAGAATAAAAGTGTCTGAGAAGCAACAACTATTGCTACCTTTGCCCTATTTTCAATTATTCTCCAAATAAATTATTCCCCAAATAAATAGGAAGAATGGTATTGTTTTTGAGGAAATATTAATAGAGGAACGTCAGAGTTAAGACATTAATTCTTACCCCAAAGTAAGCAAATTATTAATACAATCGGCCCTCCAAATCCCCCTGCCCCCCACAGTTGGATGGATAACCACGGATAAGGACTGTATTACACCATTTTACATAAGGAACTGGAGCATCCATAGATTTTGGTACCCCAGGCAGGTCTTAGAACCAGTCCCCCACGGACACGAGGGACAATTGTATTAATTCTACAAAAGCCCAGTGAATGGGTCAGTGCAGGACCAGATTACCCAAAGAACATTCTGAGTCCCCCTCCCTGTGTGAGTAAGTAGACATGGAGCACATACTTCACTTGGAATGTTGATATCACTTCCTGATGCCAGTAGCACTTTGCTGCATTCTTCATGACCTCCTTCAACAGCTAAGAAGAATGGTGTTTCGCCATTCTAACAAACGGAAAAAAAGTTAAAATGAATTGCCCCTTGGCATGGAATGAAATTACTTGAGAAACAGCATGCTTTCTCTATCTCTTGTGCATTACTCTTAATAGACAGCATTTATTGAGCATCTATGTGCCAACTTATACTGACAAGACTATATGCTTTGGCACAGTTTAACTGCACAACGACTCTGAGGTCAGGGTTATTATCCCCACTTTACACATAAGGAAACTAAGCCTCAGTTGAAAAGTGGCAAAGCTAGGATGCAAGTCTAGCTCTTTGGCTCCAAAGGCTGCATTCTTAACTACTCTGTTATGCTGCCTCCTTTCTCACCTTCCCTCCATCATTCATACTCTCGATCTTTATTAATCTAACAAACAGTTATTAGACACCTGTTGTTTGTCAGACAGTAGTAGGCACTGGGATTGGGAAGACAACTAGAATACAGACCCTGTCTACAAGAAGGTAACAGCTTGTTAAGAAAGATAATCATGGAAATGAGGAACTAAAATGCAGTATGAAATACAAAAATAGAAGCACATTTGTACCAAGTACAGTTTTAACCTTTAAAACTGATTTAAAATATTGCATGTCATTTAAAAAAAAATGTAATACCTTACCTTCGTAATTAAGGTTCCTGAAACTCATTATGATAAACACTAGTAGGACAAAGTGAGTTTAGTTTAGGCCACAACATAGAAAAGAAGGAACTGGTCTCACACAATAGCTACTTGGATACTTCCCCCTCCTCATGCAGATTCTTTCCTAAAAATATTGGGAAGAAATGCAGAATTCCTTCCCCATGTCCTAACCATTCTCCACCTTGGACATTATTCTGCCTAACAGCTAGGATAAGTTCAGACAATTTTACTTGTAGCTAATTAGGTACAAACAATCATGTTAACAGGGACAAAAGAGCATGGAACCAATGTTCCTGTCCCACCAAGATGGAAAAACTGTATCCCAGCAGCTTCCCCTGAGAGCCTGGGACAGCCATCTGTTAGAGAGGAATTTCTTTTCATAATCTGCCTTCTCCTTTTCCAGGAAAAGAGATGCCAAAAGGCAAACCCCAGTGGAAAAATATTTGCAAAAACTGTGAAGGAAAGAATTCATGTCTTTAATATATCAAGAGCCTAATAAACATTTATATCTTTGACCCAGCTATCCGGCCTCTAAGAATATACCCAAAGGAAATAATGAGGAATACAGACTAAAATTTGTATACAAAGAGGTTCATGACAGCATTACTTTAATAGTAAAGAAAAACTGAACAAAACCTAAATGTCAGGGGCTTCCCTGGTGGCACAGTGGTTGAGAGTCTGCCTGCCAATGCAGGGGACACGGGTTCGAGCCCTGGTCTGGGAAGATCCCACATGCCGCGGAGCAACTGGGCCCGTGAGCCACAACTACTGAGCCTGCGCGTCTGGAGCCTGTGCTCCGCAACAAGAGAGGCCGAGGTAGTGAGAGGCCCACGCACCGTGATGAAGAGTGGCCCCCACTTGCTGCAACTAGAGAAAGCCCTCGCACAGAAACGAAGACCCAACACACCAAAAATAAATAAATAAATTTATTAAAAAAAAAAAAAGATAAAAGAACACCTAAATGTCCAAGAGCTAAAGAACAGTTAAATGAATTTTGGGCAGGCACTAAAAATATACATGCATAGGAACACAAAGAAAACTGGAAGGAAAATACATCAGATATTTACAAGATAATCCTTTCAGTGTAGAGAAGAATATGAAAATTGCTATTTATGTTTATTTTTATCTCAATTTTTAAAATTTATATTTCTGGCATATGTTTTATAATATATTAATTTAATTATAAATGTACATGTGATTAGGTGCATGCTCAAACTTTCTTTACTGGTTATGAGTTTGCTACCCAGTATGTTTGGAGACCACTGCTCTAGAGCCTAGTCCCATGAGCCTAGTCCAACTGGTCCAGCAACAGCCTATGTGAGGAAACAGAGGCAGCCCAAGACTGTATGTACGTTATGGGCTTCATCCAAAAGGCTAATATTATCACTAGATACTTCACTTTGTGCAAATAAAACCCATCACAATCTACAATTACAGTTCGTTGGACTTTATGACTTTTCCTCAATGTGCCCCAACGCGAAAATAACTAAAAGGTAGATGAAATCCAAGTGCACACATTCCAGTGGTAAAGTATTAAAGCAAAACAGGGCAAGCACAACTAAGACTTTAAATTAAATCCTATGACTATAGGACTGGATCTCTATATTGACTTGTGAAGGCCAATCATGGCTAAGATTTATCCTAGGTGAATCATGTTCTTTTTGAGTTTCTCACATTCATAACTCTTATTCAAGAAGACCAAATTCCTAGGATCTTCTTTAAGTTAAACTAGTTCAACCTGATCATCACTACGTCAGATGGTCACACACATAAAAATAAACAAATCAAGGCTCTACTTTTGTCCATGATCCTCAGCTGAAAGCCTGGCTTACATTCTCCTAGGAACTGGAAGAGAGAAAAAGGAGGATAATAACAATATGTACCACTGATACCGATGATAACCAGGATCCCACTTACTGCACCCAGATAACACCAGTGATGACACCGGGTACCACCTGTTGCACACTTACCATGTGCCAGGCACCATTCCTTGAACTAAGTGTGTGACACAGCCTTTCATTTGAAACCTCACTAAGGCCTTATGAGGCTATTTGATAGATGAGGAAGCTAAGGCTGAGAGGGGCCAAGTAACGTGCCCAAAATCATCTAGCTGGGGTGATGGAGCCAGGATCAGACCCAGGCAGTCAGAGCCCTGCTTTTAATCCCAGTCCAGGGATGCATGTGACCAGGCTGATTATGCTTCTCTGGTCCAAGGGGAATACTGACTTTTCCCAGGCATCACACACGTCCACTTTCACAGCCTTCAGTTTTCACTTTATTGCCCACAGTTGCTATTTTTATGACCATACACCACCAACTCTAAGTCACATCCTGTTTCTCATGTTAACATACCTGCGATCGGGATGCACCTCACAATCTCAGTCAACCGGGCAGCAGACATGATATAGCTGTCATGGCTTGTGATTTGCATTAAATCAGAATGGGTGTCAGTGGCTTAGAAGAAAATCTCAGAATCTATAGCAGGGCACCTTTTGAAGAAACACTGCATCACAAACGTCTTTGAAGGCACAAAAGACAATATTTTGTCTGGAAAAGCAAGGACATCAAGACTCTGAGTGAGAAAGTGATTTAGAAGATTTCGACTCAATGTATGAAGTATAGGAATACTTAACCAAGCTCCCTTGCTTATTTCGTCCTTTGTATGTATATGATTTTTAAAAATCTAAGATAAAAGTCTAAAAACTCAATAATATAAAATATTCTAAATGACAAGAGAGTTTTTTGTGTCACAGTTTAATTGGCAGCATTATTTTTTCTTAGTGTTACATGAAATAATGACGTGCCTTACAATCAATGGTGTCTTAAAGTAAATGATTATATTACTTAAAGTAGCTCTCAGGAGAGCTGCCAAGTTAGAATTCGTCAGAATATTAAACTATGAAGTCCAAGAGGACTCCACTCACGTGAGTCTCCAAACAGCCAGCCTCAAAGGCAATTGAGCCAGAGGTTAAAAAGTGACCACCCAGAGCAGATGACTCACAAGGAGTTTACAAGAACCCCAGGCCCGGTTTCCAACTCCCTGCCGCCCTCCACCTGAATATACCCCCTCCCCACTCCGGTGTCTCAGAGTGAACCTCCGAAATCTTACTACTCACCATGCATCACCCCCTCCTCCCCTGTACCCCACAGCTCAGTGATGGGCACCCCACCCTCCTGGAAGTCCAAGCCAGACAGCTAGGGGCCAGAAAGTCTGCCCTCTCCGTACCCCCTGGTCACAAATCCTGTGGTCTCTGTCTCCTCCTACCACCTCGTCCTGCTTGCTGCCAGTGAGAGCCTCGGCGAGAGGCTTTCTGTAGCTCTTGCTTCAGCCACTTCTGCAGTCACCTGACTGGGACTCCCCATCTCCTGCCTCTCCAGGCACCAATACCCCCTTCAAACCACGGTGACAGTTACCCACCTACACCCAGGATGGATCCCATCCCTTGTTTTCTGCTTAAAACCTTCCAAGGTCTCTGCTGCCAATAGGTCAGAATCACCCCTCCTCCTGGTGAGCACAGCCTTTCATGGTCTCTCTGCCTTGGCCCACTTGGCATCCACCTTTCCCAGCCCACCCATCCTCAATTTCTGCCACCCTGAACTTGTCATTCCCAGGACACACCATGCTCTTTCATGCCTTGGTTCCTTTACAAACGGGCTCTTCCCTCTGTCTCAAATACTCTACCCTTGTGCCCTCCTCCAATCTCCTCGTACCACTGTCCATTCAAATGCTCAGACCCACATAACATACCACCTCCTCTGTGAAGCCTGTGATATTTCTGAAACAGATTTTCCTTTGTGCTCCCACAGCACACTGTATATACATCTATTACCGCATTTAGCCCGATATATTATTTTTTGTATGCTCTTCTTGCCCTGTAGGCTTCTAGAATAAGAAAACATACTCTACCTAGCATAGAGCACATATTAAATTTTTTTTTTTTTTTTTTTTGGTGAATAAGTGAATGGTTTAACAAATGAACCTCCATGAGTTACTTTAGCCTGTTAAAGCTGTGGATAGAGTCGTGGCCATGTTTTCCACAGTTTTAAGTGAAATTCATACTTTCAAAGTGTTAAATGAAAATAAATAGCTGCTTGAACGAGAAGGGAAAAAATCCATCCATGTTCCTTGCTCTACCTTTGCTGCTAATTTGCTAGCAAAAGTGGGACAATAAAAGTAATTCTATATAACCTTGAGAAGGCAAACTGGTGAAAGATTTCTGGGAGGTAGTTTTAAAATGTGCAGAACTCTTTGACCCACAATTCCACATCTAGGAATTTCTCCTAAGGAAAGTATCAAAGATATGCACACAGACATGGATGCCCTCCCAGTGTTTCCCTCCCTGGTCAGGTGGGGCTGAGCCTCCCACAGACCTCAGTGGAAGAAAAGAGCAACTGGGTTGACAGTAGAAAATTCCATGTAGTCCACTGATTTCACAGACATTTATGGAGCAAAACTGGCAATCTGGACGGTCCACTGAAAAAGTGGGTTGATTTCACCTGGATATTCGATGATTCTGACTGTAGTAACAACTGAACAACTCTACTGCTCACCAAAATGCCATCACCAAATCTACACCTCAACTGTCACTCCCCTTTCTCTGGTACTCAGCAAAGAAATAAAAGTCCATTTCACCTTGTCCTTTTCTGAAGTATGCAGATTAAGGAAGATAAGTTTTTCTATCATTTCAATGTGGCCCCGCTCTGCTGCCAAAAGAAATGGTTTTCTTCCTTTCTGAAAGTCAATCATAAACTTCAGTGTTCATTATACACTTACTGAGCCGGCAAGGCAACCAACAAAGTGGGCAGCAGCTTGAGGGGAGGGGATGGCGAGGAGGCCAAGGTGGTGATTCTGGTCACAGCATTCTGGGGCCTTCCTAGGGGAGGGTGAAAACAATCCCTCTCACTTCAAACCAGATCCATTTCTGAGTTGTTGCCCCAAACTGTGGGAACTCCGCATCAGCACAGAATCATTTTTATGGGGGTAGAGAAGTACTGTTGGAAACTGTCTTCCCAAGCACCTGGGGAGATGCCACCCCACAATCAGACAATGAGATTCCCTTTCAAATGTAACAATTTTACCAACTTTCTGCATTTATTGAATAGTTCTTTCACTCGACTATTTATTGAGAAGCTGATTTTGTGCCAGACCCCATCTGAGTCACCTGCGTATTGCTCAGTAAGCCTTGCCTTACTGATAAAAATGTTTGAAGCAGAAATTGTCCAGGGTTTAATATTTACGTGACTCATTCAGACATGACGTGTGTCAACTGCTTCTCTTTAGGCTCTCCTTGCTTGCTCATACATTTACCTCTAACGTTCACCAAGAATCAACGGGAAAACTCTTGAGAATAGGTCAATATGAAATGGGATGGAGAAATTAGGAATTATCCAGAGAATATAGCTTAAAAGGGATGTTTAGGTGTAATGTGTTGGGGAGGAAGGTTCAAGTGCAGAATCTTCTGATTATGGCAATTTCTCCAACTTTTCACATTGCAAAGGGAGACTGCATTTTCAACAGCCAAAATGTCATCGAGAACAATGAAATACCCATAAAAAACTCAATTTTCTAACCTGAGATATTTAAAAGCAGGAAAAGAAGTTGGGGTGGCAAAATAGCAGAAGTATTTTCTTCGACTAAAGAAAACATTCACAGATTGGCTTGATATGTTATTAACTAAAAGCTTAGCAAGATGTTTGAAATGTGAAAAGCAAGATACAAGACTCTTTATCAGAAGGTTCCTGAATCTAGACTGTTATCTGATCTCCTGCTAATGCAAGATAATAAAAAGATAATGGAGTCTGTCATACAGAGTGAAGTAAGTCAGAAGGAGAAAGACAAATACCGTATGCTAACACATACATATGGAATTTAAGAAAAAAAATGTCACGAAGAACCTAGGGGTAAGACAGGAATAAAGACACAGACCTACTAGAGAATGGACTTGAGGATACGGGGAGGGGGAAGGGTAAGCTGTGACAAAGTGTGAGAGAGGCGTGGACATATATACACTACCAAACGTAAGGTAGCTAGCTAGTGGGAAGCAGCCGCATAGCACAGGGAGATCAGCTCGGGTGCTTTGTGACCACCTAGAGGGGTGGGATAGGGAGGGTGGGAGGGAGGGAGACACAAGAGGGAAGAGTTATGGGAACATATGTATATGTATAACTGATTCACTTTGTTATAAAGTAGAAACTGACACACCATTGTAAAGCAATTATACTCCAATAAAGATGTAAAAAAAAAAAAGATAATGGTCACTGTTAACTTGAGATAGCAGCTCATGATTCTCGACAACTTAAAGAGAAAGGAAGGAAAAGTGCTAAAATAATCAATGGCCAAAAAAAAAAGTGTGTATAGATCAGCCCTCCAGGGCTCTGCACTCATGCATGTAGGGAGGCCGGAGAAACAAACTGGCACCAAAAATTCACCTCATTTACATTCTTGAGCCAGATACGTGGTCAATTAGACCTACATCCCCAGCCCTTCAGAGTTTGAAATCCTGACTCATCATCGATGGTTCTCATCGAATCACTAAGGAAGGGCAAAGGGAAGAGACAGAAAGTGCTTGGGGCCTCCGTTTGCTGCTTGTGAGATTAGACCCCTAACTGAAGATCAAGATCTAGTCTTGAGCCATGAACAGCTCTTGGGAAATGACAGAGACAAAATTACTGTGTCTGGCTTATGACAAATATCTGCTAATACTGACAACAGATAAAGGTCCATATAAACAAATCACAAAAAGGAGGATGGGAAACACTGATGATATACTAGATGAAAACATTTAGTCACACATCCGTATAAATCAGTCACTTGTTTACTGAACAATTATTAAGCACCTATGTATATGTCAGATACTGTGCTAAGCAAGAGTGGCCAAGATAAAAAATACGGCACCCCGATGTTAAGAAGCTCAGAGTCTGTTAGGGAAGACGAACACACATACGAGTGATCATAATGAAATGCAGGACCTGAGCTGGCGATCTGTGGGAGTACAGAACTCAGTGTGAGTGTGTGTTTGTGGCTGGGGAGCAGGTGACAAGAAATGGGGGGAGACAGCCTTTAAAGGTTGCTAATGCCCTGGAACGGCAGGAAGGAGCACTGGTGACCTGTTTCCTGTCCCCATCTTTTCCACTGGAGAACAGCCCCTGTGCCCCACCTTTGTGGAGCTGTTCATTATAGCTCCTGCCTCTTCCACCATCTACCCCTTGGTCAGAGTGTTTGGTTCAGGATGGTCACGTGCCAAGCCACAGGCCAATCAGAGTCACCTGTGAGCTTTCATATATAAAACCTGAGGCTGCTAGTAGCCATCTTTCCCACCATGTGGAGAGTAAACCTATCAATAATGCCAACAGAGACAGCCAAGAGTTGGGAGGAAAAAAAAGAGCTGGACCCAGCCATGCCTGAAGCCAGCCAGATACACCCTCAAACTCTTTAGTTAGGCGTTAATAAACTACCTTTAATGTTTATTCTAGATTAAACTGGATTTTTGTCACTCATAACAAAAAGAACTCTAACTAATACCTATTTAGCCGTCTGGGGACACACACTACCGGAAGTATCAGGAGTCTGTTCAACTTTAAAATGGCCTTACTCTTTTATCCTTGGTTGCTACAAAGTCTTGCATTTCTGCATGCCTATACAGAGTGACAAAGGACCCACCCACAAAGAAAGCCTAGTCTGGTAAGAAATGGGAGGTTATCAAAAACAAAACATTTTTCCTCACCAAGAAAACAGCTATTACTTTAAACTTTGTATGCCCTTTAAAAAATGTTATCATCAAGAAAAAAAGTGAAAGCCAAATTACACAAAATAAGAACATTTAAAGTAGTCTCTATCTTATAAACATATCAAAAGGTAGCATGAAGAAAGATGAGGTGACAGTAAAATGAGATACAAATCTTTTCTCCCATCTCTAGTATAAGTTATTAGGCAAAATAACAAGAATTTTAAAAATGTGGGTTTTTTTAAAAAATATAGTTTCTTATGTCTTATTTCATTTTTTAACCACCCAACCCTTTTAAATTACACTCAAGTGGGCCTCTACCAGTGCAGCCTCGGAGAACTGAGACTGCCCTCACTTGGAAGGCAGGGAGATTTTCCAGCCTGAAGGACTATGGAGCTTGGTGTCAGGGCCTCAAGCTTCAAGCCCCACACAAACCACAACAACTTCCCAGCTCAGGAAGGTATCCTGAATCCCTTTCTTCATTAGCAAAAATAAGGAGGGTCCAGAATTCCTGTTCCTTTTTCCTTTATTAACTTAATGTGCATTTAACCTAATACGTCTTAATTCAATGCATTTAAATTGTTTGCACGTGAATAAGCCTGAGGAGTTGCAATTATTCATTAGAAATTATTTTTCATTTTTAAGTTTACTGCCAGGGTTATTTGACAAGGTACCAAGTTCAGTAAATGTTTCACAAACAGCCATTAAATGTGCACCTTAAGTCCAACCTGGCCATCCCTTCCCACAGGGATCCCAGAGAGGGTGCCCTGGAGAGCCTCTGAGGAGAGGAGGCCGGTGGAATCCAGCATGAAGCCCCCTGGTGCCTCCTGGGCATGTCTACACACCCAAGACATTTCCCTTCATCCTGCGATCAGAAGTCCACAGCAGAACCCTAGTTGAAGGGGAAAACCAGCAGGGCCTTGAATAACTTGAGATTTGAGAGAGGACGAGAACATTGCCGTGAGTAAAAAGTGCTGAAAGAGCGGTGTGTTGCATATGAAGGCATGGAACTGGTGTGAAGGGGAGCTGCTGGGTCCGTTCTCCCCAGATGGGAGTCAATAGGTTGGATGAAATCCAAGGCTGTTAGATGTGGGCCTCAGGTCCACATAGGAAACTGTCTTCTCAAATCCCTTCATGACTATTATCCCCAGTCCTCCAAAAAAAAGGATGCTTCTTTGCATTTGGACCTCTAGAGACTTCATATATAGATTCCTTTAAACCAGTGGAAGTTCCCCGATGTATGCAGCTGAAACCAACCTAACGTCGTACCACCAAACTTTATAAACATTCAACAGATACATGAGAGGCCTCTGAGGCCATTCCCTTCTGTGTCCCTTCCTCTCCAAACATTTTAGTCTGAGTATTTATTTTTGATCACTAGGTGGGAGTTTACATGTAGATTCTAAATATCTAGACTGCTTCACCTATGACTTCTCCTGGCTGCTCTAATCTCTCTCCCCTGGAGAGGCCACATGATTTCTAGAGCTACGGAGTTGGGAGAAACTTCAGTATACTCCAGTGTCCTCCATCTCTCCCATCTCACCCAATCTCTTCCAGGCCTAGTTAAATCCATTTTGTTAATAAAGACCTCCTCCCTATAAGGCTTTCCTTGTTAGCTTTTGGAGTTCCCTGTAGACTAATGAGAAGGATTACTAACACTGGGCAGGTATAAAGGCTCTCCATCACTTTCTGTGGATAAGAAACTAGGGAAGAAGGCCCGCTGTGAAGGTGGAGCGGTCTTTTCTATACAGTGCATTTCATGAGCTCCACAGTATCTTTAAGCAAATACAGATGGAAAACCCAACACTGAATTAATTGACCCTGAGCTCCTGATCCCAGTTCCTACTGGCTTTTGCCAGTATCCTTGACCTCACTCACAGATCTCAGAAAAAGAACAGACTTTGTGTTTTTATTGGATTAATCCAGGTTTCTTTAGGATTAAAATTGGACTCAGAGATTCTTCTCTCCCTAGATGACCCAGTGAACTCATTATTTGCTCATTCCTCATATGTCTCTCCACCCATCTTAATTTTAGGTCCTCTTAGCTTCACATCTACCTGGCTCTGCACAGTCCGCTACCAGGACTCTTCAGCCTTTTCCCCAACAAATAGTCAGAGTTGGAGGAAGAGGAGTGGAACAGGACAAGTCCAGAGCCTGCCGAAGAGATAATGGCCAGCAGAAGCTCCAGAAGTGGGGAAGGTTCCCCACAAACTGCTTTGGTCTTTGAGCCCCTTCAGCTTGCCTGATCCTCCCCACACACAGCCGTCTCCCGTGAAAGCATCCAGAGCCCAATGAAACGGAAGACAGTCCCGTTCTCACACAAAACAGGTCCTAAGGGACTTCCCTGGTGGCGCAGTGGTTAGAAGTCCGCCTGCCGATGCAGGGGACACGGGTTCGTGCCCCGGTCCGGGAGGATCCCACGTGCCACGGAGCAGCTGGGCCCGTGAGCCATGGCCGCTGAGCCTGCGCGTCCGGAGCCTGTGCTCCGCAACCGGAGAGGCCACAACAGTGAGAGGCCCGCGTACCGCAAAAACAGGTCCTGATAAACAAAAAGGTCCTACTGTATAGCACAGGGAACTATATTCAATATCCTGAGATAAAAGAATATAAAAAAGAATATATATATTATATGAATGTAATATATATAACTGAACCACTTGGTTGTACAGCAGAAATCAACACATTGTAAATCAACTATACGTCAATAAAAAAATTAAATTAAAATAAAAAGAATGTATATATATATATATATGTATATATATATATATATAACTGAATCACTTTGCTTTACAGCAGAAAGCAAACACAACATTGTAAATCAACTGTACTTCAGTTAAAAATACCTTTTATTAAAACAAACAAACAAACAAAAAATCAGGTCCTGAACATATAATCTGCTGAACTGAATTGAATGGAATTCACTCATAGGCCACACTCCTAGTTAGCCTGGATCAAGCTGGAATGTCTGACTTCCTCATCCTGACATTAAATGCTGTTTGATTATGGTTATCAGTTTGAGGAAATTAGATAGCATTTTACCCCATAATAATTGTTATAATAACTAACATTTAGTGAGCACTTACCAAGTACCAGGTTCTCCGCTAAGTGCTCTATAGTCATTAACTCATTTAAGCATTCCAACAGTGGCTACTCTGATATATTACTACATAGGAATGGCTTAGGGGTGGCGTCTGATTGGAAAGGGGTGGTAGAATGGCTTGCCATTTTGCTCACTGGCATAGGTATTTGTACATAAGATTGAGGAAGCATCAAAATCATTTCTATCAAAGAATGGAGGTATTGCTGACAAAAAATGACATGGAGGTTAAGACATCCACCCCCAACCCCATCATGCCTTGGTGCTACCATGAAGTAGGTTTTATTATTCCCATTGCACAGAGGGAGATACTGAGGATTTCAGCAGCTGGAGAACTTGCTAAAGCCACATAGTTAATATATGCCCAGGCCTCAGCCCAAGTCTGTCTGCCTCCAATCTGTAAAGGTATAGTTGCTCAGTCATATTCAGAAGAAGTAAACTAAATTTATAGACTTCACTTGAAGGAATGGCTTTTGTTGTTATTATTTTTAAGATTGAGGTCAGAAAAAAATGTGAAGGTTTTTTAAAAGAGGTGAAACAAAGCGAATATTACTGATTAACTTCTAGAGAGAGTTTAATGGAGAGTAAAGTTCTAGAGGCACAGTGAAAAGGAGGTTCCATTCAAACTCCAAATGCCAATCCCACAGAAGATATTATCCTATGAAAAAAGCCTAGAAGGAGATATTCCAGGGAAAAGACAGTCCCTAGCACATGGGCAATGCCCACTGTCCTCTGAGAAGGGAGACGGTGCAGCATGGTGACTAGAGTCAACCAAACCGGAATTCAAACCCTGGCTCTGTCACTTCTCAGTTCGGAGCCCTCAGACCAGGTACCTAGCCTCTCTGGGCCTCGACTTCCTCAAATATCAGTAAAAATAAGACTTCCTTTGAAAATAAGTAAAATATTTTTTCTTTATACGATTACTGTGGGGATTAACAGTATAATTCGTTCATCCAGCAATGATTTGTTAAGCATCCCTACATGCCAGGCCCTAGACCTCTCGCTGAAATAATGTGTGGACACAGCATTCCTCTGGGCCAAGCACACTAACGAACACTCCATAAGTGGTAGCTGTTACTATATCACTTCTTATGAAAGGAAAAAAATATAGATGGATATGGTAAAATTGCACTATATTCCACGGCTCATTACAGCACAGCCTTGGGTCAAATACATTCCCAAAAGGCCAGGCATAATCGAGTAAAATGCAGGCACCCAAACAGGGTGGATACTGTCCACCCCTGGCCAGGATGAGGGAGTAGAGGCAGCTTCCTCAATACCTCCTGCCCTCCCCACATGCAGGTGCTAGGGCCACCACTGGCACCAACAATTTCCATCTGCTCTGTGCTCTGCCAGACAGAGACAGGATCCAGCTACAGGGTCAGGTCTGTCTGTGCTGGCTGCTTTGGCAGTTTCTGCAAGGGCAGGAAGAAAGCAGAATTTAGTGGGGGTGTATTTGAGACCTGTCCACCCAACAGCAAACACACCTCATCAGGCTGGTCCAAGTCCGTCAGGTGCAGATCTTGAATGAGGTACTCCACAATGCCTATGTTGCTCTGAGCCCCAAAGTGGAGGGCATTCATTCCATCCTAAAGAGAGCCAGGGTAGGGGAGACAATTACACTGCAATCTTCTCCTCCTGCACTGTGAGGAGAGGGCTTTGTCCAGGTGTGATCCACATACCTACCTGATTCTTGGCTCTCTGGTCTGCTCCAGCTCTAACCAGCATGAGCATGATCTCAAGGCTTCCAGACCAGGATGCAAGGTGAATTACTGTCAAGCCATGCTTCCTCCAGAAAAGAGAAGAAAGGAATCTATCACTTGGGTGAGCCACCACACTGTCTCAGCCAACAAAAGCTAGGTTAATACCTAACTGTTGAAAATTAAGAAATGACAGTTTAATATACAACAAAGGTGATGTTTCAATTCTATGGGGACAATGAATATATTTAATAAGTGGTATAGGTACAAGTAGTTCTTCATCTGGGAAAAGATAAAATTAAATCCTGTATCATATCATACATACAAAAAAAGCACACAATAAATATATTAGAAGAAAATCTAGACTATAATGTATAGTGTTTTAATTCAAAAGTTATAAAAGGAACAAGATGATAAACAAAGACAATAAACAAATGATAGATTTTTTTAAAATGTACCTTAATAAAGATAAATGGTTATTTTCTGTAATACATGAAGTACTCTTACAAATCAACAGAATAAGGCAATTAAACCCATTGAAAAATGGACCCCAAAATGTTCTCTCTTAAGGTATTAGTAGAAATGAAACCATTATAGTTTAAGCAATCTAGCAATATCTATTAAAATTTTAAATACAACTGGCAATCCCACTCCTGGGACTCTATCCCATGAAAATAAGTTTTAGGACCTAATGTTATATAGATAAGGTTATTAATTGCAACCCTTAAAACAGTGCGAGGTAAATGTCCATCAATATTGGAACATTGAACAAATCAGGGAACAGTCATACCACATGATGTAGGCATTAAAAATAATTAATTAGGGCTATAACAATTGACATGGAGAGACTTTCATTAGGTAGTTGTTAAATGTGGAAAATAAGATGCAGAGAAAATATAATACGATCCCATTTTTTATAAAACTAGCTATGACCAAAAACTCATATATGTATGTATCTATATCTATTATAAGTGGGTAAGTGGATAGATAGATAACAATGTGGATATGGGGACTTCTCTGGTGGCGCAGTGGTTGGGAATCCACCTGCCAATGCAGGGGACACAGGTTCAGGCCCTGGTCTGGGAAGATCCCACATGCTGTGGAGCACCTAGGCCCGTGTGCCACAACTACTGAGCCTGCGATCTGGAGCCCGCGAGCCACAACTACTGAAGCCTGCACGCCTGGAGCCCGTGTTCCGCAACAGGAGAAGCCACTGCAATGAGAAGCCCGTGCACTGCAACAAGGGGTGGCCCCTGCTCATTGCAACTGGAGAAAGCCCGCTCGCAGCAACAAAGAGCCAACACAGCCATAAATAAATAAATAAATAAATAAATAAATAAATAAATAAATTCATTAATTAAAAAAAAAACAAAAAAACCCCAATGTGGATATGATCATATGAGCATGAGGAAAAGTACAGAAATAAACACACAGATCCTACATCGTTAAATGTAGTTACTGGAGAAGAGGAAACTACACAAAAAAGAAGAAACAAAAGACTGAAGTTATAAAAAGAATTCTATTTATGCATAAATTATTTAAAATATACTCTCTCAGTAAAATCACACATGCATAAAAGAGGCTGAAGGAGAGATTTCGCTCAAGACCTAGTGACCTGCAGTGATGCTGGGGGTACTTAGACTTGTACACCAAATGAACAGGAAGAGAAGTGTGAAAGGAAACAGCCAGCAGTTAACACTTGTCTCAGGGAAGAGGGATTGGAGGGCTGTATCCTGAGGAAAATTAAGACCTGCGCCCTAGGTCCCAAGTTAAAGAAGTATATAGAGCAGACATTACGAGCATGATCTGTAGACTCAAACGAAACTGACCTCAAACTCTGGCTCTACCACTTTCAAATGCTATAATCTTGGTCAACTTAGTTAACTCTTAGCCTCAGGATCCTTAATTGTAAGTTCATGTGTCTGCTTTTCTGTTTCCTTTTATCCTTGTCAAAAAATCATCCATTAACTACGAATAAGGTCTGAGGATCTAATGTATCACACGGTGATTATAGTTAATAACACTTTTATATAACTGAAATTTGCTAAGAGAGTAGAAATTAAATGTTCTCATCAAAAAAAGAAATGAGGTGATGAGTGTGTTAATTAACTAGATGGGAGGAATCCTTTCACAATGTATACACACACTGAATCATCACCAGGTACACTTTAAATGTATCACAGTTTTATTTGAACCATACCTCAATAAAGCTGAAAAAAATTTTAAATAAATCTCTTTTAAAATGAAAACAAACAACAACAACAGCAAAACCCACAGGGTTTATAGGGGAAATGGGGCAGGGGCTCAACACTCAAAAACTCTGTCATTGACACCTTTTTAAAAAGATAGGACCCTGCTATGGACTGAATGTCTGTGTCCCTTGATAATTCATATGTTGAAGCCTAATCCCCAATGTGATGGTATTTGAAAGTCATGCCTTTGGGAGATAATTAGGTCAGGAGGGTGGAACCCTCATGAATGGGATTAGTGCTCTTATAAACAGACACAGAGAGTTTACTTCCTCTTGCCGCTCTCCAGTGAGAGTGGATAAAACCAGAAGCAGCTTTCACAAGATGCTGGCAGTGATGTCGTCTTAATCTTGGACTCTCCAGTTTCCAGATCTGTGAGAAAGAAACATTTGTTGTGGAAGTCACCCAGCCTATGGTATATTTGTTACAGCAGCCCAAGCTAAGACAGACCCTAATAAAAACAATAGTACAATTGTACATGTTAAACGGTTAGGTATTTAATCACCATAAATATGGTACTGGACCTCCAAAAAAAAAAAATCATCCATAACCTCTGTATAGATGCCTTCCAAAAAGTAAGCCTTCTCAGCACATCTTATTTGCATCTCATAATCAACTGTATTTGTAATCCTGGAGACCAATTTGCTAAATGTATAGCATATAAATAAATAAACAAGGAATGAGGGTCTGTGGGGGACTTCCATTTTCAAGTGTATAAGCCTTTTGGCAGTAACTTTGGCTGTCCCCAGAAAGTGCATTAATGTTTTCTCTTATTGTCAGTAAAGTCTGGGTACCGAGAAGTAAAGAAGCAAGTCCCAGATTATGGAGATGTAACTCTAAATCTGTGGTTCTTCACTGGGGGCAATTTTGCCCCCAGGGGTCATTTGGAGATTTCTGGAGACACTTTTGGTTGTTGTGACCTAGGGGAGATATTGGCATTTAGTGGGTAGAGACCAGAGATGCTGCAAACATCCTATAACCCCCCCAACCTCCACCACAACAAAAAAATCACCTGACCAACAGGTCAACAGTGCCACTGTGGAGAAACCCTTCTCTAAATGTACATACCCTATAATATTTACCTTTCAGCTGTCACACTACACAGTGAGGCAGTCTATTAAAGTCTAGAGTGAAGAAAACGCTTACCAATTTCTGCACTTTTTCCCAAGGAACAATGATGTACAATAACTAGTTGAGGTTTTTCAAGAAATTTTACCCCTTAATTTAGCCTTCCCTATAAATCAATGTTTCACACCCAGTAACCATAAATCTAGTTTCACATATGGTCAGAAAAGAGGCCAGAAATATTTGGGATGGATGATAAATCATATTTTGATAGCTCTATTTTTCCCTAAGAGGTCATTCCTAATTTTAAAGCAGCCAACACTTAAGGATTTCAAACACCCATCATAAAATCCAAAAGCAAGGAATTCAAGAGGCAAACAACTTGAGTCTCTGAAACCATAAATTCCAAATGGAGCCATCGTTCCTCAGAGGCAAAGAATCACTCCTCACAGATGTAAAGTAAGTCTTCTGATAAGAAACTGACATGCCTGAGAGGTTTATGAGCATGAGTCACAGATTACATTCGTAGTCAGTACCTGATGCTCTATAAAGTGTAAAATGCTCACAGACACCGACAACCTGTTCTCATTACCAGTCTGATGACAGGCAAGAAGGTCAATAACTTCCCCGGGGAACACTTGCACTCAGAGTAAGCAGCTCTGAGAGTAGATGCTTGCATTATCCTCTGGGCACCACCTGCACTCCACCTGGGATCCTTTCTTCACATCTGGAGTAAGAGCCTCCACTTACCTCGTCTGCCTCTTCCCCAGATTTGTGGATGCTGCCCGCTTTGAACCTGGAGTCCTCAGCCTCTGGGCTATGCATTTGATCCTCAGCACGCAACTTACCTGTTACAGTCTCAGTCCTTGCTCCCCAACAGAGTGTAGGTTCCTCAAAGCAGGGACTGTATCTATGCCAGTGCTTCCTGAAACAATCACCTGGGGATCTTGTTAAATTGCAGATTCTGATTCATGAGGTCTGGGGTGGGGCCCAAGTTTCTGCATTTCTAACAAGCTCCCTGGTGATACCAGTGCTTCTGGTCCCAGGACCTACTCTGAGTAGCAAGGACTTATATCTAGTTGAATCCCCAGTAGTTGGCATTGATACTCACCCACAACAGACACTGAATAAATATTGATGGTGAAGGGGTGCCACTGTTGGCTCTTTGCAAATAGGTGTTAGAACTCAAAGGACAGAACTGCTAAGTCAAACTGAGGGCTCATCACTCAGATAAAGAAGCTGCCAGGTCTGGCCAAACATGGCATTGCTTGAATTATAAAAAGCATTTTACTAGTTATGCTCTAATGCCACTGTGAATAATTGATTTAGTTACAGAAATACTTAACTTAATAAATCTTTCAAGGCAAAGTACAGAGGTACATCAGGAATGATGCTATTTCCCACCTGACAGCATTTCAGTGCCCCAAGGCAAAGTTACAAGAGGCTGATGCTAGCCAGAGTCATGCTTCAAATACAGGGTAATACAAATATATGTTCGGAAAAACCTCAGAGAGAACAAAGTGGTAAAAACCTCTCTCCAACATTTTGGGTACAACTGACTTCCACTCTGACATAAACGAGTAGTGTGTTTAATACATTAGACACATGGCAATCCTCAGACATGCTGTTTAAAAGAAAAGATGCTATTGAACCTGGGCAATGGATACACCAGTGTTTACTGTACAATTCTCTCCACTTTCATAGTATGTCAAAGGTTTAGGGTTATGGTCCTGTTTAAGATGGTATAAGTACACTCCACTCTGTCTCTCCCAACAAATGCTACTAAAATCTCTGGACAGACGTTTGGAACAGCTATTTGAGGACTCTGAGGAGTAAATGACAGCAGGTAGATCGGGGAAGAAAACCAGAACTCAAAATACAAACAATCAGGGTTTCCTGATCTTTTTGTTTTCTCTTCCATACCTTCCAGCTGGGACTCAAAGCAGTACAAATCACTGGCCCGGACAGAAACAGCTCCAAGAGGAGCTTCCCATTCTGGTCTAAGAAGTGGAAGGGGGCCCCTACAGGGCAGAGAAGGTGGGGGAAATCCTAATTTTGTTTTGTTTTCTCTTCTGGTTCCGCCCCAGGCAAGCCTCACTCCCAAAGTTGCAACCCCACAGTAGAAGGGGTAGGAGCAGTGACTGGGCAAGCAGTGACAGAGGGAATCCTTCTCTCTGACCTGAGGAACTGTGGTCAGAAGAGGAGGATGTGGGTGGGGGAGGGGGGAAAAGGGTTTTTTTTTTCCTCTCTTAGTCCCAGAGGCAGACATAATTGTGGGAAGTACACAGTAGAGCTGGGATACTACACCCTTGGCTTTCTAGTCAGAAGACCAGGAAAAGGTGGAGAAGGGCCCTGTAGGTGGAGAATGTAGGGGAGATGATCTTGGAGAGGTGGGAGTTCAAGAAAGCAACCCCATAAAGTTGTGTATGTACTACTGGCCTCCCCCCGGACCTGTACATGTTCCTGACCCTAAACAGTGTGACAAAAGCTTGGGGAACTGAACTATCGGGTAGACGACTGCCCAGGTCTCAGACTGGCTCATGGATAGCGCACAGGTCCAAAAAGCACTGCATAAGTGTTAAAAACTGGTGACATTGGTGTCAAATGGTGTTGAAGAAATCGGTCATCCATATACCAGATTCCTTATAACTTTATACTTAAATTAACTCAAAACGGATGATAAACCTAAATGTAAAACACAAGGCTATAAAAGTTTTAGAAGAAAAATATGAGAAATCTTCATAACCTTAAGTTAGGCAAATCATTCTTAGATATAATACCAATAGCTAGATTCATTTTTTAAATACAAGTGAATTGAATTTCATCAAAATTAAAAACTTCTGCTCTATGAAAAACACTAAAAAGATAAGCTGCAGAGGGTGAAAAAATATTTGCAAATCACATATCTAACAAAGGACTTGGATCCAGAATATATAATGCACTCTCAAAACTCAACAATTAAAACAGGGACTTCCCTGGTGGTCTAGTGGTTAAGAATCTGTCTTCCAATGCAGGGGACACGGGTTCGATCCTTGGTGGGGGAACTAAGATCCCACATGCCATGGGGCAACTAAGCCTGCGCGCTGCAACTACTGAGCCTGCGTGCTGCAACTACTGAGCCTGCGTGCCACAACGAGGGAGTCTGCGTGCTGCAACTACAGAGCCCACATGCTATGGAACCCGTGCGCCACAACTAGAGAGACCTCACACTCTGGATCCCACGTGCCACAACTAGAGAGAAGCCCGCACGCTGCAACAAAGAGCCCGCGCGCCGCAACTGAGACCCGCCACAGCCAAAAATAAATAAATAACTAAATAAATATTTTTTAAAAAATAGTACCAAGCACACAGGGTTGTTGCAAAGATCAAATAAAATTAATGTAAAAAAACCAACATAATCAATTTTTTTTAATGTTCAAAAGATTTGAACAGACATATCACCAAAGAAGATATACAAATGGTAAATAACACAAGAAAAATGATTTAATAACAATTAGCTATTAAAGAAATGCAAATGAAACCACAATGAGATGCCAATACAAATCTATTAGAATGGCTAAAATTAAGGGAGAAAAATAACAATACCAAGTGCTGATGAGGATGTGGAACAAATGGAAACCTAGTACATTGCTGGTGGGAATGAAAATGGTGCAGCCCCTCTAAGAAAGTCTAGTGGCTTCTTGTATATAGCTCACTATATGGCCCAGTAATCTCACTTCTCTAGGTATTTACATTAGAGAAATGAAAACTTATGCTTACACAAATACCTGTACACGAATGTTTACAGCAGCTTTACTTGTTATAGTCAAAAACTGGAAGCAACTCTAATGTCCTTCAACTGGTGAATGGATATAATAAACCGTGGTATATCTATACACTGGAATACTATTCAGCAATAAAAAGGGAGGAATTATTGATACATGCAACACATGAACCTCAGAGAAATTTTGCTGAGTGAAAAAAGCCAGTGTCAAAAGGTTACATACTATATGGTATCATTTATATGGCACTCTCAAAAAGGCAAAATTATAGAGGTGGAGAAAAGATCAGTGGTTGCCAGGGTAGGGGAGGGTTTGACTACAAAGAGGCAGCATACGGGATTTTTCTGGATGATGCAACTGTTCTGTATTCTGATTGTGATAGTGGTTACATGAATTTATACATGTGTTAAAATTCATAAAGCTGTATGCCAAGAAGAAAGTTAATGAACAGTATGTTAATTTAAAAATTAAAGTAAAATAAAAAGTTATTGTATCTGGGTTTCAATGTTAAAATAAGACTAGACTCTTGGCAATCATGTCTATTACCAAAACTTTTGCAGGCTAAATAACATTAAAAAATAATCAAATGATAATTTTCAGACCTAAACAACATGTTCCTTAAGTATTATAACTGTAATACAACCTATTACACTCATTAAGTTGGAGTGCTTGCAGTGCCAATTTTTTTAAAGGTTTTCTAAAAAATTTATTTATTTATTTATATTTATTTTTGGCTGTGTTGGGTCTTCGTTGCTGTGCGCGGGCTTTCTCTAGTTGCGGTGAGTGGGGGCTACTCTTCATTGCGGTGCGCAGCCTTCTCATGATCGTGGCTTCTCTTGTTGCGGAGCACAGGCTCTAGGTGCACAGGCTTCAGTACTTGTGGCACGTGGGCTCAGTAGTTGTGGCTTGCGGGCTCCAGCTCTAGAGCTCAGGCTCAGTAGTTGTGGTGCATGGCTTAGTTGCTCCGCAGCATGTGGGATCTTCCCGGCCCAGGGCTCGAACCTGTGTCCCTTGCATTGGCAGGCAGATTCTTAACCACTGAGCCACCAGGGAAGCCCTGCAGTGCCAATTTTTTAAAAGGGGTTTTTCTTCATTCTGATTCTGTTCTTTATCAATCCACTTGCCTACCAATACTAGAGCAATAATTAGACAGAGAGGGATGTGTCCCTCTGGTGAAACAAAGAGAAACTCTCATCATTATGAAGTCTAGGCCATGTCTATGAGTGCCGACAAAACCAATAAGGTAACCAATAAGATGACCAATTGGTTTGAACTGATTTCATTTATTCATCTTCCAATGATTTACCAAGCACATACTAAACCTAACCCTGTGAGACATGAAGGTAAAGCAATGCTGAGTCTTACCCTCCAAAGAGTCAGTCCAGGGAAAAAATAGACTAGCTCTTTAAGAATTTTTTGAATAGTTTAACTTTAAAAAACATGGCCCATTGGATTAACTAAGAATCAAGAAATATCATCCATTGGATTAACTAAAAGCCAAGGTTATCACCTACTTTTGCAACTGGAGATGATAAACATGATGTTGGGTCTCTCCAGCCTAACTGGTTTCCTTGTTCCATGGTAAAGTATTAAACGAAGTTGGGAAAAGCACATGGAAAATCTTTAGGGTGGATTTTGATGTCTAGGCAGATAAATCATCAAGGTGATACGTGGCTAAGGCCATGGTCTCTGGAATCAGATAAACCAGGTTCAAATCCTGCCTCCACTCCTTCTTAGATGTAATTTTGGGGGCAAGATACTTAACCTCTCTTTGTCTCAGGCCCCTCATCTGTAAATTGGACATCATAGCAATACTTTTCTCACAAGGCTGGGGGCACTAAATATCAAAGTCCTGAGACTGGTGCCTGGTACACAGTATGTGTTTAATACGCCTTATTTATTTATCAGAGTTCACAGGGAAAATTCCAGATTTAATGTCCCTGAGTCCAGTTAGCTTCTGTCTTCTATGCCCCCAGTTACACTCTAGGCAACCATTTTATTCTTACAAATGCATGCTACTGGCCATAAGGTCAATATGGGAAAATAAGTAAAAGCGTAAATCCTATAGGTAGTGGGTAAACAATTGGTGACTATCAAATACAAAAAGCACATAATATGCGTATTCTCTAAATAGATCTTTCCAAAATGAACACTGCCAATGGAAATATTTTGTGTGTAGGTGCAGAAAAGATAACGCAAGCGGCCAGATTTTCCCCTTACGTTGGTTATGCTCCGATCCATTCTCCCCAACGAAGACGAGGTTACCTCACCAGCAACACCCCCCTGGCCTTGTGATTCAGCAAGAAATCCACCGCAGACAAATGACCTGTCCCCACTGCAAAAGGCAGGGCTGTGCGGTTCATCTGAGGAAACACAATTAGTGTTTTCAGTCATCTGATTGTTATTTAGCCTTCTTAAGATTCCTGGTTCTTTTTTTTTTTTTTTTTGCAGTACGCGGGCCTCTCACTGTTGTGGCCTCTCCCGTTGCGGAGCACAGGCTCCGGACACGCAGGCTCAGCGGCCACGGCTCACGGGCCCAGCCTCTCTGCGGCATGTGGGATCTTCCCAGACTGGGGCACGAACCCGTGTCCCCTGCATTGGCAGGCGAACTCTCAACCACTGCGCCACCAGGGAAGCCCAAGATTCCTGGTTCTTGAACAGTCATAATTTTCTATCAGGTGCTTGTGTTTTGATTATTTATCTACTATTTGCCTAGCCTTTGAAAGTAGTGAGAACTGTATCCAGCATAATCTTGCATTTCTCTACTGTTAGATAATAGAGAATTTAGCAATCAACTGGAGGATATGCCTCAAGGTGAAATCCACTGCGTAACCTATGACTGATTGTATGGATTTCAACTAGAGAGTAAAAGCTGTATTTCTCCGGTATGCAATCATTAATAATGGTAGGACATGTTGATAATACATAACAAAAAATCTTCCTAGAAGTTCAATCCATATATGGTTCTTTCCTCTGTAATTTTTAGACTGTAAATTTTACTGAAGCAAACAAATCAAGAAAGAGACTGAAGGAAGGAAGGAAGGAAGGAAGAGAGAGAGGGAGAGGGAGGTAGGAGGGGAGGGGAGGGGAGGGGAGGGAAGGAGGAAGGAGGGAGGAAGAAAAGACACACAGAGAGAAAGAAAGCTATAAATATCTTTTGCTTCAAAGAAAAGCCAACTTGGTGCTCCCAGGATGTCTAGAGACAGTCTGACATGCTTCAGACAATGGATGTTTTGCTTGTAACTAAAACACATGTCATATTTCCCACATTCTAGATACTGATCTTGCTTCCAAAGAATTTACTATCCTTTGTTTCTCATAAATAATTTATTGCAAAAATTGAGAACTGTTTAATCTGATTTCCTTGGTAGCTAAATCAGTGATAAACTAAATTTGAGTTACCCTTGCTATTTTCTGCAGTCTAGAGCTATGTCCTAGTATGTCAAATTTGGGCTTATAAACTCCCCTTTAACTTTATTCGTGAATAAGGATGCAAATCAAAATACCATCCAAGATAATTCAATAAAACCACTTCCATGTTTTTTCATTTCTGTCATCACAGATTTTAAGGAACTCTACAAGTAACCATGTCAACAGTTTGCTGTAAACAGGACTAAAAGAGATGTCATTAGAAAGCATGATATAATTCATCAGGAGTTTACAATAACTTGCTACACTGACTGTAAGTTTAAGTGTACTATCTCTCTAAGTACTTTAATATAAAAATATGGTTTAAAATATCAGAAAGTTATATGGAAAAAATTTTCAAATGGTTATAAAAGTACACTGGAGAATCTATTTCCTGCTGCTTGGAAAAATGATTATTGCTTTACTTATTCAACAATTAATCTAGATATTACCTTAAAAGATCCTTGCTTATTTTTTTAATTTTTGCTCCCTTCCTTTCTTGATTCCCTTCCTTTTTTTTTTTTGTTCCTAAAATTGTTATGCTGTAAAAATTTGCTATTTTTCTACTCTCTCTAGGATGTCTGTGGACAATGAATATGGTATACACAGGTAACACATCAGACATACACATGTACACATACACAATATACACAGACACATAAACTCCCACATACACATAAACACAGATCCCCTCACACACACACATGCACAACTGTTAAACACCCTTCCACTGCACATGATGCATGACCTCAGTTTCTATGACCTCATTGCCTGGGATAGATCCAGGTTTTGTGGAACGTCAAGTTTACACTCTTTGGGAGCCCTCTTTAAAGCCAGAGTCAGAAAGCTTAACGGATTACAGTTAAAATTTCTTACTTTTTCAGATTTTACAAAATCATATAACAATGGAACACACTGCTAGAGTCCTCCCAGTGCCTTGGAAGGAGTCTGTGCAAGCAGGTGTCTTAAAGTTTATGCTTCATTTGCATTACATCCACCTCTGCCATCCCCACAAATTGTCCTAAACAATTGACACAGCCCCCAGTCTGTTCACTTTGATAAACCCTGCCTGGTGGGGCTGTCAGGAAATCCCCACAGAAGCAAGCAGTAGGAAATCCATGTCTGTCAGTGGGACCTCTCCCCTAAACCCAGGCACTTGAAGAACAAGTGAGAGCCAGGTTTCAGAAGAGGCCTCACTGCCCAACATGCAGATGAACTATATTTCAGAAGCAATAAAATGCAAACCCATACTCTCCATTGGATTTTAAATTTGGAAGGCCCCAACCATAAAGGACATTACTGGCGAGAAAACAATGATGAACCGTGTAGCAAAAGATGTTCTGCCTTTCCAGAATGTTTGAGGCCAAAGTGCTCCACAGGCTATGATCCAGGACCAAGTCCAGGCCCATAACCTTGACAGTTGGCTTCACTGTCCACCCACAGACTTAGTACAGCTGCACATAAAGACCCTGGACGCTTCCCCTTGGAATAGATCAGTTAAAACACCCAGAGCCTCTTCCACTGCTTGATTCCACCTTTAGCTTAAACATTATGGAATTGCCAGCAACAGAGCTCTCCCTCATCTCATTTAGCAGAATCACTTTTATTTTTATTTCAGTTGGACTGTGTAAACCCACACCACTGTCACTTGTCACATCTGTGATTTCTACTCACATTGTTCACAGCATTCATGTTAACCTTCTTTTCAAACAGCTTCTCCATAAGCTCCAAATTATTGCTTTTAGCAGCATTCTGGAAGCTTCTCTCATTTGGCAGCACTAAAAGCAAGCAAGCAGGCAAGCATGACAGGGAATTTAAGAGGGCTGAAGAGAAAGCAAACCTCGTGTGGCAAACCTTGGAACTAAAAACTTGAAACAGCAGCCTTGAGCCTTTTGCATTCTGCTATTCTGGACGTGGGAACTTTGCTTCAGTATTTCATAAAGCTGTATTATCAAGATTCCATGTTCTCCTCATGCTGCAAGTGTTTTCACAGCCTTAAAAATCTTCCTGGTCCCAAGCAAAACATTATTCCAAAGGACCAACCTGAAGTCAGCAATGCAGTATCTAGCTCTAGGAGGTCAAAGGGTGGCCATTGACTTCTCAGGGGGTGTTGTTTATAAGACGTTTGTACAAGATTACTCAGGGAGGAGCCCAAATACTCCATGCAAGCTTATAGAGATAAAACTGTTGTCTGCAGAACCCTCTGCAGATGCCAGACCTGCAGAAACAGAACCTTAAAATGCAGCACATCATATAAATATACATGAACGAAGGCTAAAAGGGATGAACCTGTTTTATTCTCATTTATATGAAAGGAGATAAAAGTGGATTCACACTTTTAACTATAAACATTAACATTACTATACACTATGAACGTTATATGTCACACACAAATACATATTCAGATGGCAGGTTTTATTAAATAGCCTAGAGGAGATTCCAGGATTTACTGAGTTGTTTGTTTGTTTGTTTGTTGTTGGTTTGTTGTTGTTCTTTTGTAATGTAAAGGAGCTGGAAAGCTCTCAGAGGACAATCACAACATTGAGGAATAAACTCAGAGTTGGGATGATGTGAAATCAGCAATTGACCATCTCCAAAAAGAAAGGACCTAAGAGAGGTTTTATAGATTTTTTTCTTTTTTTGGCTGCATTGGGTCTTTGTTACTGCGTGCAGGCTTTTCTCTAGTTGTGGCGAGAGGGGGCTACTCTTCGTTGCAGTGTGTGGGCTTCTCATTGCGTTGTCTTCTCTTGTTGCAGAGCACGGGCTCTAGGCATGCAGGCTTCAGCAGTTGTGGCTTGCTGGCTCAGTAGCTGTGGCTTGCTGGCTCTAGAGTGTAGGCTCAGTAGCTGTGGTGCACGGGCTTAGTTGCTCCGCAGCATGTGGGATCTTCCCGGACCAGGGCTCGAACCCGTGTACCCTGCATTGGCAGGCGGATTCTTAACCACTGTGCCACCACGGAAGTCCCTATAGATGTGTTGTTGAGTAGTTTCCCTAGCATCTGCCAAGGACTTTTCAGCATGCTTCCAAGTCCAGTCAAAGACCAGGGAGTAGCTTCCTGGGAGACATACACATTCATTCTATCGCTTGGCTCTTCCCATTGGGTTGGCCAAAAAGTTCATTTGGGTTTTTCCATGCCATCGTATGGAAAAATCCAAACGAACTTTTTGGCCAGCCCAATACTGCTACTCTTGCTACCACTCTAAGTAACTTCAACATCCAGGCAGATGATTAATCCAACACCTTGGTCTCTCAGTTCCCTAGCCCCCTCACCTCCAATAATCTTTTCCTCCACCTGACCTCAGCCACCTAATTTCAGAGTCATACTCTTGACATGACTATCATCACTACATCATAATGAGACAGGAAGGGGGCAGGGCACAATCTCTAAAAGAATGACATAGCCTGAGGACAAGACATAAACTGATTAGAACCAAATAGGTCCAAGATGGCAGATGAGTTGACTTCCACTAGACCTTGAGCCTCAGTATATGCTCAGCTCATCGTAACACATCAGCACCGCTAAATGAGACACCCACAGGTGCCTTGACAGTTCCAAGGCCGACCATAAAGGTCAAAAAGTGGGTGGTGGCCCAATTCCTGGAAATCCCCACCCCTTCCCCAAAATAGCTGGAATACTCCTCCCACTCATTAGCCTACGAAATTACCCATCCCTATAAAAAACGGACAAGCCCATACCCTGGTGCCTCTTCCAAGATGCCCCACACTCTGTCTATGGAGTGTGCATCTCCCTGAATAAACCTTCTTTCACTTTACTATGGCTCGCTCTTGAATTCTTTCCTGCGCAAAGCCAAGAACCCACACTTGGCAGCCGTCCCAGGGACTCGGAGGTGACCTGGGATGTGAACATCCTCCCGCGCCCTACTCTCCTTCCTGCAACAATAACTACACTACCTCTGACATCTTCAAGAGTCCCATTCTCTGACCATGGACTCATCCATTCAGCTCACCTGCTCTAGTTTTCCCAGTCCAGAAATTCTGCGACCTCATCAAGTCCTCCATTCCACTCTTCTCACCGTCTTTTTATATTATCCATCCCTTAGGCCCTTACTTCCCTCCTCATCCAGTTTAGATCCTATGGTTCATCTTTAAACCACTTCCGTGCAAACACATTTACCTCCCTCACCACTCGCTTCCTTCATCTGACTAGTTGGCAGAATCCAAATTCTGAGATTAAACCCAACTGCTATCTGCTCCATTTCTATACCTGGACAGCTAAAAGTCAACCAATCTACCTACCTTCATTTATACCCACACTCTCTGTTTTTATTACTGTTACAATCAATGAAGCATCCCTGTGCCTTCCCAAGGCCAACCTCTCCACTTGGGATCTAGATCCCATCCCTTCTCATCTTTTCAATTATTTCATCTATCTCCTGGAAATTATCCTCTTTCTCCTCTGCATCATTTAATGTCTCTCCAGTGGACTGTTCCCTTCAACATATACAGATGTGCTATAATACCTCTCGTGTAAAAAAAAAAAAAAAAATCCCTTAACTTCACATTCCTTTCCAACTGCCATTCCACTTCTCAATTTCCCATTACCCTCAAACTTCTTAGAAGTGTTCTATAATGATGTTCTATAATGATGTCTCCATGTACTCATCTCACCATCTCATCTCAACCTATGCTAATCAGACATCATGCCTATTGCTCCACCCAAACTGCTCTTATCAGGGTCACTCCATCTTGCTAAAATCCAGTCATCACTTCTCTGTCATGTGCACTGAACTCCCGGCAGATCTGACACAGAGGACCACATTCTCCTTCTAACACGTTTTCCTCCAGGCTTCTGTTAGACCACTTGTTGCTTTCCAGTCTCTTTCACTGGTTCTTCCTCCTCTGCTCGATCTCCAAATGTTGGAGCACCCTAGGGTTTTTATAAAACTAACAACCTGATGGAACAGAATTACCCCCATATTACAGATGAGGAAACTGAGGCTTAGAAAAGTTAAACCACCTGCTCATGCCTTAAAGATAATAAATGATAGAATTGTCCTAGGCAGCCTGAATTCAAAGCCCAAGCTTCCAGTCACTGCATGTGTCCAGGGTGTCAGTATAGGAGTGTACTGCTGAAGTAGAGGGCCAAACTGCCCACTGGCCACATGCTTTAGCTAACACATTCCGCTGGTTAGGCCGGACTCCTCTCAGCTCCTTCTCCTGGTTCGTACACAGCCTGGCCACAGCTCCTTGCCCCAGTGTATTAATCCAATGGGAGGGGGGGGGTTCTATTTCCAGGTCCTTATCCCTCTTTGGTATATCCCTGAAATAGCAAGTCAAGACCTTACTGTGCCCGGAAATATGACACATGGATTCTAGTCTGTCCCTGAAGTTGAGTATCCTGCCCCTTTTCTACCATATCGATAAGGAAAATTAAGGGACTTCCCTGGTGGTCCAGTGGTTAAGAAACCGCCTTCCAATGCAGGGGATGCGGGTTCAATCCCTGGTTGGGGACCTAAGATCCCACACGCTGTGCCGCAACTACCGAGCCCACGCACTCTGGAGCTTGCGTGCCATAACTAGAGAGATGCCCACGTGCCACAACTAGAGAGAAGCCTGTACGCCACAACTAAGACCCAACGCAGCCATAAATAAATAAATAATTAAATATTTTTAAAAATTTAATTTTAAGGAAGTTTCTAAGACAATTAAAAAGCACCATAGGGCTTCCCTGGTGACGCAGTGGTTGAGAGTCCGCCTGCCGATGCAGGGGACACGGGTTCGTGCCCTGGTCCGGGAAGATCCCACGTGCCGTGGAGCAGCTGGGCCCGTGAGCCATGGCCGCTGAGCCTGCGTGTCCGGAGCCTGTGCTCTGCAACGGGAGAGGCCAACAGTGAGAGGCCCGCGTACAGCAAAAACAAACAAACAAACAAACAAAAACACCATAAAAAACTCCTGGTCCAAGCCAATTACATCAGAATATCTAGGGGCTTAAAATGTTCATTGACTGGCCCACGGCTTACTAATTGTGTAACCCTGTAACAATTCTGAATTTTAATATCCCAACCTGTAAAACAGATTATAAAACCTTCCTTCAGTGGTGTGAAGGAGCCAGCTTGTACAGGCTAATAAGAACCAACTGTGTGTAACTCTCCTCAACTCTGTGTTCAGTGACATCACATTGTAGCTTGAAATCAGTCACAGTGGAAGCATTACACAAAGGAAATTGGAAAACACTACAAATCAGAACTTTTTCTCCCAGAGAGTTGGTAGTTAGACCCTTACCAACACACCACCATCTACCTTCTGGGTAATAAGTGACAGAGTCGAGAAAATGGCCCAGACAAAATCATAAACATATCAATTTACTAAGTAATATTTAGAAGAGTACTTTAATATATATGCGTTAAAAATGTAATGGATAAAATCAAGTAAAGGTTAAATGTTCAGTCAAAAACAACAGGTTAGGGCTTCCCTGGTGGCGCAGTGGTTGAGAATCTGCCTGCGGTGCAAGGGACATGGGTTCGAGCCCTGGTCTGGGAGGATCCCATATGCTGCGGAGCAACTGGGCCCGTGAGCCCCAACTGCTGAGCCTGCACATCTGCAGCCTGTGCTCCGCAACAAGAGAGGCCGTGACAGTGAGAGGCCCATGCGCCGCGATGAAGAGTGGCCCCCGCTCGCCGCAACTAGAGAAAGCCCTTGCACAGAAACGAAGACCCAACACAGCCAAAATTAATTAAATAAATTTAAAAAAAAAGATGTAGCAGGGTACTGGTAGCGGTAAAGATCTAGGTTAGTGTAGGAGACATACTTTAAAAAAAAAAAAAACTTTACACAGAGCTGTATCATTCACTTAAACTTTTAGGGGTACAACACTCCATGCCTTCAGTAGCAGAGCAAGTTTGAGGAAAGGGGGTCAGAACAGGAGGCGGCCATGCTGAGCTAGAAAAACAAGTCCAGACTTCCTCTTTCATGTCATTCAGGTGGTACCTCAAATGCTACCACCTCTGAAAAACCACGCCTGACCACCCAATCCTCTTTCCCCTGTCATTCTCTACCCCTATGCCCTACTCCTTTCTTTCTTCACATCATTTGATATTATTTGACATTTAATACATATATACTTGTTCACTGTCTGCTTCCTTCACCTGAATACACATCCATGGGGAAGCTGAAGTAATCCCAGTGCCTAGTGCTAGTAGATGTTCAATAAATATTTGTTCAATGGTTGGATGGAAGGGTTGGGTAACCACAATCACTTCCAGAAGAATACTGCCAGGAGGGAATATAGGCTCAGTACTATGAGAACTTCCAATTTTTGGGAAAAAAAAAAAATCTGGACCATGGATCAAAGAGGAAATCTCAAGAGAAATTAGAAAATATTTTGAACTGAATGAAAATAAAAATAAAATATATCAAAATGTGTGGGATGCAGCTAAAGCTTATAGGATTAAATTATCAGAAAAGAAGAAAGGCTTCAAGTCAATAATCTAAGCTCCTACCTTGAGAAAGTAAAAAAATGAAGAGCAAAATAAACCTAAATCAAGCAGACAGAAGAAAAACAACAAAGGTAAAAGCAGTAATCAATGAAACTGAAAACAGAAAAACAATAGAGAAAAATCAATAAAACAAAAGCTGGTTCTTTGAAGACGTCAATAAAATCAATAAACCTCTAGCAAGACTAAGAAAAAAGAGGGAAGACACATGTTACCAATGTAAGGAATGAAAGAGAGCAGAGCACTACAGTCTCCACAGACATTAAAAGATGAAAAAGAGAATACTATGAACAACTCCATGCACATAAATTCAACAACTTAGATGAAATGAAACAACTCCTCAAAAACCACAAACTACCAATATTCGCTCAAGATTACACAGATAACTGGAATAATCCCATAACTATTAAAGAAATGGGCTTTGTAGTTTTAAAAATTCCAAAATAGAAATCCCCATACCCAGATAGTTTCACTGGTGAATTCTACCAAATATTTAAAGGATAACATCAAGTCTATACCATCTCTTCCAGAAAACAGAAGAGGAGGAAACACTTCCCAACACATCTTACGAGATCAGCATTTCCTTGATTCTAAAATCAAAGACATTACAAGAACAGAAAACTATAAACAAATATCCCTCAACAACATAGATTCAAAACTCCTCAAACATTATCAAGTCAAATCCAGTCATATATAAAAAGTATAATACACCATAACCATGTGGAGTTTATCCTGACAATGCAAAACTGGTTCCATATTTGAAAATCAATCAATGTAATCTACTATATTAGTGGTCTAAAAAAGAAAAACTACATGATCATTTAAATTGATTTAGAAGAAGCATTTAAAAAAATTCAACATCGGGCTTCCTGCATGGCACACTGGTTAAGAACCTGCCTGCCAACGCAGGGGACAAGGGTTCGAGCCCTGGTCCGGGAAGATCCCACATGCTGCGGAGCAACTAAGCGCGTGCGCCACAGCTGCTGAGCCTGCGCTCTAGAGCCCGTGACCCACAACTACTGAAGCCCGCGCGCCTAGAGCCCGCAACAAGAGAAGCCACCGCAATGAGAAGCCCGCATTCACCGCAACAAAGAGTAGCCCCCGCTCTCCGCAACTAGAGAAAGCCCGCGTGCAGCAACAAAGACCCAACGCAGCCAAAAATAAATAAATTTATAAGGGCTTCCCTGGTGGCGCAGTGGTTGAGAGTCCACCTGCCAATGCAGGGTACACGGGTTCGTGCCCCAGTCTGGGAAGATCCCACGTGCCGCGCAGCGGCTGGGCCCGTCGTGAGCCATGGCCGCTAAGCCTGTGCGTCCGGAGCCTGTGCTCCGCAACGGGCGAGGCCACAACAGTGAGAGGCCCGCGTACCGCAACAAAACAAAACAAACAAAAAACCCTCTTTCCTTATTTGTAAAAGGGCTTAAACATTTCTTGAAAAATTCTTTTCCTTAATTTGAAAGGGTAACACTTTCCTTCCACCCACAGCGCAGGGTTAACCGGAAAAAAACGTCCTGAGAAATGTGAGCCAAAACTTCGGTGGGGGTGGATCCCAAAGCTGAAAACTAGCCCTCAGAGGGCACAGGGATGAGGATGCGCTCGGGTCCCTTCCCGCCGCGGCCTGAGCGCTGCACCCACACTGCTCAACCAGCTCCCCGCGCCCGCGCGGCGCCGCCAGCGCCGGCGTCTTCAGGCCTTGTTCCCAGACTCACGGAACTCGTGCTCGGCCGCCGCCTCCTCGCGCCGCGGACGCTCTTGCTTTGGGATCCGCGCCAGGCCTCTCCAGGGCCGGGCCGCCGCGCCCCTCAGGTCCTCCCGCAACCCCTTGGCGGCCGCAGCCTAGCCGAGCAGCAGCCCCCTTGCCGCTTCCCTGCGCCCCGGGGCGCGCCGACCCGACTCCATGTACGACCCCGAAGCCCTCAGGCCCCCAAGGCCGCTCACCCCCGGGGCCTCTCACCCCCGGGGCCGCTCTCGGCTGCGGGCGCTTCTAATGGCGGCTCGCCCCGGGTCTCCAGCCCTGGCCGGGCGGAGCTGCCTTCAGGTGTGGCGTGATTTGGCTGGGTTCACGCGAGGCAAAACGTTCTGAGAAAACTACCGGTCCACACTTAGGCCGTTCTTCGTACAGTTAGGAGAAGTGTCGAGGTTTGCTTGATAACCAACACTATCGGAACTTAAGTATTGAATCATTTTTAAATGGGCTTCCAGAATTTTCTCTAGAATAAAGTAAGACTCAGTAGCCTCTCTGAAGATGGAAAACCTTGGTACCCCATTTTAATGCAGTGGTAACCTACTGGACTCCCCATCTTGGGTTTTATTTCTTTCTTAGTGGTTTATAAAATAAAGAATTGATGAAATATAGTAAATTATTCTGGGCAATCGTGTGCCTAGCTAAAATTCTAATAATATGGAAGAAAAGTAGAATATTGAAGGACAACCAGGCTATCTCCATTGAATCCCTAGTACATAAGCACTGTTTGATGGATTACAAACAAATAAAACCATGGCACATCTCATGCCTGTGGATGGGTTCAGAAGTTAAATTAGAAGTTGAGCATATTCTAGGAGTGAAAAAAAAATTGAGTCCTAATAAAATAGAACTCGATCTGACCCCAGAACTGACCCACCTTTGTGGTACACACAGATGGATATGAGTGATGTTAGGAAAGCATTGTCTATAAAAATGCACAAAATGGTTTAGAGAAGGGAAGGAAACTGATGAAAGCTGAGAAATAAGTTGGAAGGCCAGAGATTAGGCAACTGTTGGGGATTTGACAAAAGGAATACAAAGAAGTGGGTGTTTTCAACAGGCCCTACAAGGGTAGACAGAATTCAGTAACAGATATGGGTTCAGGTGAGGTTGTGTGTATGTGTGTGTAGTATGTATACACACACACATATATATGGTGTATGCACATCTATGCATATGTATATGTAGGTATATATGGGTTTGAAATCATAACAAACTTAAGAGACCGCGATTACAAGGAAGTGTGAAAACTATTTGCCTCTGAATTATCTTCTGTCTCCCTGAGCCTTTTGTAGACAGCAATAATTAGAAAATAAATTACCTCACACTTGTAAGGGGAGCAGTCCAATATACGATTTAATAAATGGAATCATGTTTTCAATACCATAATATCATTTGAGTTTTTCTTAAACAACTCTTAATCCAATTATGTATTACAAAGTAAAAGTGATTATCCCTTAATGATTCAACAAAAAAACAGCTTTTGCTTCAGGGGTATAAACACCACCTCTCTGTGATGTTCACTAGAGCCCTACCAGCACCAGGTATGCTCAAATGTATTACTGCTTTTCAAAATGGGACATTACTGGGACTTCCCTGGTGGTCCAGTGGTTAAGACTCCACCCTTCCACTGCAGGGGGCACAGGTTCAATCGCTGGTTGGGGAACTAAGATGTCACGTCCCACAAGGCATGGCCAAAAAACAAAGGGGAAGATTACTTATAAAAAAAAAAAAAAAAAGCAGACAGCAGGCACCAGGTGTGATTTTCAAAATGGAATATTTCCTCAAAAATCATTTTTTTTTTAGCCCTGGTTAATAGTCATATTTGGAGCCTTTTTCCAAATATTTCCAAGCTACCCCAAAAGAACACAGTAATAAAACATTTATAAAGCAAGCAATTACCCAATAAAGGGAACAATCAGTACAATTCTCTCTTTCCAGAATGCCCATCCTTAGGGCCCAGCTTGAGTGCAGCCATCTACGTCGGCCACCCTGTCTTTACAGAAAAAATTAGTATGACAGTAATAGACACCAGTCTTTGGGCAAACATTATTTATTCATTTATGGGTCAACAAATGATAGTTAACACCTACTGAGTGCCAGGCTTTACACTTCACACTTATAATTCAGAGATCATTGAAAGACAGTCCAGCATCTCTAGCAGCCTACAACCTAGAAGGGAGAGACCGCAGCAAAGCCACAACAAACAATGTTTCAGTGTCTTCATAGAGAAACAGGAGCACAAAGGAGTGACTAATCAGTTTTCCTACGGGACAGAGAGCCTTTCTTGAAGGTGGTCCTTGGGATGAGTTGAAAGGTGAATAGCTGTGTATGGTTACTGTGTATGGAGAGGGCAAAGGGGCATTCAGGAAGCACATTCTGGGCAGAGGGAGCAACTGAGCACGACACCAGAAGGGAGAAATAGCTTGGTTAATTCAGGAAACTGCAAGCTATGCAGTGTGACTTGACCGGGCTCGAATGCCAAGCCAGTATTTGGTGGGCACTATGAACACTGATTTTGGGGAACTCGCTTGTGCTGGCACCCAAGAGCCAACTGTTAAATTTTCAGGAACTTTGTGAACTGGTTGACATCGTGTCAATAGCTTGAAATCTGTCATGGTATTTGCACCATAGAAATCATCATACACTGAAAATCAGTCCCCATCTCAGCTCCCACTGATCCTGGACAGAGTTGAGAGCTTTGAAATCTTTTTTTGTTTTGTTTCTAATACAAGTGACGTTATGAAAACATTATGGGTAATGTGCAAAAAATGCACAAAATGGTTTAGAGCAGGAGAAGCTGAGAAATCAGTTGGAAGGTCAGAGTTTAGGCACTATTTATTTATTTATTTGCGGTACGAGGGCCTCTCACTGCTGTGGCCTCTCCCCTTGCGGAGCAACAGGCTCCGGACGCGCAGGCTCAGCGGGCATGGCTCACGGGCCCAGCCGCTCTGCGGCATGTGGGATCTTCCCGGACCGGGGCACGAACCCGTGTCCCCTGCATCGGCAGGCGGACTCTCAACCACTGCGCCACCAGGGAAGCCCTAGGCACTATTTATTAAATAGTAAATACTTTTTGTACTGAGCTGTCTAAAATGTCCATACCCAAGCCTATACTGCTCTATTAGTGTACGGTATTAATTACTACAGCTTTATAATAAATCTTGCTATGTAATAGGGCCTGTCCTTCTACCTTATTTTTCTTGGGCCTTTGCTCTTCCATATAAAATTTACGATCTACTTAACAACTTCCAAGAAAAACCATGAGAAGTTTTGTTTTGAATTTTATTGAACTTATAGAATAATTAGGGGAGAAGAGTTATCTTTAAGATAGTTATTCTTCTATTCATAAATAGGATTATTCTTTTAATTTACTCAGACTGCTTCTCTTTCAATAATATTTTGTAGTTCCTGAGTACTTGCACTTATTTTTTTTATTTTTATTTTTTTTGCGGTATGCGGGCCTCTCACTGTTGTGGCCTCTCCTGTTGCGGAGCACAGGCTCCGGACACGCAGGCTCAGCAGACATAGCTCACGGGCCCAGCCTCTTCGCGGCACGTGGGATCTTCCCGGACCGGGGCACGAACCCACGTCCCCTGCATCGGCAGGCGGACTGTCAACCACTGCACCACCAGGGAAGCCCCTTGCACCTATTTTGATAGATACCCGCCCCGCCCCCCACAACCCGCTGCCCCTTTAGGTCCCTTATAGATTATTGTCATGAAAGAGATTTTTATATTTTCTAATTGGTTATTACTGTTGTACAGGAATGCTACTGATTTTGTACATTGATTTTGTAGCCATAACCTTATTGAACTTTTTAATTAAATGTAGATTTTTCTTTTTTTTTTTTGGCTGCGCTGCACAGCATGTGGGATCTTCCCTGACCAGGGATTGAACCTGTGCTCCCTGCAGTGGGAGCACGACTCTTAACCACTGAACCACCAGGGAAGTCCTAAATGTAGATTTTAAAAAATGTAGACAAACACATCATCTGATAATAAAGTTGTATAGTTATTTTTTAATAGGTGAGGCACAATTTACTAACAGAACCTGATTTTTGTTTGGGTGTAGCAACGTAGCCAGCTAAAAACTACATTTCCAGGTTCCCTTTAATATGGGGAAGCCACATGACACTGTTTGGTCAATGAGATGGAAGTGGAAATTGTTATGTGGGTCTTCCAAGAAAGCTCTTTAAAATGGGACAGACTTGCCCTTTTGTCCTTTTTACTTCCTCATCTTCCTACCTGGAACTCATGTGTAAGGCTGGATATAGAAAAGTCCATCCATCTTGCGGCCAGAAGTTGGCCATGTGAGGCCAAGAAAATCAGACTGTGAACCCATCTTTGAACTATCGAGCCAAAGTTAACCAATGAAATTTGTGTTTTGTGGGAACACTAGAACTGATTTTTTTTTTTTTTAAGACACTGATTGGGTCTCTGTAATTCACAGCTGAAGTAAAATTCTGAAGTGATACAGAAAGCAGTGATACAGAAAGCAGTGCTGAAAATAACAAAATCTAATATACAGAATTGGCTTCGTGTTTGAGGGAGGGGCTTTGAGGAGTGGCGATATATATCACAGGTTGGGAAGCTGGTGACTTGTTTGGAGATGATAAAATATTTGGTCAAATTGTCAACTTTGGCAATTTGACTTTGGAGAGCAGACCAAATGCTGATTGAGGCTGTAGCATTAGGGGAAACATTAGGAGAAAAACTCAAAATGTTGTCATGGGATGACTCTTTCTTGCTGTGTTCATCAGCAAAGTCCTAGCAGAGAGAAATGTACTTTTTCTCTGTTGAAGCTAGTAGCCTGCAGAGATGAAGGAGAACATCACCTTACTAAGGAAAGCGGTTCCTGCCATTTTTTTTGTGTTACTTTTTATTGTGATATAGGTCACATATGAACAAGAATCTATAAGATACATACATACAGTTTACATAATATTTTTAAAATAAACATCCATGCAGTCACCACCCAAGACAACAGAAGACTGTCAGCATCCCAACAGCTCCCTGTGCCATTTCTCAATCACATTCCCTTTCCTCCCCACAGAGGAAGTCATTATTCTAACTTTGGGGACAATAATATACTTGCTTCTCTTAATAATTTGATCTCATATGAATACATCCTTAAAGCAATATACACTGTTTTGAACTATATAAGTGGAATCATGCCGATGGCATCCTTCTATGATTTGCTTCTTTTGCTCCACATTATGTTTGTGATATTCATCCACCTTCTGATTAGCTATTTCCTTCATTTTCACCACTGTGTAGAATTCTACTGTTTGAATCTACATGAATATACAATGGTAGAATCTAACCATTCTACCAGTGCTGAATATTTGATTTCCACTTTTTGGCTATTACAGTGCTGCTATGTGCATTCTTGCACATGCTTTCTAAAAAACATGTTCACTAGTTTTCCCAAGACATTGTATCAGTTATGGCTCTGGCAGGAAAAAAATTGTATTTTGAGATGACTTTTAAGAAAGGGACCATTTACAAAGGTGTGGGCAGGGTGTGGGGAAACCACAAAAGATAGGGCGGCACCTCAGGGCTAGTAAGGGCAAGGCTCTGTTGCCACCCCTAGGATGAGGGGGTGAGGGCAAGGAAAGGATTATCAGAACCTGGAGAGAGAGCAGAAAATGACATATGAAGAAGTTGTGACCTTTCGTCAAGGGACTTAGCCAGCTTGACATGATTCTTCAAAAAGTTATATGAGGGAATAAATAAACAACTTCATCTTCTTTCCTCCCTGAAACCTTCTGCAGTGGCTGCCCGCTGCCATGATGCCTCACTGAACTTAAAGCAGGGTGGAGGTCACAGAGTAAAATCAGGAGGGCAAATGGAAGATAACCAGCAAAGGCGTATATTTAGGAGTGCAGTTGCTGGGGTGTTGAGTGTGCACATCTTCAGAGTTACTGAAGAAGGACAAACCGTTTTCCAAAGAGATTGTTTTCAAATAAGAGTTCATATTGCTCCATATCATCACCAAAACTTAATATCATTGGATCCTTTCATTTTGTGAATCTGGGAAAGGTATTACAATAACTCTTTGTGGTTTTTTCTTTTTCATTTCCCTATTACTAAAATGGCTGAGGATGTTTTCACGTTTCTTGGCCATTTGGATTTCTTTCTATGTAAAGTGCCATCTAAAGACTTGTCCAAATTTCTACTGGCTGTCTGTCTTTTCCTTAATGATTCATAGGAATCATTTATATATTCTGGATTATATATATACTGGATACTAGTATTTTGCCAATTATATGTGTTGCAAATATGTTCTCCCAGGTGGTTCCCTATATTCTGACTCTCTAAATAGGTAAGATTATAGGTGCTTATTCTTTGTGGTTTTGTTGTATTTTCTTTTAATGCCCCCAAACAAAATTATAATAAAAAGAAAATGAGTTGGATTATTAGACAAAACAGAAAAGGATGTGGAGAAAATTCTGGGCAAAGAAAATAAGAGTGAAAGCAACAGAGGTGGGAAAAGAGTGGAAAAGTAAGGAAACCATTTCTACTGGCTAAAGATTAAACATTTAAAATTCCATTTTAAATTTTTATTAAATATTACTAAATGATAACATTCAATTAAATGAATCATCTAAGTGAAAATAATTTAGTATTCACTCTAATGTTGAAAACACAATAAAAATGAACTTGAAACAAAATAGAATAGAAAAGAACAAATATGGTTCTATCTACTTTTCAATACATTAAATCAGTGCTTCATTGAACTTAATTTTGTAGAGAATTAATGTAAGTAAATCACACAATCAAGAAGCGTAGCTCTACAACTAGGTATTAAGCATAGCGTATAATAATATTAGGCATGAAATTGGTATGTTAATAAACATTAAGCCTAATTTTAATCCATCTAGTAATTTAAAGTCAAATTACCACTTTGGCCAAAGGTTGTGCGAGATCCTAATTTACGCTACTCCTAAAACATTGTCTTTATACATTTAGGTAACGAGCTATAAAATATGAAAAGAAACAAAAATATGAGAACAAAAGATTCAGTTCCTTAAAGCAGTAATAGAAAATGGGTTCCATCTTCATGTTTCAATTAAATAATTGTTTTTTTGATAAAAACTCCTCTATTGATAGCACAAAAATATTTGGAACAACTACTTAAGCTAACTACTGTTAAGCTGTCTTCTTTCGCGAATATCAATGAAAACATGATAGAAATATAACTAAGATAAATGAGGTGTTTTAACACACATTAATCTTTTGAATTGCACATTCTTCTCCAGAAGGTCATAATAAAAATGAAGTGAGTGTACAATTTATCCTTTTTTACAGATTTGTGTAAAGTACAAATATAACTGCCAAGAAATGAAATATTGCTATTTAAAAGTCTTAGATAAGAAAATAATTACCTTGAATCTTAGACTAAATATTTTTTTAAAGTGAACCAAGTGCTTATTCATTAAAGAAATTTTAAATTTAAAAAAATCAAATGAATAATCATATTTTAAACAAAAATTCTTTTAACACAGCAAATAATACTGTGACATTATTTTCCTGAAGGTAACAAAACCACTCATGCTGGTTCTGCTAAGCTAATACTCTTCATAGAACTTAAGATAAGTATTAATTATGAATGTTCATGAGGTATCTGAAGATACTAGGAGCTAAAATATAATTATACAAAGTTGTAGAAGATACTAAGATCAAACATAGCAGTCCAGTGCCAACAAAGTGGTTAAGTGCTGAAAAATTCTTATGCTAAAGCAGGTTTATCTGAACTTCTGAGAGCCCTTATAAATGTAAGTTTTTATATTCACTATAAAACATAATAAAGAAGGAAATCACTTCCTGATCCCATTCCTAACTTCTCATTTTAAAATTGTCTCTAACAGAACTGATTTCCAATTGAAGTATAATGGAAGTGGAATTCTCATTGTTATCAAAAATATATACAGAAGTAAATTAGTATATATTCCAAATTCATATAAAGGAAATGTCATTTGGGGAGGGCTTATTGCACTTGCCTTTCACTCAATGAATCTGTAAGCCTGGAATGAGGAAGAATACGTTCATTGATTATAAAATAACAAGTTTCAATCAAAAATTAATGATAAAATGTTCAAAGTTCATTTAAAAAATATATCAAGGGTGTGTCTGGGACTGTTTGGTTTTGTTTTCTTTGATGCCGAGTACTTTGTCGTCAGTCCTGGCCTGGAATAAAAAAGAACATGCAATTAAAATGCATGAAGAACTACAAAACAAAAAAACATAAAATAATAAAATGCATGAAGAGATTTAAAAAATTGTTTATGCAAATAATTGATTTTAAAACTTTTACTTAATGATTTCTAAAAGCAAATTTTAACATTTCTTAAAAATCAGACCTCAAAATATAACAATTTTATAGCCAGCTTTATTAAAACTCAAATTAGCCATACCTGTTTGCTTTTGTTCCAATCTTCTGTACTTTGCCTGAGTTATCTTTAGAGGGAAGAAATTCCACAATGAATAACATGAAATAATTAAAAAGCTTTCGAAAAATTTGAAGAGTTAAGGTTGACTGATTAAAGATAATAAAAACCTCCTTAGTACTACATTGTTCGAATTTATATATACCAGAAACTAATGTATAGCATAATTTCTTTGTAATTTACTTGTTTCATTAGTATTACAGCTGATTTTGAAGTTGGGTTAGAGTTGGAACTACCAGAAAACAAGTTAAAGAGGCTTTTTGGCTATATAATTAAAGTTAAGTTACCACTGTGCCTTGGCAAGTGTTCTCTGAAGGAATTTCTGTTTTGATTAGATCACTCAGCTCCCTAAACCATTGAGTTCATTCTGTGCTAAATCAAGCCCAAACCAGAGGTTTCCCAAAATTTTAAATCTAATGTCTTCAGTTAATTCTAACCCACCGTTAAGGTAACATTTTCCTAAATGGCAGCGTACATGAACTATGTAAACTGTAAACTGTAAACTCACCAGTACTTGTGGTGCTTTCTTTGGGTTGGTTAACTGGATTAACCTTATCTCTTCTCAGTTCCTGGATAATGCCTTTATTTAAGCAAACATCTACATGCACATTGAATAGGGTAAGATCTGAAGTCTTTTGTTCTAGGTTACAAACAGGACAAACGAGGACTTGGTCACTGATCACTTCATATAAATAAGGTTGTAGGGGCTCGTTCCTTCCTAATGACGCAACATCTTCATTTTCCAGTGAAACAGCGCAACAATTCTGAGGATAGTGTTCTATATTAAACGATTTGCTTGGAAGACTAGAACATTCCTCTTCACTGTGCTTATTACTTAGCACATCTACACCTTCTGTATTAGATTGATTACCAGTAGTCTCTGCCAACTCTACAGAATCTACTGATGTGATCTCTGCATTCTTCTGATGAGTTTCACAATCCTGCTTCTCACAGTCAGAAACAAAATCATGGACATTTTCTTTCTCGTTCACTTCTGTAGAGGAAGCATGTGAACGTGAGGACATTTTAGAGTTTCCACTGATGGAAGGTCCATCAAGACACGCATCTACATGTTTATTAAAGGCTTCCAGACTGATGCTTCCTTGCTCCCTGAAGCAAACAGGACAAGTAAATATATGGCAGTTATCTGAATTCTCCAATGTTTCTAAATTCTCACTCATCCTCTTCTTTAAAACTTGGAAGAATTGTGATGTCTGTAAACTTTGTTTATCTACAGTTTCACATTTAAATGTGTCCTGGTAGCTCCAATTCCTTTCAGATCGTTTTTTATCAAAGAAACTCTTCTTATGGGACATTTCTAGAGGTTTTAGAAACTGATCTTTGTCAGTTTTCTCTGGTGTACACCTGGTGGCTGACAGGGCTTGGTTTCCAGGCTGTAAGAAGCCAATAATGCTCCTTTGTTGGCATTTCTTCTCCTCTTCATTGGGAAAACCAGATAGTCGCACCCCTAAATTAAACCAACCGTAATTAATCCATTTCAAATTCAATAGAGACATTTTGCATAATACTATTATAACACATATGAAAAAGGCTGCTTAGCCAGAAATAATAAGCAACACTGTCTTTTCTGAATTAAAGGATGCTTTTTCAAAGGTGGTATTATGAGTAGAAATTAACTTTCTTCATAAAGCTGGGTATAGTAAATAGTAAGTATCTACTGGAGTTAGCATGATTATATAGGTCTTTCAGTTAATACCTGACACATGATACCACTAAATATCGAGTAACTAATTGGAGTCAATTGCATAGATTCTTTAGCTCCCTTTTTTGCAATAGGCGCTATTTTTTAGAGCAATTTTAGGTTCTCAGCAAAGTTGAGTAGCAAGTACAGAGAGTTCCCATATACTACCTGCCCCACACATGCACTCCTCCTCCACTATCAACATCCTACACCAGAGTGGTACATTTGTTACAATCAATGAATCTATACTGACATGACATTATTACTCAAAGTTCATAGTTTACATTAGGGTTCACTCTTGATGTACATTCTATGGGTTTTGACAAATGTACAATGACACGTATCCACCATTATAGCATCATACAGAATAGTTTCACTGCCCTAAAAATCCTCTGTGCTCTGCCTATTCCTCCCTCCCCCCACCCCTGATAACCACTGATCTTTTTAGTATCTCCGTGGTTTTGCCTTTTCCAGAATGTCATATGTTGGAATCATACAGGATGTAGCTTTTTCAGATTGGCTTCTTTCAGTTAATAATATATAAGTTTCCTCCATGTCTTTTCATGGCTTGACAGCTCATTTCTTTTCTTCTCCCCCGCCCTCTACTCCAATAGCTCATTTCTTTTATGTGCTGAATAATATTCTGTTGTCTAGATGTACCACAATTTCCATTCACCTACTACTGGAGGATATCTTGGTTGCTTCCAAGTTTTGGCAATTATAAATAAAGCTGCTATTAACATCCACTCTTTAGCTCTTTTAGTTAACATACTTTATTCAAATTGACTTCAGTGTGTGCTATTTTTCATATGTGAAAGTATGGCTAATGACCCATCCTTAGCAGTAAAACTGGCATTTGGAGTGCTTATCCATAAACATTCTCTCACTCGTTCACTTTGGAAACATGGTTTGTTTATCTTTTTTTACCACGTGATGGCTAGAAATGTGGTTTTATAGTGCCACAATCCCTTATCTGTAATTCTGAAATCCAAAAAGCTCTGAAAATTGTAAGCAACAGATGGTAATTGATGACAAGATTGGTGTCAGACCATTTAGAGTCTTTACAACTCAGTGTGAATATTTTTTTGTTTTCCTACAGAAATAATAATGTGTTTGATCATGAAGTGCTGCTTCAGATCCCAAAGGAGTATTATATAATATACTCAACATGCAGTGAATTTGCTTTCTAAAATCTGAAAAGTTTAAAATTTTGAAAGATACCTAACCCCAAGGATTTCAGTAAGTAGTAAGGAAAAGAACGACTTTAACTGGTTCTTACTGGAATTAAACTAATGATCGTGGCTTCACATGCATCAGGTCCTAAGAATCAAGAAAAATGGCAGTAGCGTAAGTACAACTTCCTAAACAGGTTTAAGAAATAAAATAGAGGTGAGAATATTTCCCAAGTTGATTCTATGGAAAAGTCTAGCAGATTTAAGGAAAAACAAGTAAAGAAAAGTCATACCCATAAGTCTTAATCTCAAGGGATGTGGAAAATCAGCATCAATTTCTGTTCTTAGCAATTCTTTAGCAATAGCAAATATTTCTTCTGCAGTAGAAACAACAGATGAAACTGTAGATGCACGAGTTTTTACTTCAAAATTCACATTCTTTAGCTTAATGGTAACAGTTCTACCCTGTAACAAACAGAATACATTATTATATATGGCTCTTTAACTTCCATAAAAAAGTTATTTTACAGGATAGAAAAATTCAGAAAGGTCTCTTGTGTACACAGAGTACGGAAGTATAATCAATTATTTACAAAAAAACATGGTAATGTGGAGCTTTTGTAGGAGGAGGAGGAGTTGTTGCCCTACCCACTGTGCCTAAACAAAACAGTAATGAAAGACAGAAAAACACAATTTTGGCTTATGTTATAAAATAATGACTCAATCTATAATGGTCTAGGGGCTGATCATAGAGTTTTTGTATCCACACTCCCTTCCCTATGTTTGTCAACTGCATCATATAATAGTTTCTATATAAGAGAAATTTCTAGGAAGGAAGAACTCCAATGACACACTAGTTGACAGGTCTTATAACGACAAAACACTAAACTTACAATTTTAATTCTTTGGGGTTGAGATCATTCAATGTTAAAGATCAACATTCATTAAATAAAGACCCTAAAACAGTGCCTGATGTATATTAAACGGCAATAAATATTAACTATTACAATTACAAAATAAAAAACCATAATGAAAATTGTCATAAAGAATAACTGAAATTCATAAGTAATCTAAAAATCCCATTTTAGTCAGTAAATATTACTTCCCTCCCCAACTGACTTTTTATAAAAGACTTTTATATAAAGGGCAAAGTTAACTGATTACTTTTCTTTTTACTGAATCCTTTTTTGAGGTTAATTCAGTACCTAAAAAGATAGGGAAAAAAAATCTTTCTGAAGGGACCTCATTGAGAAGATCTTCTGGACAGCTCACACTTATTGTGTGCCTACTATATGCCAGATATTATGTTAAATTTACGTGTTAGAACTCCTTTACAGTTATTGCTTAATGGATACAGTTTCACTTTGGGATAATGAAAAAGTTCTGGAGATCAAAAGTGTTGATGGTTGTACAATCTGAATGTACTTAATGCCACTAAAATGTATACTTAGAAAGTTAAAACAGTAAATTTGGTTTTGTCTATTTTGCTACCTCCTGGAGGTTGTGAGAGTAGGTTAGGCTTATTGACTCACTTCCAAAGAATAGAGTATGGAAAGGGAAAAGTAGTAATTTCACAGCGGAGAAGCCTAGCAAACACTGCTTTAACCAAGTGAGGATGGTTAGTCTCACCTGTGATATCATGTGGCTATCATATACCTTGATGGGATGTGATGAGAAGGATACTTCATTTCTGTGGTATTCTTTCTAAAAACCTATAACCCTGGTCTAATCATAAGAAAATCATCAGACAAACCCAGATTGGAAGACATTTTGCAGTATACCTGGCTAGTATCCCTCAAGACTGTCAAGGTCATGAAAAACAAGGAAATACGGAGAAACTGTCACAGACTAGAGGAAACTGGGAAGATATGAAAACTAAATGCAATGTGGTTCCCTGGACTGAATCCTGGAACAAAGAGAAGAAGGACATGAATGGAAAAAAACAGGTAAAACAAAAATACTGTCTGGATTTAGTTAACAGAAATGTGTTAGTGTCAGTTTCTTAGTTTTGCAAATGTACTATGATAATATAAGATGTTAATAATGAGGGAAACTGGGTATACTGGAAATCTTGATAATATCCTTGTACTTATTCTATAAATCTGAATTGATTCTAAAATTAAAAGTTTATTTAAAAAATTTTTAAAAAAGAACTCTCTATATATTTAAGGTATAAAAGAGAAGGATTATAAGAAAGTATTCATCAGATATCCCTTTCTTTGTAATATCTTTTTATTGCTTTTGTATTATACCTTGTAATAACCCTACCTCTGTTTTGAGAATGTTGAAAAAATACTAAACATGGATTGTTGTGAGTGAAGATTATACAATACAAAGTTCAAAGCCTTCCAGGTTTTGTTCTCAATGTGTTAAGCAACCTGGATTAAGGCCTTGAAACAAAATGCCTATTCCAGAAGGTCACTGTCTACCTGACAATGACATTAAAGGATAATTGGAAAGGCATTTATAACAAGCACAGTTCTAGGGAAATCCTTCCCTATCCCTTATTCTTTACTGCCAATATAACTCTGATTTTGAACTTATTCAAATGTACTCCCAAGGTAATATAAACTTCTCTGGAATTATACTGGAATCACTCCAACCTCATAAGTTGCTTCTCATAAAATGACCTAATCATAGGCCTCAGATAAGGGTCAGAATTCAATTTGTCTCTATTGAAGACAAGAATTCTCTTTTCTGACACATCCCAATTTGTATTTAAATGCAAAATCTAACTCTTGGTTTAAGGTAGCTTTTTATTATTAAAAATTTAGAAAACTAAGAACACTGCATAAAAATGAAGTACCTTAAGTCCTTCTTTCTGCAGGTCTTGAGCAAGTTCACTGCAAAGTTCTTGGCACAAGCTGTACTGTTCTTCTGCTTTACTTATCTCACTGAATGTCCTAGAAAGGCAAGAATGATTTTGGTGCACAAAGTAAACTACAATTCAGTATACTTTAGAAATGATATAGTACATGTAAATGGCCTAGCATTAAGTTATATTTTCTACAGTACAAAGTTTTCAGATGAACTAAGATATGATTAAGTAAAAACATCCAAGATCTTCTTAAATAATGGGAGATTGTTTATAGCTAAACTGATTAGCAAAGGTGCATTTGCTCTCTACAATATGTTTTAAAAGATGATTAAAGTCACCAACATATAAGGATAATGCCCTCAAAACTTACAAAACATTAGGATACATATGTATACAGACTCTGCTACAGAGGATTATCTTAAGAAAGTACAAATGAGAACAACATTCCAATTACTGCATGTGTATTTTCTGTAAGCGAATTATCTTCAAGTAGATTTAAGGGGTTGGTTCGTGGCACCTACATAAAGTCATCTAATAGGCAACCGGAAATGGAGGGCTGGTAAGACTAAATGTAGAACTTGTGACTTCATCTGCACAAGGGTATTGAAAGGTCATATTAACATAAAGACACTAAAGAGAGAGTGGGGTAACCAGTAAAAAAGCCCGAGCAAACCCTGAATAGTCATTCAGTGAAAAGTGCCGCTTCTAACTATTCCCAGCTACCCAGTTCTCTTCCCTAGTGGCAACCAATATTGCCAGCTTCCTATTCATTATTTATTCCTCTAGAATACTGTATGTATATAAAAGCAAACAAGCAAACATTTCCCCTATATAAACAGTAGAATATTAGATACATTATTTACCACTTTGCTTTTCTCATTCATCCTGGTGAGAGTTCCCTATAAATAATTTCATTTATATATGGCAGCATAAATTCTAATTTAAAGATGTAAGATCATTTAACCAATCCTCTATTTGTAGAAACTTATTTCCAATCTTTTGCTATCACAAAAAAAAATTCAGTGCATAACCATGTATACATGTAAAATGACATGTGATTACACCAGTGGAATGTATGCCTAGAAAAAGAACTGTGGGATCAAAGTACATGTGTATCTGTGATCTTGATAGATACTGCCAAATTGCTTGCCCCCTGTGGTAGGCAAAATAATGGTCCCCAAAGATGTTCAAATCCTTATCTCTCAGAATCTAGTACTTTACATGGTGAAATGAACTTTACAGATGTGGTTAAATTAAGATGAGGTGATTATCCTGAATTATCCAGGTAGGTCCACTGTAATCTCAAGGGTCCTTGTAAGAAGAAGGCAGGAGGGTAAGAGTCAAAGAAAGACAAAATGTGAGAGTTGAAGATAGAGAATGGGGCCGTGAGCCAAAGAATGCAAGAAGCCTCTAGAAGCTTTTAGAAAGGAAATGGATTCTCCTCTGGGGCCTCTAGAAGGAATGCAACCCTGATGACACCTTAATTTTAGGACTGCTGACCTTCAGAATTGTAAGAGAATAAATCTGTGGTAATTAGTTATACCACCAATAAGAAACTAGTACACCCTCCTTTAGAGTTTAATAGCTTTTTCACTCCCATAGTCTTGCCAATAGAGTGTGCATCTTTGCCAACTTAATTAGTGAAAAATGCTATCTCAGAGAATTTTCAATCTGAATTTCTTAAATTATACGGAGACTGAGATTATTTTCACATGTTTATAAAGCCATTTGTACCATCTTTTCTGTTAACTAATTAGATCTTTGTTCACTTTTTTCTATTGGTTTGATGGCCCTTTCTTAAGAAATATTAATATTAGTTAATATTAATATTCTCGTACAGCAAGCAATGTTCTCAATAACAAAAGACAAAATAGAAGAAAAAATCATTAAATAGGACGATACTATCTCACTTTTGGATGCTTTTTTCCCCTCTTTTCCTTTGATTGCTTTTATGTAAATCACAGCCTAAAACAACAATTTTTATCAGTCATTTACTGAGTGTGTTGTCTTGTAAAAGTCATTCATCTTTTCTAGGGAACCCCCTTGCACTGTTGGTGGAAATGTAAATGGATACAGCCACTATGGAGAACCGTATGGAGGTTCCTTAAAAAACTAAAAATAGAATTAGCATATGACCCAGCAATCCCACTACTGGGCATATACCCAGAGAAAACCATAATTCAAAAAGACACATGCACCCCAATGTTCATTGCAGCACTATTTACAATAGCCAGGTCATGGAAGCAACCTAAATGCCCATCCACAAATGAATGGATAAAGAAGATGTGGTACATATATACAATGGAATATTACTCAGCCATAAAAAGGAATGAAATTGGGTCATTTGTAGAGATGTGGATGGACCTAGAGACTGTCACACAGAGTGAAGTCAGAAAGAGAAAAACAAATATCGTATATAAACACAAATATGTGGAATCTAGAAAAATGGTACAGATGAACTGGTTTGCAAGGCAGAAATAGAGAACAAATATGGACACCAAGGGGGAAAAGGGGTGGTGGTGGAGGTGGTGGGATGAACTGGGAGATTGGGATTGACATGTATACACTAATATGTGTCAAATAGATAACTAATAAGAACCTGCTGTATAAAACATAAATAAAATTTAAAAAAAAGTCATTCAGCTTTTCTGATCATGAATAATGTATGTGCAAAATGAACACAACCTTATACTAGGTCCGCGGTTCTTAAATGTCTTAGTGGAACTTTGGTTCTTTGAGGAGATAAGCGAGGGACTTTTCAAACAATGACATATTTCCCAAAACAATAAGGTTCCATCAAGATTTCATTTGACTTCAAACAAGATTGTAAACCACTGAACTAGATCACCTCTAAGCTCTTGTTCATCAGTATCTTACTATTTGATGTCTATGGTTATTCACCAATATTTGAAGAACTTCAGGAAGAATTTCCATCATCATTTCTTAAATTTCCCAAATAACTACTCAGTATAATTTTTCTTATAAATAAGCCTATAAATTAAGATTTAGAATCCTAAAATGCTTGGTTTTCACTGAATAGGAACAAAACCAACGTTTAAAAAAATAACTGCAGTTAAATTTTTTCCCATTGAGAGCACAGCAAGCAAAGATAATAAAGCATTGCACTGGAATATTTACTGTAGGAGTATCAACTGATGAAAATTGTTACTTGGTTTGCGAATAGATTTTTAAATTTCAGTGAAAATTTACTAAAAATTAGTTTAAAATAATACAAATTATGAATAATTAGCAACAAAACATTACCTCTCAACACTCATGCTTTTCCTCTCTCCATCCCTTGAAATTAAAAAAAAAAAGCTTTTATTTGCTTTCTCAAAGAAGACTGAGTTTCTTTTAGTCAACCAAGATGATTTTACATCAGTTACCCTTTAGAGATCTCAATGTTTTAGATTAAAAGTTATACATCATGCAACACAGTGAGTTTTTTAATCTAAAAATAAAACTATCACCAAAGAATATAGAAAGATATGCTAATATAATTACATGTGTGATGGATCAAGTCTATATCTATCAAAGACAACAAATTTGAAAACAGGATGATATTATAAATTGTTTCTATTAAAAGCCCAAATATAAAAAATCACAACTTACAAAAACCAACAGAAGGTAGTAGCATAATGGCTTGCAGTTATAAGATATAATTAAATTTTAAATAATTTAATATCCATTATCTAGTTTTTGGCCTAGTACATTAATAATAGCCTATTTATTATTCACTTATACCACTCTATAGAAGCTCAGTCAAAATTTGCCATACAGCAATAGGATGATGGTTGGGAATCTGAACCACCTAGTTTGGTTGGATTCTAGCTGCTCTGGTAGGAGCAGTTAAAACCAAAAAGCTGAAATGACATGTAGATTATTCATTTTCCTAATATTTCACAAACCAATTATGAATCAAGCACTGTTCTAGGCCTTGGAGATAACAGTAATGAACAAAACAGACCAAGTGCCTGCCTTTAAGAAACTTATATTTTAGGGACTTCCCTGGTGGCACTGTGGTTAAGACTCCGTGCTCCCAATGCAGGGGGCCTGGGTTCGATCGCTGGTCAGGGAACTAGATCCCACATGCGTGCCACAACTAAGAGTTCGCATGTCACAACTAAGGAGCCTGCAAGCCACAACAAAGGAGCCCGGCTGCCACAACTAAGACTCAGTGCAACCAAATAAGTAAATTAAATAAATGTTAAAAAAATAGTTATAAAGAAACATATCTTAGTGGAGGGAGACAAATAAACATAGCAGTAAATATGGAACAGGTTAGAAGGGGAGAAGTACTACAGATTAAAAAATAAAGCAAATTAAGGAAACAGAATGTTGATAGAAGGGAAGGGAAGTTTGCTATTTTATATGGTTAAAAATTACCTATGAATTTCACTTAAAAGCATTACCTGCATCTCTACCACAGGTTAATATGTGCTATATTATATTAAAAACTGTATTGTTTTCAAGCACTATGGAAATAAAAAGAGGATAATTTTTGGATTAAAGAAGAAAGTTTTATTTCTCATCACCTTCATGTACTGCATTATTTATAGTACTGTGATGTCTTTCTCTTATCTTTCATTATATCCACTCAAGATCAAAGTCAGCTACCTGGACTTAAAGAATGAGGAGCATGGAGAGATGAGAAAAATAATAGCACATGCCTTGCAATCTCTGTAAGATATAGCAGGTCTAATTGGTTAATCAAACTTATTTTACATGCCTCCTCAGTAATCTTCTTGTTTTCCTTTAGTTTAACTATATGAATATAAAAGAGTTATTTTGAGGGCAGGCTAACAAGATGATAACGAAATCGTAAAAATAGTGCCCAGTGTTAATTTTCATTCTTGTTTTTAGTGCCTTCTTTTCACCCACCCTAAACAGTGTACCCTTCTAGCTCTGGGATCCTTCTTTTTAAGACCTGGATGAAAGAGTGGCAGGGAGGAAACACAGGGCCTCTCCTCTAGCCGTTTCCTCTTCTCTTAGATCTTTGCATGGCTGGCCCCTTCAGGTCTCTGTCTCTGGAGAACCGCTGCCAACCCCATCTCTTACCCCACAAGTCAACATCTATGTGCCCCCACTCTGCCTTACTTTCTCCATTTGTTTATTTGGTTACTTTTTATTTCCCACACTATTCTGCAAACTCCATGAAGGCAGGACTTTGTCCTGTTTACTGCTATTATCCCCAGTGCCTAGAACAGTGCCTAACGCAAAGTACTCAGTACTGAATGAATGAATCATTTACAAATCTGGAAAAGAGAAGAAATACAGGTAGTTCATGAAGGCTTTCAAGGAATCGTTAAGTCTACTTGCTTTAAAGGGTGAGTTCTGCAGTATGAGCCATCTTTCTCACTCCCACAATCTGATCACCAATATTCTTACGTTCCGAACAAAGAACAAGGCAGGTACAGAAAAGAAAGCACCCATCATTCCTCTTATCCCTCTATCCAAATGCTGTAGCCAACAACCTAGGAGTGATTTTTTATTCCTCTTTTCCTTTTCTCTCACAACCAATCTTTTGACTCTAATTCAAAAATTATATTCTGAATTGAGCTAGCCTAAAAGAAATTTAAAACATGTTATCCCTGTAGTCTCTATCTCAATGGTGAAAACTGTTATTTCAGCAAATGCTAAAAAAAAGCAGAATAATTATAAATACAGATACCTTGCCAGCTGTGTGGAACCTAGACCCAGGGAAATATGAAGGAAATAATGCCAAGATGTTTCAGAGAAAAGGAGAGAAAGTAATGCCCTCTGTTGGTATAGTTCTGTACAAGTAATAATTCCAAGGGCCTTCAACATTTTCTCTGTAACTTTTCCTATTCCAGAAACCTAGAAAAGAATCAACTTATCATTAATACATTTTGAAATTAAGATAAGAAGTGATATTATAATCTCATCATATATTTTATAACTAATAAAAGGTATAAATAATGTGCCTAGTTTCAAAAGTCACACAAGAGAACGGCTTTAGTTACTTTTTGGCTATATTTCCTAAACTAGTGTTCCATGAAAATTAAAAATTTTAAATTCCATAGAATTTTTAAAAAGCATTTAAAAAAGAGTTCTGCGGTCATATAAACTTGGGGAATGGTAGGATAAACAACTTTTTATTCCCTTTTAATTTTGTAAAACTGAAGTATAGTTGACCTACATTATATTAGTTTCAGGTGTACAACACAGTGATTCAACATTTATATACGTTATGAATCAATTACCACAATAAGTCTAGTAATCATCTGTCACCATACAAAGTTATTATAATATTACTGACTATAGTCTCTATACTGTACATTACATCCCATGACTTTTTTTTTATGACTCCAAGTTTGTACCTCTTAATCTTCTTTACCTATTTTGCCCAACTCCACACCCCCTCCCCTCTGGAAACCACCAGTTTGTTCTCTGTAACAATCAGTCTGTTTCTAGGATAAACAAACTTTAAATGAACTTTTTTACTGTAAGAATTATGAATCTTCAATAAATTAATATCTCTTGTGACCCACCAAGGGTGGTACATTCCAAAGTTCTTTGACCCCAGAACGTTTTTTAACAGAACACCCATTCATACCTTAAAAATACATTGGAAAACACTGCTTTATAGCTATATCTTATATATACTAAGCTATTCAGTAGTCATTATACATTATATATTTTGATATAGACTTTCTTCTGAGAGTTGAAAATGTTTATTTAGATTCACTAATACACATTATGCTGAGTCAGGAAAGCAAGCCCTAGAACATCAAATAGTGTATAGTACAATTATTATTTTTAAAAAAGCATATATATACAGAATCTAGAAGCTGTAAAAAATAATAAAATATACCCTTTCTATAATCCCTGAGGAATCATTTTACCATTTTAAAGATGGTAAAGTATTTGGGTTTTTTTTTTTCTGGTCAAAAACAATTAAAATTCTAAATCTTTTCAACAAACTTTTCAACAGACAAGCTTCCTAAACCTCACTTTTAGGATTTCATAGAAAGATTTCTTCAAGTCCTAATTAAATCATCCATTATCATTCTTGCTTGTTAGCTATCATTTTAAAAAGTTTCTGAAAGAATGATTACTATCATCCTAAATAGTATTTCTTCAGAACACCGAGTATATATATAGATGACAAATTTTGCATAAAATTTCACCTTTCTAATGGGTAAGTCCTTGATGAAGTCCATCACAGCTTGTCTATTAGGGAGAATTTGGTATTGTCCATTTGGTTTATTCTTATCACTGCATACTTTCGCTAACATTGTATTTGGTGCGATGCCTTAAAAGAAGAACACTCTGATGACTCAAAGAACATGATATGTATGATTTTAAAATACGTGATAACAACACAGAAAAAAAATTAAATGCAAAAATCTGAAATGTGGAATGCTACTTTAAAAATAACATTTGATTACTATCTATCTCCCCAGGGCTTGCTATAGTTTTAGGAAAAGGAATTGTATAAGTTATTGTGGCAGCAGAAATGAGGAATATTTAAATCTCCATGGTATTTTAAAGTCTAAGAGTAATTTCTGAGTTTAAGTGATATTATTAGTTTACTTACTATATTTAGTAGGAATACAGGGCTGTCTTACAGAAAAGATGGAGAATATAATTTAGGATGGATGTTTACTCTTTGAAAAGGTCTCCTGTATAGATTATCCACATAACGAAAAAAAAAAAATCAAAGATTCTGTTTCCAGTATGTTTAAAACAATGATAATGAAATGCGTGTATCCTTTTTATGCTACTCACAAAGCAAATTACCCCTTTTCAGAGAGGTGTTTTATAATTTCTAGGTGTCTTAATGATTAAGATAACTTGAAATAGGTATATTCAACTATGATCATCAAATAGTTCAATTTTTATACACATTTTTCTAAAATTTATTACTTATTTTCAGGCTTTGGCATAGGAAGAAAAGACTAACCCAATCATAATATGGCTTTCTTAAGATAATCTAGGGTCCTCATGAATATCAGTTTCTATGCTAAGACACAGTGATACCCTCATGAGTTATTGGCATATGTAAAGCTGTTTTTCCCTTCACCAGATGATCCTAGATTGCTATGTTGCTAGTTGGTGTTTTTTCCTGTCTAATCCATATTTTGTGTGGACATCTGTGGTCTCTCTTGCACTGTAAGTCTTCAAAGGGAAAACAAAGTATTATGTCCCAAACCAATTAAAATATATTTTGTGTTTCAAAAAAGATCGCTACATGAGCTTTATGATAAGTTTTTGCTTTGGACACATGGGTTTTTGTGCTTAATTCCAATTTACCTATAGGTTCACAGTATTCTGAATAGGTATATTGTCAGAAGTTAATAAAAAAACAGCTAAGTAAAATGTCATTCTACACTTTATAGTGAGAAACTACTAATATTACACTATGTTAGCTAGTCTGAAAATTATAACTATTGGAACCATCAATATCCTTTTAAGTACCTGCACTGGCTGTCAGTGTAGTTTTTTGCTCGATTCTGAAACGAATTTCCTTTACCACTTCCTCAGCTGATGTTCCAAAAACAATTGAGTTTTGGAGTATTTGAAGATTATTCAGTTCTTCAAAGTTCACTTGGAAAGGATTTCCTGGGGACTGCAAATCAGGAGGACTATCTTCAAAAAGTAGAGGAGAGATGGATCGTTCCTGCTCACGCAGTTTATTAACTTCCCTTCCTGGTTTATCTAAATTATAAACAGCAACAGTAATTCATCTTCATTTTAAAAAGTACATACTTCATAAATTAGGTTTCCCTACAGTCTTTCTAAAGACAAAACAAATCTAGTTTAGTTTGCTTTCTAAGAACCAAGGTCAGAAATGTTAGCATTTATATTTTTAACTGTTTACCAAAGAAAACACTGATTCTAAGTTTTTCTTAAAAGAAATATTATCCATTTCCATTGTATACATTTTAAAACGAAATATCTTATGTAAATCTCACTAATTTTTGTACTGAAATTAATTGAAACCCAGAATTGGAATTAGATTCACAGTACTTTTTTCTCAAAAAGATGAAAGGTTTTTTTCCTTTACTCATCTCTAGAGGAAAAGAAGAACCTTCTTAAATTAGAATTTAGGAATAAGGAAAAAGGTGTTAAGCAACATAGAGCAATTATGCCTGAAAGATAAATTTTGCTTTTGGAGGGGGAAAAAAGCCTAAAAAATTTTTTCATTCATGGAAGAACTTTTCAAATGTTAAATAATCTGAATTTTCTTCTTTCAAATGCTGATTTTAATTTTGACTTGTTTGTTTATAAAGTATCACTTTTACTAAGAGCACATCTGAAATCAATAGAAATTACTTCTGGAAGTTATATTTCTTTAAATATATAAATTCTTAAGGTCTAATCAGATTAACAATGGTCCAAGTTTAAGAGCGAGAAGCCTTCGTTATTATCAAAAGGCAGTAAACTAATATTAATATTAAAAAGTAAAGTAAAAAAACTAATCTGGTTATTATCTCATTTTAGTTGCATTTTTCATAAATGAACTGTGAAATACACTTAAATCTATACAGATACTAAAAATGTCCTTATGAACAAATCCATTGAAGACTTTACTTTCCGGGCTTAATGGAGGAGAAATCAGTTGAAGTGTAAAATTGATAGAAACTAAGATTAACAACAGAGCTTTCTCATCCACTTCATAATTTTATTACATATAAATGTTTTCCAAATTAAGGTAAATACAGATGCAAAAATTAAATTTCTAGTTTCAAGACACATATACTTAAAAAATGAAGATGGCCTTTTCAAGAGATTTTATAAAGATAATATAAATAAAATGACAGACACCTAATTAGTTTCAAATTTTTAAGTATGTAATATGAATTAAGTTACAGACAGGTATTTTCCAAATCTGAATTCCCAGGCCATATACAAAACAAGCCTTATTTTCAAACTTACACTAGCCGTTATTTATGTACTTTAGTTCCTTTCATTTTCCATTATCTGGTTTTAAAATGCAGAGCAATTCAGGGGGATTAAGACTAAGGCACAGCTGAAATGGTATTTACCTGGACCCTCTTTTTCCCAACTAGATGTGTGAAAGTCAAGGTAAAGAGCTACGGAAAACCTGCAGGCCACGTAAGGCATGTTCACAACCTCCTTCTGCAGTTCCTTATGCCATGTTTTGTACCTCATGCTTCTATCACACTGCCCTCAGGTGAGTCACTGATAGCAGGACACTACAGCAGAAAGCAAAGCATGCTGTTTTCAGGTTCATTGTTTAGAGCCGCTGCTGAATGGTGTAGTTATCGTTTCAATCTGTCTACTTCTCTGCGAGGCCTGGCTATGCAACCAACCGCTGAAGTGGTTTCTTATTTGCTTTCTGAAAGAAATATCTTTATAAGCCTCATAACTGAGGTGATCAGCATATAAAAGTAAGGTTTCTTATAATTTGAAACAGTAGGATTAAGATCCCATCTGGATGGCAAGTGCTAAAAAGTATACGGTACAGTATTTTAGTTTTTTACATTGCCTGGCACCATCTAGATTTATGAGAGAATAAACATAAAATAATAATTATTATTATTTTATTTCTTTACAGACTGTGCCTTTTAGAAAAGGGGCAAACAGCAGAAAAATCCCTTGGACTTTAGAGGAAGGTATATCAACCACCTGCCACGACTCCAACTCACTGTTGACAGCTATTCTGGGCATAATGTGAAATCAGACATGCCTGAAAGTCCAGTCGACAGGGACTTATATATGAAAAAAAAAAAGTTAAACTATTTAAATTGCTTAAGAATATGAAATACATGAAGAGGAAAGTACGTAAATAAATATGTTAAAAGCAACGATATTAAAAATTCACATCCTCATAATAAGTGTGGACATATAGTAAATGAAAAGAACATTAGTAGAGAATGAAAACATTTACCTTAGTCCCAATATAATTTTTTTATAACATATTGTGAAAGTAGTTATTATAGGACACCCTCAGGGGATGCTCTGACATAACTATTTAATGGCTCCCCTCCTTTCTCCTGTGAAAAGTAAGGAACTAACAAAGTAAGATTTTAAGCAAAGTGACATTAGACTTTGTGTGTCACTTCCTCAAACAATAAAGTTATACTAAGAGCAAAAAACCTTTTGCTCCAAGCCCCTGTGTCCAGAAATTATGTTTGTTTATTGTTTAATGTTTCTCTTAAAGAGAGAGACCTACTCCATTAGAGCTCTAAGTAAGGTAATAAAATTATGATTCAATGTCCATACTAAATTTGCTCCAAAGATGTGAGCCCCAAACAATGGTAAAGTTAGAATTTTATGGCATTGAGGATCTACCATTTTTGCTTCAGGGAAAGTTACAAAGAGCTTCCCCACCGCAGCCTGTCCCCTCTGAAGCAGTTAATGAGTTGTACACATGAAACATGGCTATGGGTTTTGAGCAAACCCTCTATTTCTACCTTTTCATCCAGGTGAACTTTGCTCAGGGGTCCAGGGCAGTGCTGGCATTTGAAGTAATCACACCTCTGACAGAGGACTGAAAGCAGTACATGTATTATCTGCATGATTTTTGGCATTGTTTTGGGTAGGTAATAAGGGGCTCATTTGAAAAAAACCTTGGGGTCATAAACTTGTTTCATTATATATAAAAAGAATCAAAATAAGATCTAAGGCCAAGAAGGGAGTTGGGGAGTCATTAATTTCGGCAAGGTTAAGAACAGCAATCACTGTATAAACAGATTATAGAAAATTTGGGAAATAAAGAAAAAAAACCCACCCAATATTTTGATATGTTCAAGGCTAATTAAAAAAGAATCTATTTTCTATTAACAGCTACATAAAAAGGCCACTATAAACAAAGAACCTCCTCAGATTCAAGGCAATCCAACCCCTGGTTAGTTATATCTTACGGAAAAAACTGCTATGAAATTACTTTGTTTAGGGACTCTGCACACTCTTAAAGTCTAGAGATTTAACAATCTCATTTGATTTAAAAGTGGCATTCCACACATTTATCTCAGAAAACCCACTTGGTTGTGCCGTGCAGCTTGTGGGATCTTAGTTCCCCAACCAGGGATCAAATCCGTGCCCCCTGCAGTGGAAAGCGTGGAGTCCTAACCACTGGACCACCAGGGAATTCCCTGATTTTTAATTTTTAATACTTTTTCATAATAAAGCTATATTTAGTCCTGCACCTATGCATCCTAATGAGTTAACTGGTTAATTCAAAGGATTTTTTGTTTGTTTTTAGTCTGAGCATTCTAATAAATTGCTTACCATTTTCTAGAGAGTTCCCTGTTTTGATGAAATACTTCCTTTTGTCCTCAGGCCAATTTTGTCTTTCCTCTAAATGCTTTGTTATATTCACGTAGGCTTCATCAAGACTCATGGCCATAAAATTGGGATCATAATCAGCAAGTATTTCCTTAACCTTCGAAAGGAACAAAATGGTTTAATTTTGCTGCCAAAGTAAAACGTGCCACATACAGCTGATAAGAAACATTAATATTCTTACTTTGCAACTATAGTAAGGATTCTATAATCAATAGCTCATGGATTTAGAGAATAAATAATTTACTGCTAGGACAAGTTTGTCCAAATTCTCTTTTGTATTAAAGTAGATCACAAAGGCAGAAGACCATGAAATAGCTTCATTTGATTCAATCTCTATTTAGCCACCTATATCTATATATAATAAGTGATTCAAATAAACAACAACATCATTCTGATAGGCCCAGAAAAAATGGTGAAGCAACATAATTTTAGGTGGCAAGTCAAAAGCGGAAGTGGGAACAATAGGATCCTGCTCTCCTTTACCTTTTACTATTGTTTTTGTTCTTCTTTTTCTTAGGTAAGAAGTGGATTTATTTATTTATTTAGTTATTTTTAAATTTTATTTACTTATTTATTTATTTTTGGACTGCGTTGGGTCTTCGTTGCTGGGCGCGGGCTTTCTCCAGTCGTGGTGAGCGGGGGCTACTCTTCGTTGTGGTGTGCAGGCTTCTCATTGCGGTGGCTTCTCTTCTTGCAGAGCACGGGCTCTAGGCTTGCAGGCTTCAGTAGCTGTGGCGCATGGGCTCAACAGTTGTGGCTCGTTGGGTCTAGAGCACAGGCTCAGTAGTTGTGGCTCATGGGCTTAGTTGCTCCGCAGCACGTGGGATCTTCCCAGACCAGGGATTGAACCCACGTCCCCTGCACTGGCAGGCAGATTCTTAACCACTGCGCCACTAGGGAAGTCCCCAAGTCAACTTGTTTAGAGAGAGACACACTCCACAGCCAGAGCGCGGGCCATTTCAGAAGGTGAGAGTGGCCTTGGGAGAAACACACTCCACGGACAGAGTGTGGGTCATTTCAGAAGGTGAGAAACGCCTGTTTTTGTTCATTTTAAAAAGGAATACTCTTACATGAAGGTATTATGTTGCTTTAGAAAGTAGTTCTACTCCAATTAATTATAATATGTCCATAAAACTCCACTCAGTACACACACTAATGCATGTATCCATTCAGAAAACAAAAATCAGGATTTAGAATGGAAAAGATGACAAAATCTGTAGTGTAAGTCTGTGTCTATATTAAATGATGGGGGAAAAGTCTGGAGTTGCATCTTGGGATAAAAGAAATATGTAAAGAGATCAGAATCTCTGCATGATTCCAGAAATGCCTTTTATATAAGATAGTTTTATTATATGAAAGTTTTTTTTAACCACTTAAGTATTAGCTGAAGTTAGAGGAACTGGTTGCCAAAATAATATGTATATTAGAAAAACATACTTGCTGAATTATGTTATGTTTCACCTAGTGTTTAAAAGCTGTCTGCCTTATCATGAGAAAAATTTTTTTTGATGCTTTATAAAAAGAAAGCATTTTAGCTTAATATAATTATGAACAGCTGAGTCAAAGGTAATTTTAGAAAATGGTGGCATAAAACTTGGCCAAGCTTTACTCAGAGAGTACCTTAATTAGCTTTGTTCTTGTAGAAGAAACCAATTCTACAATGTGCTCAAATGGAATCTTTCTAGTGAAAATGAAACTCTGGAACGTCTGTAGTTGGCAGCCAACTAAGATTATTCTGAATGAGAAGTACTCTCTGGAGACAATGAACACTCACTAACTTCCTTTACACAGGATACTGCTTTAAGAACAAAAATAGACAGACTCCAGTAAAAATCAAGCACTTAGGCTTGGAGAGCAGTTAAAGCTATTCCATTCTTTTTGGATAAAACGAAAATGGCTTTTTCTTACACGTTTAAACCAAGCCATAAATATTAATGCATTTATAATCAGTGAATTTGCACTGTAGTTCATTTACAGATAAGAATCCATTTGTCATCTGCAAATAAACTAGTTAGATCCTGATTGAATTTGAAGAAAGATTTCTCCATCTTATGTAAATAACTAAAGAGAACTAAAAGCAATTTAGTTCTCATTGTTGTACTGTCAGAAGTTTTACTGAGTTAAAGTAGAAGTTAAAAAAATTCTTACAAAGTCTTTGGAGGATTTTCAAACTTATTAAAAGCTTATAATATTTATGGTTGGCATTTTATCTCTACTTAAGAATACAGTAAAACAGATAAGCAGTAACCTGTGTGAACCTGCTTCCCCTTCCCCACCACCTCTGCAGATGTAGGCACAAAAGCACTTGCTTCCACAGGCTGTTTTTCAAAGAATTTTTTAAAACTTAAAAAAAACTGGGAGTGGAGTATCATTTTGATTTGGGGGAGGTTTCACTGCTAGGGGAAATGAGGTGGAATACAAATAAGAAGAGTGAATCTAAAGACAATTTACGAGACTAAATGGTAGTAAGTGGGAGGCCAGAGTTTTTAAGTGTTTCAATTCAGACAGCAGGCTTTAACACACTGCATTGTGCCACAGTAGTCTAAAAATGTTTGAGGTCGTATACTAAAATTTCAATTTATGACTGAAGTTTTAGCAGTGCCATGATAGTCCAGTTGTTACCACAATTAGAGAAAAGGGCAGTTTTTCATATATGACAGTTTAGGCAATTTTAGTGAATCATCAAATCTTTATTTTTCAGAGAACCTTTTCAAAGCAATAGATTATTCCCCTTTTTCTTTGATTACACCCTCTGGATATTAAATGCTCATAAGCACCTTCCCTAGATTATGGGGTAAGGAGAGCAGCTAATCAAAATAAGTTAATTTTGTTACTGTTAAAAACATTGATAAAAAATTTATTCAGAAAAGAGCTTGGAATTAATGACTTGGAATTAATTCTGTAGATTATAAATATAAGGTGATTCTAGAAGAAAATGTACATTGCACATTAACAGAAAAATAGCTAAAGTTAATTTAGGTTATAATTAAGGCAATTCAGAGTTTTCTGGGGAGATAAGAGTTTTCTATGCAGACAGAAAAACACATGGAAAAGCAAAGAACTGGGAAATAGAAGAGTGTATTCTGGACACACATGCAGCTCAGTATTTGACATATAAGCTGAGGAAGTGGTAGAAGGGAGACTTAAAGGGATAAGCTAAGGCTAAATTCTGATGTGCTACAGCATTTGGACTTGACTCTGTAGATGACAGGAAATCAGCAGAAGGCTATAAGTAGGGGTGAGACATCAGACTTACCTCTCTACTCACAGCTCGGTATTTGTCAAAGTTTGGGGGCACTATAATAAGTTGTGGGCAGAGTCTTTTTGCAATGAATCCTGGCATGGCTGCACGAACACCAAATCTCCTTGCGTGGTAATTCGAAGTAGTCTGAAAGAAAATGGACCACATGGGGAAAAATATTCAAACCTAAATGGACATATTGATCCATGCTTTCAAAAGAAACATTACTGATGTGCATTTTCAATTCAAGGACATTTCTTTTATAGGCCACTGTCTCAAATCAAGCTTTGATTTTATCCTGTTATGGTATAACACCATGACCCTCTCCCACTGCTGTACCATATTTATAACGTGACGTGAGGTAATAAGCAAGACTGTGCTAATAAAAAGGTTCTCTTACATTTCCAGTAACTAAACTTCATTGGATTTAATGCATACCTGTAATATAGTATATATAAAAGTTTAGATGATAGTGGGTGATGTTACATTAAAGTAATAACATAGTAGTAGTCAAGTAATAGTTATAAAGCAATATAGTACAAATAGTATAGAAGTTACAAAAAGTAATAGTATGCAAAGTAATGGTATAGTATAATATTATGGATTTGGAATTTTGTAAATTTTTGATCTAGAAAAAAAACAAAACAAAGTTCTAATATATGGTCAGTTAAATCAAGTCTCAAACATGAAGTGATTAAAGCATAAAAGAACTTTAAAAATTAAGCTTTATTTCTTAATGCTTGAATATCTTTTTTGGTGAAAACATTTTGACTACGAGATGGTACTAAACAATTATGAGAGTGTTGCAGCAAAAATAGAAATGAGACTTTTGTTTTCTGATAAACAAGGAAAATAAGGAATCAATGAATAGGCTGGGGAAACAGGACTGAAAGAGTTAAGCAATCTTGGTTATTCTTTTTTTTTTTTTTTTTTAACATCTTTATTGGAGTATAATTGCT